TCTCAGATATTGTGTGACTATAGAGACCATGGTATTGAGGAAAAGTCACCTACTGAACGTAAAACTACAAAGATCTTAAAGTATTGAGGTGACATAAAAAATACAAAGATTATAAATAATTTACATATGCAATCTGGTCAACTAGTGGTATATTGTTAACAATGAAACTAATAGTAAAGTTCGTTGAACTGCTGAACTGATATCCACATAACGGTGCTGTAAGCGCCTATACAATCGTCCTGCCACAATCCAGTCCTACGTACCGTTCGTCACCGGTTCCAGCGTTCACGATATTACATTTTTTTTTATTTCACCGCCACAAGACTCGATTGATTGTGGGTTATTGTATTGCTATATTGGACCATTTCCAACTATTGTATTCAACCAAACCATAACCTGCTATGCAAAGTTAGAAACCACCCGAAACGTTTAGCCCTGGGCGCGTTTATTTCGATTGTAAAATTGTATTACCACATTGCAATGTAGGTAGGTATTACTCACAATAAACAACAAAAGTAAGAGTGATTACTTTGGTGTATATAATTTACCTTGACAGTAGCCCAGTTTAATAAGCGGTCGAAAAGGTACGATGACCTCGAGGAAGACAATGAACTTAGGTCCAACCGGTCTCCAAATGACAGAAGAGATATGTGCCTACTAATAAATGGACGTCAGTTGTGTGGATTAAAAGTTGGGTAACAACTAATGCACTTAGACTTGCAAGACGGGTAGGTACACCGAGAACGCGTTGCCTTCCAGTGTAATGATTTCTAACTGGTTTCTTCTTTCGACTTTAAGCAACGACCAAACATAGCACCCTAATGGTAACTTAAATACGTACATACCATTCCAATTGATATCGTAGATGAAGAATTTTAATACCTTTTTAATCTTTCCAAAGATAAAAAAGATATTAGTTATTTTTTCTAAGTTATGTATCCTTGTTAAAGTTAGTTTGTTTATCTGTTTGTTTGGTACTTCTTAATGCCTAAATAGCTCAACATTAGTTGAACAAAGTTATGTCCTATTTCAAATACAAAATTGTATTTGAAATAGGACATAACTTTTTATGAAATATCTATAGGTATATAATATATACAAGCTACACATCTACAGACAACAGCAATCACAGCTCGAAAAAAAATAGAACAAACTCGTCAATAACGTGACCATGATTAAAAGTAGCCTGTATCCTGATTGTGTATAACCTATACAAATTTACTGCTATCATAAATAATATAACATAGTATAAATAATCAAAAATAATATAAATAATTACTATTAAACAGTTAATTAAGACAGAAAAATGATGAAATTGAATATCTCCTAAATATCCTTTTATATTTTCTTCCAATTAAGTACATCTAAATATTTAATTATTTATATTTACTAAACAATATTTTTGTTAAAAAGTACGGACTCTCAATAAATATTTAAATCAAATATCACAACAGCATCTTCCTACCGGGTACAGACGGGTCTCCCCATAAAAGGAATAGATAATTCTAGCCAATTCTTACTGCGCTATACTCGTATAGCAAACCATCTGGTTTGGTACGAGTATAGTAGTTCTCTTTTTAAAAGCAATACTGAAATTATTTGCCTCCGGGAATTTACAATTTTTTTTTAGATATGAACCTACAAATTGTATTAGATACTTCGGAGGTTTCATAATTATTGTGTAATTTTTTTAATGTACAAACCCCAATTTGCTATCCACGTCTATTTGTTTCACTGCTTATTTTTTTTATTTCGTTTCGAGTTACATAAATAAATATTTGAAAGCTTACATATACCGAATAAAATTTTTCAATACTAATATAAATGGGGTAGTAAATTGCATCAATGCGAAGCCGGGGTGAGTTGCTGGTAAAATATATATTATTTGTATCTATTTAAATCATAAATTAAAAAAAAATATTAAACTGATAAATTATCAGCTACGAGTATATTCAATTGTTATTAAGACGCTCACCTTTTATTCAACTTTAATGAACTTATTAATATAATAACGTAAATAAACTTCGTTACAATGCCGTATTCAATTTATTACTCATTCTTTGTTTTTTTCTGTATCTTGGTTAATTAGTGGCTTCCGTAGATGAATATCTAACGATCACTAGGCAATATTATATGATCATGGTATTGTAGATAGCTTGATATATGTGTTATATAAGAAAATGAAAAAGTTTATAAATATATATACTTAATCCGTTTTATGTCTAATTTAGTAAATAATCTTAGTATAATATCTTTTTATCAAAATTAATAATTTAAAGATACAAACAAATAATATTACACTATAATAGATACGTAATTAAAACGCTTTATAACTATTAGTTTTTGTTATTTAAATAAAAATATATTATTCCAAATATATTAATATGTAATATGTAGATATATTTATGAACCCTATCTTTAGTATTGAACAGGGAATTCCTGAAATGACGATGATAATGAAGTGGGTACATTAAGAATAGTGAAGTGCCTAATAAATTGTACTTATAAGACAAATTTGATATTTTTTTTTTGTCTCTACTTAAAAAATTTATTAAAACACAAAATATTATTTAATTTACGGACTCTTACTTCATTTTATCATCACACTTGGCTGTTCGCGTTATCCAAGCGAGTAAAGTTAATTATCTGTGCCCCGAAATGGGATCATGACACGTAGTGAAACGATACCAATCCAATTTACAATATAAATTCTGTTCTATGCCTGGAATTTTAATTCCAGCATCAATACGGTGTTACGTTGCTGGGTAAATCAACATGGACAATTCATTAATCAGTTTTTAATATACTACCCGTGATACAGGAACTCGTTTGAGGATTTCAATGGGTACACAATGTGGCAATGCGAGTTTATAGGAAAATTTAATTTGCTTTTTTACCCATAGCAATACAAATACTAGCGAATGCTCGTGACTTGATCCAGTGGATTTATATTTTAAATTACTAAACTAAATAGCCGTTTGTAATTCGTTAAATACGAGTAATAAATATTCGAGCTATGTTAATGAAAATAACATTTATAATGTTTGTATGTCATGTAAACTTTAACATTTATTATACTGTAACTTGCAACTTCGTCTGTATGAAAAAATAACTTATGCCATTCGTCAAAGCAAATACTAGGTTTAAGCCAAATTTTATCACCTTTAGTTAGGGTATAAAGACGCCAAGAAATAATAAATATACAATCTCTTTTTTATATTGATAATAATAACATTAATAAGTATTGAGTATAATATTTGTGAATATTCAACTATATCATATATGATCAGCCAACTAGCATGCTAGCTTAATATCTACATATTAACAGTATTTAGTAAAATACACACTGCTAGTATTCTTAAGAATAATGAGAAGTTAGTTATCCTTATAGTAATAGTCTATGTAACAATAGTTTCTATGTATTTATTTTGCATTATCAGATAACTTTATCAAACTCTTCATTAACATTAAACTCTTGGTGTCGCCCCATCAATTTTCATAGCCTTTGTTTCCCCCTCAGATTTATTGTATCTGTAGGATACAAATATTTCCTCTGTAGATAACAATAATATTGACAGTTAAGGGTTATAAAAACAATTTTGAATCCCCGATCGTTGACGTGCCCCGCGTTAAGGAATCCAATAATTTCGGCCAGAAAGAAATTCCGTCGGTGAAACGAGAAGAAAAATGCCAAATAATACTATACCTATCTACCTACTTTTACTACGACTATGCTATCTCTCTAATGATGATCGTTTTCGACGATTAATTAATGGTTTTAATGTAGGTACGCCGAAATTCCTTATAACTCCATTTCTAATATCTACCTTAATATATAACTCAATTCTCTATTCATAAATTGTATACTTATTTTTAATTTAATAACTTAATGTTAGGAATAATTTTTATATTTGAAATAAATCCAAGTACGACTATCACTGATTTACACCATAACATCCTTACGAGTATAAACACTATCTGTCATAGCCAGCCTATCAAAACATAATTCGTAATAGTACAATGTCTTCGAATGGTTTAATATTTTATAAACAAGTTACACGGCAGAAATGAAAACTAAAGATTATATTGTCGTAAACAAATTAAGGATCCAGATCGCAATTTGATGGCCGTGCCACACTCAGTCAAGGACCGGGTTTCAAGAAATAAATTAACGATTTGCACCTTTATAGTATACTTTACATTATAATGATGCACATATTTTTATGGAAAATAAAATTAATAAAGTAGGTAATCCAAATATTTCGGATCACGTGTTAATTAGGTTTATTATTTTAAATTGACTAATAAAGTTTAACGAAGTTTCAAAGACAATTATTTTATTTTAAGTTGAAATAAAACTTAAAACATGGGGTAACGATACTCTATACCAATGTTTCCCAACCTCTTTTGTGCCATGTCCCACTTGAACATTTCTAAACCGATATCTATTCGTAGCATTGCATTTAAATGGCTCAAAGCAAGAGAATAAAATCACTTTGAGTCCATTTTTTAATTACCCCCCCCCCTTAACTATCAAATTGCCCTCCTGTGGGGCGTGGACCCCACGTTAAGAAACACCACTCTATACATATTTTCAAAAAAGATCTTTTCTCTTAGAAAATATTGCAGCCCGAAAATTGGGTTACCAAAATAAATTGTCAATTTTCGGAGCAATTTTCTTCTTCAAAGAATAACAATTATTTAGTAAATTATTTGCATGGTTTAAAATGGCAAATAGGCAGGCGAAATGTACACTCCTGACATCTATTTATTTTTTGTGTGAGATACACTAAAATACACAATAACCTTATAGTATACGTACTCATGTTGGGTGTATCCCTTATTTTTAATCACGAGTTAAAAAAGAATAATAAGTTTACAATAATATAAAGTAATTGACTCCTTCAACTGTTCACCTATAATATGGTTATTTTTTTAATGTAATATCTACTGTCTATTTTGCATAAATATGTATCTATATTGTATTTATTGTTTTGCAGACCATCGTTCTGGGGCCAGCGAACAAAGCTGGAGAAAAGATTAATGCTATTAGCCGGCGTGGCTACAGTGCTGGCCATAGCCTTCCTGGCAGCTTTTGTAGCAAGCTTGCTCATGCGTACCACTGCCGACATAAATGGTGAGTCATAAACAATATCTATTTAATTATAATATATTATACCGTTAATTGATCTTTAATTTTAACTATATCAATGTTTTTGTCAGAAATATTTGCAAAACCAGTTTTATGTCGTATAATGCATTCAACATTTTATCGACAATCTATCTTTTATATTTCACTAAAAATTAGCTACGATTTACAGTATTTATATAAGTACGAGGTTATCTCGTACGATTCACTTGTAATGAGATTGTCGTAATACTCGTAATCTCTAATTATCTGCTTGGTTTTCCTACTAACAGTTGGATCGATTTGTATGAAATTAAGTAAATATATAACATAGTCTCCGCAGAAATATAAGCTACTTTTTTTTTATGGACATTAAGGGTGAAATGGGGCAAATGAAATCAGGACACGTACATACTTTATATTATTGTTATTTCTTCTCTTTAAACTTCTTTGTTCCTTATCTCCTATGCAAATTCATTATCTGTCACTTGAATCTGAGGTTGCGAACCATACAAAAAAATTCATGGTCGTTTTAGTCTCTATGTTGTTTGCGAATTAGTATTAGATTTTAATGAATTAATACAGACGACGATTACCACTTTCCATCAGGTGGGCCACTGGATTGTTTGCCATTCTAACTTGTATAAAAAAATAACTTGTTTAATAGCAATTGAGCATAATAAGTGAATTGCCAAAATAGCGGAAAAAAAGTCAACAGCTATAACTATTTCGTTATGGGTGTTGACTAAAAACAGAACGACGCCACCATCTCATCCCCAGCATATCGTAAGAGGCGACTTAGCGACAAAAATAATATTATAATAAAAACTGGAAATGAAAGTCAAGTCCAGGAGTCAATTCATGTTAATACAGCTTATTATCTTTCTCTAACGGAGAAAATCTTGTGCCCAGTAGTGGGATGTTATTAGTTTATGGATATACTCACTTCGCTTACAATATGCGAAATGTCCACTGAATAATTAACGAGAGAAAATTTCGTGTCTGATTCACTACCATTGTTCTTGCTAGGTGTCGTCAATCAAAATGTTTCGTACTTACGACTGTATTTTTTGCGTGCGTTACGTGACACTTTTGTCAATTCTGAATCGATTTTGATATTTTTATTGCAAAGCTTTACTCCATGTTGCCAATTTTGTCAAATTAAATTCAATTGATTTTTAACAATATTTTGTTACTGAACAACAAATTTTATAATAATAATACCAGTTCAGTTTTCTATTTGCTTAAATAGGTATTTTATTTTAGGCAATATCTTTTCACTATACCTGAAGTTGACTCGGAGATCATAAGTCAGACGAAGAACTGATTGTCGCTTAGATAGCTGTCATTTAGTACACACAATATTTTTGTATGACTAGACTGACTAAACAGACTACGACTGTTTCCTTACTTGTATTAATGGCATCACAATTCACCCTTAAATTTCAGGCTAACTTCGTATCAAAGTTCAAGAATTCTAGTTTTTTAACTTTGGCGTACATCACAATGTTTAGAGGATACACACTGTGTGTTTGTCAATAACAAAATTAAAGATATAAAATCAAAGAATCCGGAGCGTATAAAAACAATGCATTTGTAAGTTAGGTTAGTGATTCGTATAAATCATAGTGTTGGTAAATGACACGTGCAAACTAAACCATTGTAATATAAATATAATGGGCAAAATATAATACAGAAACTGTATAAGTGTGACATAATAGCAATCTTTTCAGAAGCATATCCGTGACAATCACCTTATATTCTTATTACGGATCAAATATTAAATTGTTCCCTCACTGGCTTTTCTAACAAACCTATTTTCGTTCACAATAGGGTGTGCGTTAATACATATTTCTGTTGTGCTTGTTTGTTCTAAGGTGCCCCTTTCCCCCGTGGTTCTTCCTAAATTTCCGGCAATAGATAGAATGGAAGACAAATTTTTTGTTCGCTTATGGTGTTGTTCCACTGTAGCTATACTTAATTGTATACTGTTGTCCTTTATATTCACATAAAAGTTAATTACAATTTATAACATCGTTTGACACCTACTAGTAATATAGCATGCAGTATCAGCTGGTTAAAGCTAGACTTACACTATGATGCCGGTCTTGGTCCGATCTCGGTTTGGCAAATGAAAACACTTGAATTGATCGTGATTGATAGTGACTGGAACGGAACTGGACTCTGCAGATAGTATAAATACACACATTATTTCTTACGTAATAATATTTTACCACAACGAGATAAAACCGTGACCCGCATTGTAGTGTGGATCTGGCTTAAGCACAATTACTTTGTGTGACTTGAGACAAATTACTATTTTTTTTATCTAGGTAACTGCAACAAGCAAAAGTTAATTACAATTTAGAATATACATTATGATTTTAGCCTTGTGCGTTGCTTAATATGCGTTGTTTGCTTGTTTTCTAGAGAAGTTGCCACTTGTTAAACAGTTGGTATTAAAAGAAAACTAAAAAATAAATTAAAATTAAACAGTAAAACTGATATAAAATATTAATACAAATCTTCTTGTTAGTGGTTTCATACAACTCACCCACATTGTATCGTTTGACATATTTATGCTATGAGTAGTTGCTACCCATTACGATTATTTTATATTTTGACAGGAAGAGAAAATCCGTGGTATACACGGTAATCCTAAAAAAAGGCCATACATATCAAGACATGGGCGCCTTAATACGTATAATACGAGGTTTGTCCGGAAAGTACGTATAAAAGTTTTTTAAAAATTTTATTTTACAATTATTCAGGTAAATCAATTTTATCCCCTTCAAAGTACTCCCCCTGTGACATAATGCACTTGTGCCAACGCCGTTTCCACTGTGAGAAGGCTCCTTGAAAGTCCTCTGGTTGTAGGTTTCTCAGCTGCCCCGTCGTAGCTTTTTTTATCTCATTTATGTCCCCCAAATGCCGCCCCCGAAGTACCAATTTGGTTTTTGGGAACAAGAAGAAGTCACACGGGGCCAAATCCGGCGAATAGGGGGGGTGTTCGGTCACCGTAATGGAATTTTTACTCAAAAACTCACGGACAACAAGAGAGGTGTGGGCAGGGGCATTGTCGTGGTGAAGAATCCAACGCCCCTCTCGCGCCAATTCTGGACGAACTCGTGCCACACGAGCTTTGAGGCGTCTGAGCACATCGACGTAGAATTTTCCATCAACTGTCTGGCCTGGAGGGACGAATTCTTGATGGACAATCCCCCGAACATCGAAAAAAACAATCAACATTGTCTCGGCCCTCTCTGAATCTTTTTAGCCACTTGTGGACGGTTGGTTCCTTCACAGCATCATCCCCATAAACTGTTCTGAGATCGGCAAAAATTTCACGGCCATTCTTGCCGAGTTTCGAGAGAAACTTGATTACGACGCGCTGCTCTTCAACGGAAGCGGGCTCCATGCCGACGGGGTTTCGTTAAGAGGTAACTTCACAGATGGCGTGACAAGCCAGTTCGCACCGCACGGCGGTCAGACCAGAACTGAAGCATTGTTAGGGACATAAGGAAGGGGTCCTGCGCTTACCTGGCCTCCCCACTCCTCTTTCTCGCATTCCAGAACACTTTTATACGAACTTTCCGGACAGACCTCGTATACTAAACCACGATAATGTTCATAACAACACCATACAACTTTCTGTACGATGGTACTAATCCAATAATAGATAAGTGTAGAGTATTTAGCATTACTGAATATAATCGAATTCAATTCTCAACTCTTTTATGTTGTTTATAAAAAAAGTTGCCTTTTATTTAATTACGTTTAAGTTTATTTTAATGGGACAAAATGGCATAATATCCCCGCCTGCGCTATTGGTATACACTGGCGGGGTACCAGTGAGAGGTATTGTGATAAGTGAGGATGAAAAGGCAAGTCAGATAGCCCATCGTGACGAATTCAACGATAAATAAGTCACGATAGTTTCCAGGGGGAACCACGTGAAGTTCGACCTGATAGGGTATATTAATAGCAATGGGACTAACCTCCCCATTACTAACAATCCATTTCCCCCCATTACGTTTAAATGAATCTGATTTGCTTAGATCTCTTTGTAAACTGATAACAGATATTTGTGTGTAAAGTTTAATCATTTAGATTACTATTACATTATATACACAAATCTCTTTTCACTTCTATAAACTTATTTTACTAATATAGTAAAATTATGACTAGACGAAGTTTGTACGTGAGTATAAGAAAAATATATATATATATAAGAAAAAATAAGAGGGGTCTTAAGAAGAACATTAATAGAAATTTTATCTGTCTGCCTGCCCGTATGTTTGTTCCAACATCACACTAAAACTACTGCACCAAATTCAAATCGGTTTTCAAAATTGTCTTCCCGTGGATGTTACTTAAAAACTGATGTATATTTTATAGAAATGTAAATCCATGGGCATAAAGTAGCGGGCAAAAAACTAGTTTAATAATATTTTTAAAATACATCCTATACCTTAACCAAATCGATTATATATAATTTCAAGATACCAAACTATGATATCATCTAAAACTACTTACACTTATCTAATAAACGCTTCGGAAATCAGTCCGGAAGCTGATGAAGCGAGGTGTTGACGTGATTGAAATTCGCACATCGCTGCACAAGATTCATTTTGCGGAAACGTTCGCAAATCAATGTGCCGATGTGAAATCTGTAATAGAAAAAGTATATCGTTATCGAAAGAGTAGTGAAAAACATACTACGACACGACGTTATGAGTGGTATAGTTACAAAATGTTAGATCACGTCGTGTGGCGAAATGTTGGTGACCGGCCACGCTTCGGCGCTCTTACATTCGTGACAAAAATATTATTGTAATATTATAACAATACTATCGAATGTCGACATTGATTCAAAATTGATCAGACTATTTAGAAATAATTTCATTTTTTAACATTCATTTTACCTACAGTTTGCAAACAACTAATGAAAGTACTAAATTGTACAATACGGTGACAAATTGTTGACTAATAAAATTAGACAATAGAATTGACTAATAAAATTCCCAAATTGCTTTGGTTGGACAGCGAATAACGTAGTTATTATATATTAGGTAGTACTCTTTATTTCACATTTAATTGTATATTTTGTTTTTTACTTATATTTTAATTATCTGAGAAAAATAATTTGTAAGCTGAAGGTTTTGTTAAACAGGAAAGAACTGACTTAAAATAAATATGAGGCCAAGTTCAAGTTTTAAAACTGCTCAATAACAACAACAACTTTTTAAGACGTCACCATCCTCAGGATCCATATAAATTATCCACAGCTTTTAAGGAAAGCAAGTTTTATAGGACCTTACCGTAGGTCCTTTTGTACCTAAACTATGTTCAAATGACTACGAGTCTTGATTTTTTATATTTTTATGTCTACAAACCACAAAAAAAAATTGTTTTATATGAACCGATAAATTTTACAGATTTTCTGATTATATTTGGCCTAATTTATAAATTTAAATACCTATCAAATAAAGTCATCGACCGTTTCCAATAAAAAAAACTATGCTTAAAGATTCGCATGTTTAATTAATTTCAAAGTCCGTAGTTTTATCCGAGTACCACGTGCTCTACATAAATACATCTCTAATTTGATTTTAGCGAATTTTTATTACAGTTAAATAGGCATTTTGTAACCAGGTGTTATTTAACATATATAAACACCTACATAGTATATAGAACGATTTGTCACCCAGTATGATATAAATATTTATCGAAATTTATTATAATTATTAGTATTTTTATGAACACGCATAATTTTTTATGTAAATTAGAATGGCGAATAAGCTGATGGTTCACTTCATGGAAAGTAGTAGCAGTCGTCTATAGATATAAATAGTATCATGGACATAACAAAGTAAATTCTGTCTACCAGAATGTAATGCCTCTGTACCCGAAACATAGCCCTGCAAAGACAACTGTTTCATGACAAAAACACGAATTTTTGTATAAAATTTCCTCTCGTAGATTATGTTATATTATTTCTAGAATTTAATATATTATCTGATAATAGTTCATATTCTTATGATATGTGTTGTAATGAATACATAAAATGGAAATAATTTATTATGATACGTATTATTTTTTTTAATCTCATAATGTTACTTCCTGTATATGTACTCGTAATAATGTGTGTGTATTTTTGTTTTAGACATGCCACAAACTAGTGAACTAAGACTGTCTTCGTCTATGCCACCAGCCGTCGTTGCCAAAGATTCAAATGTGAAGATATGTAACTCCCCAGGTTGTGTACATACAGGTAAATTTATATCATGTTCACTTTTTATATTATTTTTGCTTCACGTTTTTAGTTTCTTTTATTATACTCGTAGGCATCGTACCTTCAATAAATGATATTTTATACCTACGTAAATCTTATTTTATTGAAAAATAAATATTAATCGACATCTATTTATTAAAATAAATATACATACCTGCATGGTTTCTTTCAGCGTCTAAACTGCTTCAAAATATGGACGACAAAATTGATCCGTGCGACGATTTCTACGATTTTGCCTGTGGATCGTTTGTGAAAAACACTCGTATACCAGACGACAAAACTTCTGTAAACACTTTCTCCATCATTACTGATCAGCTGCAGGAACAGATCAGAGCTTTACTAGATGAACCAATTGCGGTCGGTGAACCGAGGCCTTTTGTACTTGCCAAAACTTTATACCAGGCCTGCATGAATAGAAGTAAGTACTCGTATCTAGAATCTCTAATTCTGTTTCATATTAGAAATATTCTATTGTTATAATTATACTATCATATACTATTATTATTAATATTAAAACAAAAGGTGGATAAGCTTTGTGAAAAATTATAAACAAATGGGTCTAAATATGATGGTTGTTAGGGAACAGAGAAAGAGGATAACATACTGCACCGACCCCAAGTAATAGGATAAATACAAAGACCATAATAAAATATATGTTCAATATTGATATTCTGCTCTACATGTATCAATGTTTTTGGTATTGTTTATATTTCTTAAAACAAAGATTGGAAATCTTACGTGAGGTAAGTAAGTACTCATAAGCTTTAACGATTTATTTTATCACCTGGCGATATCTCCTTTACAAGGTACTTGAAGAAATACAATGGCATGTTAAGTATTTAATTAGGATTCCGGTCGTTTTGAAGATTACGTGCTAATTCTGGTTACTCTATCGAATGTACCTTGTTCTTATTAACACTGTTCATATACCTATTTAATGTACTAGTGTTAATTAAACCAACTAGGTACTAACATCAATAGTATTGTAGGACTAATACACATTTTAGAAATAGTATTCAAGCAGTTAGTACTTAGGTACTAAGATTTCAAAACAGATACATTATATATTTTAATATTTTATTTAACTGTATACTTGTTTATGTATTAATAGTTGTAGCACTTTAGCTGCCCGCTAACAAAATGCTTTCTTACTGTATTAGGTTGACTGAAAGAGATCTCTGTCAGAGATAAGCGATGAATAAGATCATATATAAATATTTACAAAAAAAATTTAAGATGTAATTAATAAGAGAATTTATTCGTGTGCATATCAAATATTCTCGTAACGAGCGTTTAAAGTTTAATAAATCTAAAACTGTGAACGATAAAAACTAATAGATACGTGTCATTGACGTAACAACATAAAGTTATTATTATAAATTTGGCATAAGAAAACAAAACAAGAACGTGTCTGATGTGGCGGTACGTTAATTTGTTATAAACTTAATTATCTCAATCGTTATGTTTATTTCTATGTATAGCTTCCAAAGAAAAATAAAAATAAAGGCAATATACCTATTAGCAATATTTTTGTTTTGGTTTTGCCATTAATATTTAATTATTACCTACGACCTCCCACGATTGGACGAATAATATAGGTAACAAACATTTCATCAAAAATAAGTCTGGTAGTTGTTAACCAGAACGTACAGTAGATCTGTCAGCAGTGATCGATCACCAAAACGTCATCCAATATTGTGAGTCATCCATCAAACTCGCACCAAATTAACTAATTAGGTGCTTACACGATTCCTTAATAAATACTCAATATCATTGTTTTATAAACAAAACAAAGTTAGTATATAATGCCGCTGCTTCCCACAACATCGGCTACGCGAAATCCGCTACACCCAGCAATATGGAAATTTCGTAATATCCAATTTTATGCTTATTAATATACCTTATATTATACATAGAAAATCTGTGCAAAATACCATATTTCTCCACAAAGCAGTATCGATCGGGTATCGCTCTGTCAATTAATTTAGGTCAGTATATTAATATACGAATATAGAAGATACTATATGTATGGCTGTACGTACAAAGAGTACAATTTTGTTTAGCGAAAATATTTCGTGGTTTTACGAAAACAGTTACAAAGAAATAAGTACAAGGCTCGGTTCATACGCGTACTGATATTGTGCTAACGCGCTAGCGGACCTGTTGTAAATATTATAAATTTTTAAGCGACTTCAAAAAAGAGAATTAAGTGTATACATTTTTATGTATGATGTAATATAAACTTATATTAATAATTACTTTTGTAACTGACAGAGTTTAGAACAGTTTGGTCTCGTTATAATTTCGTCACGATTAATAATTGTTTTTTGTACGGAAGCAAAATCTTAAATTATGAGTAAATATTTATGTCACGCACAAATTGTTACTGTAATTGATGATCGTTTTCTATAAGCAACACTGAGTATATGTTACATACACATACTTTGTATGTGGAGCGGAGACAAAATTGTACGATTCCGCAGAAGATACCACGCTATCTATATCTCGGCCCATTGTGTACTAATCGTAACTATGATATAACTTATTTTTATATAACACATAGTTGTGTTGTTAAACTGCGCAAATATATTTAAAATTGTCATCACCTCTATCATTTATATAATCGCATTTTTAGTCTCCCTTGTTTCTTACATGTACCATGCAGGACACTAACTATTAATTTATAACGACAGAAAATTAAAATAAGTTAGTATTTTATTTTGGTTCTGTTCATCCCAAAGAAAAAGGCAAAGACCTCTGCCCTTATAGCTTATGTCTATCGTACTGATTCTTCCAAATCATTCAATTTTCTTCGATTAAGATATCTTGAATTGTTGAAATGATGTAATCGTAACAAGAAAAAAGTTTCTTGGGTCTTTCAAAAGTTCTTGAAGCGAGCGCGAAACATTTACAGAAAATATGAAATATATTTTACAAATAAAAACTAATTCAATTTTGTTTTATCAAATAATTCCTAAAATGACAAATTGACTGACATACTACAATGTCTGCTAAAATCGAAAAAAGTATCTATTACAGACTTTTATTTATCGGTTACATAGTCTGATTAGATACTTTACCTAATACTGGATCTAATTACAACAATTATTTAACTGTTCTGTTAGTGTTACTTAAACCAGTTAGTTGTAGCGATAAATCCGAGTGAAAGCGAACGAAGTGATGTTGTTTCCTGCTTTGCACAACTTACGTGACGTAATGGACGAATAACGCTGAAGTGGCCGCCCAGAGGATCAGAAGCGACATCTAATTTTAAACGTATTAAACAAACGCCTATTTAGTTTTTGTCTTATTTATTTATTTATATTTTTTTCTTTTTGGGTTTTTTGGCTAATTTTAGTTTCTAATAGTAAACGCAGGTCTTAATTAAGGAAATTAATAAAAACAAGGTGATAATGGAAGGGTAACGTAACCTGCGTTATAGGTATTTGCCAAGAAGGTTCCAGTGAAGGATGATAAGTGAGAATGAATAGGTTTTGCTTAGAGACTACAGTATGGGGTTCTTTAAAAAGGGTATATTAAAATTTCTTCAGGGTCGGCAACGTGCACGTGACACCCCTGGTGTTGCAGGCGTCAATAGGCTACAGTGACCGTTTACCATCAGACGGGCATAATTTAATTTAATAAAATTGTCAATTATTGTAACATACGCCCGAATGCCTCAGAGATCCGAGCGGAAGGGGGAACGGTTCAATTCTTAATTAAGATAAACAGACGTGTTTTCGCCCGCAGATAAATACTAAAATATCTATCATCATAATTTCTAATAAGTTGACAAATTAGGATTAAAATCTACCATTTATTCATAGAATATAAGAGAAACTAAATTTCTTTTTCCATGTCATCAGCTGCAATAGAAAGTCGAGGTGTTCAACCATTACTGGACATGCTACGTAATCTTGGTGGCTGGCCGGTCCTGGATGGAAACTCCTGGAATGACCGTGCCTTCTCTTGGGAGCAGTCAGTGTACAAGTTCCGTGCTGCAGGTTACTCCGTCGATTATTTCCTCGACTTCTCCATCAGCGTTGATGTCAAAAACTCTACCAAAAGGACCATCGATGTAAGAAATTATGCTATATAACTACTTATTTATAAATAAAACAATAGATTTGGTTGGCCGACCTTAGGTACTTTTATATCTCCAATCTCTGTTAAAATTAATTAAATTTATAGAATTATTAATCTTAAATTATATTGCAAATGGCGAGTATATATTTGTTCAGCGAATTTATTTATAATATGCTCATGCGAATTTTTGTAAATATCCATATTGAGGGACCTACCAACAGTTTATGTTTATCAACAGCTGGATCAAGCCTCTCTTGGTCTAAGTAGAGAGTACCTGAATCGAGGCTTCAGCGACAAATTAGTGCAAGCTTACTACGAATACATGGTGGATATCGCAACTCTGTTAGGAGCCGACCGCAGCCGTGCAGAAGTTGAACTCAAAGAATCGTTAGAATTCGAAATGAAACTGGCAAACGTAAGTTATTTAATTCACTTAAACAGAACGACAGTTGTGGTAATTACTCAACTATACAGATTCAACATTCACTACATCTTAATTGATCCCAATATAATATACAACAGCAGCTTTATAGGCTTATAGGACAAGGAAATGTTGTTTATGAGTCTCGTTGACTTTCATAAAAAAATAGTCACTATTTTAAGATAGTCACAGTTATAAACGGTCTACTGGCTACAAGTTTATGTACTGTTTTCAATGTTTTGATATTTGACCTATTGATTTCATGAGATTGGCTGAACATACCAATCGAGAAACATTATATTTATCGAATCAATTCGTGAAGATTGGACTATATTGCAGCAATAATCAGCTGACAAGAAACAATAAGTTACAATCAATAGCCATAAATCAGTAAACTGGGTTTGTAGGACTCAGTATGTAAGGGTAAAAAGAATCGATATTTTTACTCAATGCCATTCTTGTATACGTTTCATTTTTTCTCTGATTAGCGTGACTTTCTGCAACCAGCTATTTTTTTAATCACACACATTTATAATTACTAACAACTATCGAGAATAATTAATAAATATATACATACATACATAGATATATAGATAGATATATAATTTTTAGTTTTAATGATTCAACACGTACAACTAAGCCAGAATTTAACTATGTCTAAACATTATATTATACAGAAATGCGTGAATCATTTTCAATACATTTTATCAATATCTGCACAGCAATATTTCTCAACATAAACTAGTAAAACCTATTTTAGATAAATAGATGAAATAAACACATTCAATAAACATATAAAGTCATTAACAACATTACAACTTTTTAAGTAGTTTTTACTAGTATTATAAATAATAATTACCTCCAATTTTTAACAAAAACCTTTGGAAACAAATACTCAAATAGATTAGTTTAACTTAAAACTAATCAGTTCAAATTACCCACAGATCTCGTTGCCTTTGGAAAAACGACGTAACGCAACCAGTCTCTACAACCCAATGACCATCACACAGCTGCAGGAAAAGTTCCCCAAGTAAATGTTTTAGTCATGTATTACTTATTTTTATAGGTTATCTCTACTATTTTTTCCTCTTGATTTTATTAGCCACACATTGTAGTAAGAAACATAAGATACCTACCTAGTTCTAAACACCATGTGTAATATTACTTACTTGCTATTGACATTTATAGACGTAATTGTCAATGAATACAGTCTATGAAATCTTAACGTTTTCTAAATCTACAATATAGTTTCTTATAGTTTATATAGTTTTTTTTTTATTATTTTATCTGTATTTTAATAGGATCCCATGGCTGGAGTACATCAACCGTCTGCTAGCTCCACATGTTACTGTTACCCACGATGAAATTGCCATAGTCAGCGTGCCGAAATACATCTCCGATCTTGAGGTTTGTATTCATTGTATAGTAGCATATCCTGTCCTGAAATCATAAGTTCTAAATCTTAAACAATATGCCCATATGTTAAATCCGTAAGGACACATTATATTCTAATTATAAATTGAGCTGACTTGTGTACTTTATATCGACAATCCTCGACTAGTTTTATCATAGTTTCTCTTAACTAGAGCTCCCATATATATACAGAGTATATAACTAATAAAGTATTCTCAGCAAAAATTCGTATAAGGCAATCCAGTTGTACTTTTCGTTTAAAATAAAGTTCTGAAACGACTAACTATTCTAAAACCTAACACATTCTTGTATGATGTAGTTATTTTTTCTAGACTTTTCTTTGCTACAGTTTTCCACCCGGTCCAACCTTTTTTTTTATACAACTTAGAATGGCAAACAAACTGACGGCAGACCTGATGGAAACTGGTAACCGTCGCCTATAGACATGTGCAGTACCATGGAAATAACAGAGTATACTGTTTTGCCCATGATACCCCCCATGCGTTGCCATTCCTGAGGACTCAGGTGTTATTCTTCTGTACCCAGTAAATTCACGCACCTGGGAAGTGCCGTGGTTAATTCCTTATGAATTCTTCCCGATGAACCAATTAATTTGACTTTTCCTCATTATAAACCAATAGCTCAAGTTTTTATTTTACACCCATTAAAAATATCACACTTTATAATTTAGACTACAACTCTAAAAGAAACAATACTATCTCGCAACACTAATAAGACGAATTATAATTATATAGGTACTACTTGCAAAGACACCGGCCCGTGTTCAAGCTAACTACGTAATGTGGCGGGTGGCCGGTGCTTCAGTGTCGTACCTAACTGATGAACTACGACGAAGACAATTGCAGTACATCACAGCACTATCAGGGAAGACTGAGCGCGAGAGCAGATGGAAGGAGTGCGCCGATACAGCCAGTGTCAGGTTATTATGTTTCCAATGCCTAAGGATTACCATAATTTGTGTTCCGATACTAAAAGCTTTGTCTAGCTTCGTAAATATCTTACCAGTTCAAACACATGAGGTTTCAAATTTTGCATATTAATGTAACTTCGATAACAATGTTATAATTAATACATATAATAAAATCGTAACTGGTTGCTGCATGTATATGGAAGATATATAAGAAAAACTATTATAGGGGAGCTTTATGAACGGTATAGAACCAAAAACAATGATTTTTAGATTTTTTGTCTGTTTGTATATTTGTCTGTACGTTTGTGCATACTAATCTCAGAAACAACTTAACCGATTTTAATGCATTGTGGTTTTGCTCCACTTAACATTTAGTGTTTGTTTTATTTCAATCGAATCATAAAAAAAAGGTATATCATAGAAAAATAAACGCAGTCGCTCCGCCGCACCATGGCCGCTGTGGCCCCACACAGCGCAGCTGGCACCGTGGTGAGGAGGGGATCACAAGGGAAATGTGGGACACATGGACAGACGTGTGATGTGGTAGACGTGCACATTGATGAATAGCACAGAAATAGGTCATTTGAAAAAAAAACTACTCATATTCTGCATAAAGATACGTTTATACCATATTTATTCCAAAATGTTTAAAAAATATATATGGCCATTCTACCCGTGCAAAGCCGAGTCGGGACTCTGGTATGATAATATAAATATGGAACTAGCGTAATGACGGTGTTGAAAAATAGCCCTAGTAATTTCGCTGTACTTACTTCATTTTATCTTTATTAGTATATACAACTGTCCTAGACAATTATTTACCGATCGAGTTTGTTACAGTATGTCTATTGCTGTGGGAGCACTATATATAAGAAAATACTTTAACGAAAAGTCGAAAGCCAATGCCTTGGAAATGGTGAATGACATCAGGTAAGCATGGTTAAAATAATTATATATATAAATTGATTAGAATGTTTATTTCGAATAAGTAAATTTATATTCCAGTCTCTACCTACATAATAAGTGCTACATAATTACATCAATTACCTAGTCCTTAGGCCAAGATAACTTGGTCTGGGAAACCACATGAATGCGCTTCCACTTGGGTACGGAAGTAGTTCAAACGTGTATTTACCCTGAAGGCACCATTTCTTCCCTGTTATACAATGCACATGGATCTCTGTGCTAAGCCTTAACTATGTATTAGTCAATTGTAATATTAATTTTAACGTGTTTTGGAGTATAAGTTAGATATAGAAGGAGAAAATCTTACTAAGATGGAGGCATTAAATTTAGACAAACATACACATAAAAAATTTGCTTATCATAAGGTCGAAAATAAAAAAACAATCTCAAATGTCAACTATTATTGGTATTATTACCAGGATAAAACATTTAGAGACAGACGTACTTTTCCAGATATAATTACCTTTTTTGTAATTTTAAATTAAATTAATTTGTATAAAAATTATTCAATGCCGTCATAGACAACAGTTCCGTAAAACGCTGACAGAAGTGGAATGGATGGACGAGAAGACCCGTCAAGAAGCCCTGGAAAAAGCAGATGCTATGGAGTCACATATCGCCTACCCCAGTGAAATGCTTGATGACAACAAACTGACAGAGTTCTACTCTAGCGTAAGTTCCTTATTTACATAATAATAAAACTTTTTAAATAATAAAACGTAGAAGGCGAAATTACAACAACAATGGGGTTGTTGTAATTTTGCCTTATAGGTTAGGTATGATACCCCCCATGCGTTGCCATTTCTGAGGACTCAGGTGTTATTCCTCTGTACCCAGTAAATTCACGCCATATCCCACCCTTCAAACCGAAACACAACCATGCAAACACAACTGCTTCACGGTTGAAACACGAATGGGACAGAGGTACCCAAGCAATCGATTTTTGTACAAAGTCTCCCTCAGGTGAGTGTACCTATTTAAATATTTGTATTATTACAGTTGGAGATGTCTTCAGATAAACTCATGGAATCAGTTTTAAATCTAACACTCTTCGGTACAGAGTTCTTATTCAGCAAATTGCGAGAACCTGTGAACAAAACTGACTGGATCACCCATGGACGCCCAGCTATTGTAAATGCTTTCTATTCATCTATTGAGAACAGTATCCGTAAGTATTATCTTGTACGAGTATATACTTCACATATATAAATCCATATAAATCGATGCACAAGCATAACTAAAACCATGTACCTACCTGCCAATCAGCATTTTAATTTCTACCAAATAGGCTGATAGCTTGATTGTTATTTTAAGTACCATAAAAATACGATCTAGACATTAATATAAGTAGATATATATATATTTTTTTTATGTATGATAATGGAATGGTAACCCCGCCTGCGCAATCGGTATACACTGGCTGGGCACCAGTGAGAAAATGATAGGTGAGAATGAAAAAGAAGGTAAATTAGCCCATCGTGATGTGAAGTGAATTCACTTGGAATTCAGCACGATGGTTTCCAGGAGGGACCACGTGGAGGTCGACCTTTTTGGGCATATTGCTAACAATGAGACTGTACCCATCCCCCCAAGTAGATATATTAATTATAACATTTTGATTATTACATAACAGAATTCCCTGCTGGTATCCTGCAAGGCGCTTTCTTCTCTGCGAAACGTCCGGCGTACATGAACTATGGCGCAATTGGATTCGTTATTGGCCATGAAATTACTCACGGTTTTGATGATCAGGTATAAATATGTCCATTTTCTATAAAGTACCTATTTATTAATTTACTTGATTTTGAGGTATAATGGAAAATTAATATGATAGAAAACAAACAAAAAAACTTTTTTTTTAAATAAAACTTTATTTAATAAAATGTTATCATCGGATGTCATACTGTTATATTTTAAGTTACAATTTTAAAATTTAAATAACAGGGTCGTCAATTCGACAAAAATGGCAACTTGGTAGATTGGTGGCAAGAAATGACTAAACAGAAATACTTGGAAAAAGCTAAATGTATCATAGATCAATATTCGAACTACACCGTCAAAGAAGTTTCAATGAAGGTACGTTTAAACCATTTTAATCATCTTTTAAATGTTAAATAGCTTCCAATTCTATTTTTGTGTGATTTGAGTTAATAACTAATTTGATTTTTGCAGTTAAATGGTGTCAATACACAAGGTGAAAACATTGCTGACAATGGGGGTATCAAAGAAGCTTATTACGCATATCAAGCATGGACACATAGACACGGCGAGGAATCGCGTTTGCCTGGTTTAGAAAAATATTCACCAAGACAGGTACGAAATTGCATATAAACATCCCGTACATAATGAAAGTTTTTACTAAAATTTCAAAACTTTCTTTCTATAAATTCGCATAAGGTTTTATATTACCTTAGAAAAACAAAATTAATTATATTGTTCATAACATCTGGTATTATATTAGATGTAAATATTATATATTACAAAAACAAATATTAATGGAACCGATATAAAAAAATTATTAAAATTTCAGTTGATACAACTGAAATTGTAAACAATAATTTAATAATTTCAAGGCGCAAAACTAATAATTAAACTTCCGTAAATTAATGTATCTTAATATATACGTGTAGCAAATAAAGAAAATATTAACTACGTGCATTTCGACCTGTGAATAAAAATATTCCGCTATCTCATTTTATTATCCCTCGAAAAAATCAATTTTGTAATTTGATATCTTACTTACCGAGTCGTTACAAATTGCAGTTGTTCTGGCTGAGTGCAGCTAATACATGGTGCACAGTGTACCGCAATGAAGCCATCAAACTGCGCATAACCACCGGATTCCACGCGCCAGGTCGCTTCCGCGTCGTTGGCCCTCTATCGAACATGGAAGAATTCGCGTCCGACTTTAAGTGTCCAATTGGATCTCCTATGAATCCAGTCAAAAAGTGTAAAGTGTGGTAGTACATTTATGCCGCCCTCTACTTACCGTTAAATTGAACTTAGTCGGTAATCAGGTGCCAACGCGACCTGAGGATGCGACTGATCTATCTGGCGAGCAAAACACAACCATTTTATTCGATAATACCAAACTCAAACAAAGTCTTCTAAGGGAATGTTCATTATTTATGAGTACTGAAGTATTATTAACTACGTTTCTGTAATAATTTTAATTAACGTATTATTAACAAGCCAGCTGGTAGCTCGACAGCTGATACTGTGCACAAATGGTTAGTGCAAGTCTGTGAATGTCCTTTGAATGTGTAGATGTCACTGATGTTTTGGTGTTGTTTAAACTTGTAAATAAAATAGCTGAATTCTGTTTTATGGAACCTTTTGTAAACATAATACTATGTGTCACGCCGTGAATATTGAAATTCCTTTTGGATGAGATTTTAGACTGAGCACCACATTTTTATACGACGGGTATACTTACATTATCTGTAGGTTTAAAAGCTTTATAAAATCGGTAATACTTTATTATTCATTTTTTACACAAACAAATTTTGTACTTACTCTATACGCTTTGTGCTAGTATTACAAAAGTTCGTACCCACGCTATTTATTATCTATATTTTTTAAATAATGTATATTGCCAATTATAAAATAGAATGTTGTTAGACTTTCAAAATTGGGTAAGAAACAACACAGATCCAATAATATCTATGAGAAAAAATACCATAAATAAATATAATAAAAGATTCCTAATACTGATGAGGTACTCAAAAGTAAATAATATAAATTTTATCCTTCTGGTTTAGTATCACAATTTATTTCACAAATATAAAATGTGAAATAGTATTGAAAAGTTTAAATTAAAAAAGAATGTTAATGGAAAAATTATATTTTAGTTTATTTTTTTATTGTTTAGTACTTTGTTTACTTTTCAATGAAATATATATTTCTGTTCTTACGTTAAGACATAAATTTATAAAGTATATATAATAAATTTGTGTAGCATATGCAATGCCATCTAGCATAATAATTATATTACTATAGTTCTAGATGGCGCTGTAATAGAAATATGCGTAACACGACGGCAGAACAGAACAAAATTTCAATGAAAAGATATAAAAAGAACTAGATCACCAATTCACCAGTAGAAATTAATACTAAATTTATATAAAAAGTACAAACATTTAAAATATTGCCACTTTTACTATATTTGGTGTACCCGGCTACGAAGTGTGTTACTTAAACTTGTAGTGACTTATTGTATTATATTAATTGGATTGTCACAAGTATTTTATATTTATTATAAGCTATGATATTAGGTAACAGCGAAACTCGGTGGAACATCAGGAAACATTTAATCTGTAATCAGGCTAATCTGTAGCTCTAACTAAAGCTACTAAGGATTAACTGAAGTTATGATGAATTTATTTTATCTGCAAATGTAATCTTACTCCAACTTAGAAAGGATAGCAAAGTTCATTTGTTCCAATAGCCATTACTCTAATAATTAAAAAGGGTATCGAAGGAATACCTGTCCTGTCCCTTTGTGGGATAAACCAATAGTGATAATTTAATTTTAGTATAAGTACCTAGTTAAGTATAACAGTTTGGATACAATCGTATTGTTGTAAATCATTGAAACACCAATATAAGGTCTTTTTATCACACTATTCTTTCATTTTACTCCTAAGAAGAGGGCACTTATCACGATAATCATATCTTGTATTTAAAATAAAAAAAAAATATATTAAAAACGGGAATTTTTTAAGTGAATTAAAACATATCTCGATACCAACAGCTCTACACATAACCTTTACGAGCACCTCTCCAGACAAATTTTATAGTTTTCTTTTTCCCATTTCATCAATCAAAACATCGTTTTGAATTCTATTTAATAAATAAAGCTAATAATAAACTAAAAATATTTTCGTATGTTTATATAAGACGACAATTTAAAATGAAACCTTGGATGTACAAAATTGTAGCTGTTATTTTACATAAAATTATTTTAATGATTAATAAAATGAAATACACTTAAATTGTTCTCAATGATACAAGGTTATATTTAATCATGTTCATTTATTTGTTCCAAAAATAATACATAATAAGGAACTGACTATAGGTACTTTGAATGAATACTACACAACGTATGCATTGCTTGTTTTAAATAATATCAACGTATTCGAGGTAATCAGTCATAATTAAATTATAGGTGCCTGACAATCACACTAACGTGTGGGCCACAATATAATTGAGATACCCTGTGCTATGAGAAACTAAGCAAACGAAGATCCAGGGATCAATACCCAGAACACCCGATTTCGAATGAGCTAAGAAAATTTCATTTCCTATATTGGCTCAAATAAGAATCGAATCCGGGTCTCCATTTCTTGCAATGCATTATATTATAGCCACATTACAGAGACTGTTAAAAATAAATAAATCCAGAATAAAGCATTCACGCCATTTGAAGCTATATATTATAGAATTAAAGCACTGGAGAGAATTTTCTCCTGTATACGACACGTTTGCAACAACATTTCGATACATATATGTATAATGCTAATTATAATTGTAATATATTAAACTCTAACCCATATTTGCATATTAGACCATAATTATATAGAATTTTATTGTGTTCGCGCCAAATCTAAGCAAATATCATTAGCCGAACAGCGCCCTTCTGTTCTGTTGTTTCTTCTGACAATGAGAGCTCGAGACAACGCGTTGAGTTGTCCCCTCAATTAAGTCTTGCTTGGATCTGTAACCCCAAAGTACGATACGATGTACGATAGGAGTGTTATGAGAATTTAAAGGTACCTACACGTATAATTGTTTAATAGAAATACTAAAATTGTATAATAAAATTTAAATAACTTATTTTTTCACTTATAATATAAAAATTAATTAATTAATTAAATTACTAAAATTATAATACAATTAAAACGTATAATATAAAAGTAAAGACTAAAATAATTTTAAATGTTCAATTTGATAAAATCCAAGTTATTCGTACTCATTCACGTATTTGTACTCGAACTCGTAATTCAATCTTGGACGCACTCCAGTAGGTACCTAATCCACTCATACAATTTTTATTGCCAAATCTTCGCTTCCAATCAATTCGTTTATACTTCCCTCAGTTTAGCAATCGCCAAACCATTAGATATAAATACAGAAATATAGTCACATTCATAATAAGCATATTAGGAAAAAACAAGCAGAATGAATAAATTCTTGCATGCATACATTCAAACAAATGATTAATATTCGTACTTAAGGCAGCGTGCCTAAGAAAATTGGTAAATGTCAGTCTTACCTCCAAACTGTAAATTTTGAAATCAAAATAAATTACTTTTGATTTATCTTTCCTGAGTACTCTGGTCCAGAATATTTTTTACTATACAATACTTAATTAAAGTTATTTCCAATTAAAATAATTTGATTTTAGTTATATAACTTTAGGTATATACCTGTACAAACAAATTTCATAGAATTTATAAAGATTCAAAATTTTTATCCTGTCCCTCAAAACAGTTCCAGTGCATTCCATTTTTAAATACAATAGAATTTTGTTTTTTTTTTTCTTTTTTTTTTAAATGTAACCGCTCAATGGAATTGTCTTAAAATTTAATCGAAACACAATAATATATTAATAGAGTATTTATACTTTGGTTTCTAATATCACAGGAACAGGTTAAAAGATTTAAATTTTGTTTAGAGGTTTTTGTCTCGTAAAGATGACAGTTCCATTGCCCCAAACGAAGTTCTGACAACGACGAGTATAATAAACACAGACTACAAATTAGAATCACGTAAACGACTAAATTGAATAAATTTACTAATATTATACGAGAAGTAAGGAGTATTCAGAATCAGAACTGTATACCAAATGTATACTCCATATCTCAATAATTTGTTATTTTCATCAACGGTTTTTTTTTTTTTATAATGCGAAGATGGCGAAAAGGTATACAGCCCGTCAGATGGTAAACAGTCACTGTAGCCTATGGATAACTGCAACAATATAGGTGTCAAGTGCACAGTGCCAACCCTGAAGAAACTGTAATACGTCCTTTTTGAAGAATCCCATTATGAAGAATCTAGGGAAATCCTCAGTAGGGAACTCATTCCACAAAATTCTCATATAGGTACTTTTATAGGCACAACATTACTTTCTCGTGACTTTATTACGCATGTGTTATTAAAGTTATGTCTAAAATTATACTAATTTAAATGAAAATAATAAAGAAAAATTGAGCTGGAAAATTGACTTTGTTGGTAATAGTGGGCTCGTTTCACAAACGTTATTCCCTGAACGTATCTCTAAAATAACATACTAATCTCATAATTTGACGAATGTATTATTTTATGAATCTTCATAATCTAAGTTAATAATAATTTAGACTTAAATCTAGTAGCAATTTAGTTCATACTAAATAACATTCCTTAGAGGTAAAGATTTCGATGTAATATCAAATTAGCATTTCAATTTTAGAGACAAGTTCAGTGAACGTAGTCTTGGAATCAACCCCAATATACCCTGAGTACTAAAACGAGACTAGAAAAATAGTCATTCTAAATAATAAAAAAAATATCTTATGAGTTTTATAATTAATACCCTTAATTGTAAAAAATATTAATTTCCGAAAATTAAATTTAATATCAATAAAAGATTCCATTTTGAGGTTTACACTGATAAAACAATTAGATTGCTACTGTATATGCAAAAATGTTGTTGCATGTGACCAGAGACTCATTCACACTATCCGCTTGGTGTCATCGCTAGAGCACGTGTCAATATGACACTTCTTATAAAACATTATTACTATAAACAAAGAGCGAACACACACGCGGCTTTTCTTGCATACAGTATGAATGTTTCTCAGTAGTCGTATAATTAAATGCCTTAAATATTACGTATCTACCATAAAGAATGCTCTCTTCGGATTGTTTACATCTAAAATATATATATATTAGTAGACAATATGTATACATTTCGCCAGATATTATAAATAAAAACTAAAGACTGCCAACAATATATGTAAAATTCACATAAATTTTCATACAGCATAAAATAAATCCTAGGCAAAATTTATTTCTGAGATCATAAAAATAATGTGTTTAAAACATTTAAAAAGTATACATGCATAGGTTAATTATAATCACATAATGCTTTACAAGCGTTTATACCAAAGTACAGCAATATCTAAATTATCTGTCAAATTTTATTCAAATACATATAATAAGATTCTTAGAAAACTATTGATAGGTAGTAATTTTTAAATTTGACTAAAGATATCTGAAATCTTAGAAAAAGTAATATATAAAATACTAGCGATTCGTCCAAACTTTGCACGAGTAGATTGATAGAAAGACAAATTAGTATTTTATATTAACTTTAATAGGAAATAATTGATACTATGGGTTGCATTATTGTAATTTTCGTAGGCATCTCTATTTTTTTTAAATAATTAATAACCTGTATTACCTGTGTATAATATAACTTTTTATTGATGAAAAAATTTAAAAAAACAGTCAAGTTCTTATAATTACTTAAAAAACATAAATATTTCCTCTTTATAATATTAGTACAAATGTAAAGAAAATTTAATACTGGATTTATATATAAGTTAATTTGCTATCAAAACATATTTTAGATCATCTCTAAACAATAAATAAAACTGTTTAATAGTTTCTAAAAATTGCCAAATAATGCAGATGATGCCAGACATTGGTATGAACGCGCCCAAATTAATTAAAATAGTTGCCAATTACTTGGTGAATTGCACCTCACAAACCGACTCTTTTATAAACTAAATCTTTTAATACTTATAAGACAACCTATTTGTGCCCTTTACGTAGATAAAACAAAAATATATAAACCTGATCAGATTCATACATCTATAGAACTATTATTATAATTTTTATCTTGTATAATATTGATATGAGATACAATATGAAGATTCATAGTAGATATTTGAATGGATGCACATGCAATTGTTGGTGTATAATATCGAATTAGTTAATATTAAAAATATTTCTGATCAGGTTTAAAATTTTACATTTTGTTCATCGTGATTAACAGAGTTTTATAAGATTTGCATGAATGCTTATTCGTCTAAACTCGGCGGGTTATCGTCAATGAACACAACGTGCGATTTTAAATATATCAAAAACGCTAATAATCGATCGTTTTCCGCATCCGAACCCCTGTAACAAAGTAAAAAATCAAACTACATTTAGCAATAATTAGAATATTAAAATTAAACATATCATCTCATAAAAGAAAGATGTAATTAAAAAAGTAGCTATTATGGCTTTTTCATTGCACCTTTAAACTTAATTTATATAGACAATATCTAAATGACTCTAAAATTATTTAAATAAATCAATACCAATACCTTACACAGTATCAAAGTTTGTACTATAGGTACTAAACTACTAATAACTGTTGTTAATTGTTAAAATGAATAAAGATAAACAAACGTTGATACATTAGATATAAAACAAATAAATGGCGACATAGAGAAATGATTATCCTTTCCAATATTAGTCTCAACTAACAGTTAGTCTGGAAAAAATGTAAACAAGCACAACGTTCATTGCAACAGCAGAAGACGATAAAAAGCATCGATTTAACGAAAGGCATATTTACTGTATATTTTACTGAAACTATTAATAACATTAATGAAATGTATTTGTTATCAAAATTATCAAAGCTTAACAAGCTATAACACAACGCCTCTGTTGCTGCAGGTTTCTTATACGTTACGCTTGTTTTTATCCTTTTTATATTAAAATAAATTAATCAAAATAACATAAAAATCTTACTCGACATCGATTTCTATCGCTAGCACGGTATGATGCGGTTTCCCTTCTTCATCGAACCATCTGTAATGTGTTATTTTTATAGTTAATTTCTATAGAACCTTGAATATATTTACATGCTTTTGAGTTACGTCACAGGGCAAGAAACTTACATATATCTCGGATAAATTTCTATTAAGGCATGAAAACAAATTTAGTAAAACTCACTTTAGTATATCAATCAATTGTTAGTATAAGAATAATAAATACTAGAGTATTAGTAAAATATAATATCTCGCTGTTAATCTATAAAAAAAAAAATATATAATAAGAAAGGTATACGAAAACATAACCCAAAATATTAAAAAAAAGATGACTTATTTCCCATATTCTCTGGACACAGCATTTCACATTGAATTTTTTGATAGATTAAAATGGAATAGTACTACCCTAGGGGCTTGCCGTGTATTCCTGGTACAGAATGAACCACTCCTTCCTTGCTTGTGGGTGTCGTAAGAGGCAACTATGGGAAATTAAAGGGTAGAGGGATGGGGAACGTATGGTAACGTCCCGCTTACAAGATCACCAAAGCCTAACTGCGGTTGCCAACCCGCCTGCCTAGCGTGGCAATTACTGGCAAAACCAACATTATGGGGGAGGTCTATATACAGCAGTGAACATTTAACGACTGATATAATAATGATGAACCCTGGATGCATCAGTGATGGATGATTGGAAAGAATGAAGTTGGTATCAAATTCTACAGGAATTAACTAAGATAGGTTTAAGGAGCAACCATGAGATTCTCCTAATAGTATATATTAATAAGACAATTGGGTCATTAATCCCCATTATTAACAATCCCTTTCTCCTTAAAATGGCATTACGTAGTAATATGATAATACTTACATGTCAGCGAGAGGTGGCGAGGTACACAGTGTTGGTACTAGCGAGCGCGGTCGTCTGACGACCCCGGACTCGCTGGCCGCTTGTGCAGAACCCAAAGTCGAACGGACTACGTGCCAGAAAGCGCGCTGGGCAGCCCCAACACCATCGATGCGCTCGATACGCACCCACCCTAACACATTATATGAATATTTAATATGATTTAAGAAAAAATCATATAATAATATGTATTTATTTTTATTAAAGAATATAATTTAAAATTAATTTAGAAACTTTATTTTTAAAGTAATTTTTGATTCAAAGACTCGTCTCATTCTAATGTATGCCGAACAAATGATATTTTATGAATGAAAGAATGAATTAAAATACTCATAGAAGCAAATGGGGTTTTGTGATTTAGAATTATACATATCCCATAAGACAAATAATAATTTAATGTTATAACTACTATTAACATTCTTTCCCTTTGGATTAGTCTTTAAAAATTGGTTTCTTTAAAATTATTGTAATTGAAGCCAATATATAACAATTTAATGATTCTCAATTGTAAAGTATGGCAACATTTACTTAAAGTTCAATCTTCATCTATCTACCATGTCACATTTTAATTCTCCATACGTTTTTAAATCATTACATTTATCAAAAACAAGTATAATTATTTACATTTAGCATAAACATATTTACCAGCTAATGGTGGTTGGGCATCGGGCTGGCAATTTGTACAGTAACATCGCACCTGGCCCCAAGAAACCGCCTGTCGCAATTCAGGATAAGGTAACACCAAAAAGTGCCAATACTTTAAAACCAAGTGTAAATGTTCACAACCTTCACCAGACGCCTCCAATTCCGACTCCAAACTGTTACCATCTCCTGCTTCTTGATCCAAACACAATATACGATTAAGATAATTTAAATTTTCTGCAGACAAAGGCTCCGACCAGAAGTCATCACGACGTGTTGACTCATCTATAGAAGATGACTGTTCTTCGGTTAAATCAGGCAAATTTCCAGTCTCAAGAGTTAATGCATCCATGATTTCATTGTCTAGATTATCCACATCGTTCGCTTCAGGGTAACGATCATTATGTCGTATATTTGTATCACAAAACCATTCGTGAACCACTACATCGTCTCCTTCTTCACCTATTCCAGAGCCAACGCTGAAAGTTTGGCGCAATGTGTCCTTTACATTGCCATTTAGAACATTATCTTCAGTGATACGACTAAAACCCTGAGTTGAATGACTTTTCTGTATGCAACGATTCACCGTTTCATTATTATTGGCAGGTAGGGCAGTGGTATCCGATAATATCAAACTGTGATGTAAAGCTAACCGATTAGGACCATTTTTTCTAATTATAACTTCATCTTTTAGTTCTACTTCATGTGTAACGATATCCGGTGGTGGAGGATCAGAGTTGCTACTTGGACCAGCTTCTATTACAATGGGTTGATATTCATCTTCAAGGAGGTTATCTTGGCTGTAGGCTTTTACTTTGCGTTTTGAGCGCGTCTCTTGTGTTTGTGTATCAGTCAAATTCTGTCGCGTACTCTTATCTTCATTTACTTCTAATTCGGCCAAAGATTCTTCAATAATTGGAAGATCTAATGACGCACCGCTTACCACGACATATGGATGAAGCAATACAGATATCTGTAAACAATATTGATTTATATCAAACACTGTCATCTTTAATCTATCAATCACATCGTAATCATCAAAATTGTGATTGGTGAATTCACAAACTACTCTGAATTCAATAACATGGCTTCTTGGTTATTTTTTATATACTTTAAAACAGATACATAGATATATATTTTGAAAGAAAAACAAAGCGCCGCTAATGGTGCTCGCGATTTCATATTATTGTGTAGTAGTTAAAATTATTTTTTTAATTAAGAAGTCGAGACTGTACATACTAGAGAATCGCAAACAATTCGTTCAACCGATTCCAATAAAACATACACGAATTTGTATGTTTGGCTAAAATCTACTCAATTATAAAATTTTGTTACGATCTATTCAGTCATCTTGACGTACAAATAGAAATATATATATAAGGTCTTATACATGTATATACATGAAATAAGACTAAATCACAAGTAATATTACTAAAGTACAGAATGGATACACCTACTGCCGTTTGCGATTTCAGCTCATCCCCTCTCAAACAAGTGGGAGCTACCAAACTCTATTTTCTAGCGCTAGTTATAACTACATACGCAGAGGGGGGATTGTTAGTAATGCAAAAACCAGTTCTATTGCTAGCAATATACCTTGTCAGGTGAACATCCTCGCGATTCTCTACAAACTGTGATGAATTCGAGTTATATTCATCATGATGGGCTAATTGACCCGCCTTTTCATTCTCACCTATCATCTCTCACTGATGCCAGCGTATACCATTAGCGCCGGCGAAGCTATTCCATTCCATTTCCATTGTCATCCATAAAAAAAATCTATAAACGCACACACTGTCACATATGTCATGTATAGACGTTACCTATGTCTGTAGTTGTGAGTCACGGATCGTGGCGTTTTTATATAAAGTGTTCAGGGTGTGACTATATTATACAATATATAAAATACCTGGTGTACTCGTCCGTAAAGATCTATTAGCGGAAATACATGACTATGGTTTCTAGGTACAGAGCCAATGACGCCGATAATTGTGCCATCGATGTCGACTACTAGCTCGCTGTTAAACCGGAAGTGTATCGACAACACTGACTGTTCGTTGAGCTCTTCGAATGCCGCCGCCATTTGACTATTCTTCTGAAAATTTAATAATTGACTAATTAAGTATATATTTTATACATTTTTTTATACAACTTAGAATGGCAAACAAGCTGATGGCCCACCTGATGAAAAGTGGTAACCGTCGCCTATAGACATGAGCAGTACCATGGACATAACAGAATATATTGTTTCACCCATGATACTCCCCATGCGTTGACATTTTTGAGGACTCAGGTGATAACACCTAAGAGGAATAATCCTCTGTACCCTGTAAATTCACGCCATATCCCACCCTTCAAACCGAAACACAGCCATGCAAATAACTGCTTTACGGTTGAAAAACGAATGGACAGAGATACCCAAGCAAACGACTTTTGTATAAAGTCATAAATCTAATGTCATAAAATAAATCTGGTACATTCACGTACAGTAGGTTTTTAAAGGAATTTCATCATGCGAGCGCCCAGGAGGCTTGTTATTAACACTTAAAATCTGACAATACAGTTGATACAGAAGCGCTATTCTCTAAATCTAACTTCTAACCTAATTATTTAACCCTAATTTAGCCCCTAACCGTCCAGTGCTGAACATAAACCTTGCTCATGGGAAATTTTGTTAGTAGTTGCCATTCTTGGTAGGCGGATTGGCAACCGTAGTTAGGCTGTAGAGATGTTTAAAGAGGGACGCTGCTGCTCATCCCTCGCCCTCCCTTAGTCGCCTCTTACGACACCCACGGAAAGGAAGGGGTGGCCTGTTCTATGACGAAACCACACTTATTTTGATTCCTTGCAGGAAAATAACTACAAAAGAACTACTTACAAATGTGCCATTATCGTGTATAAGGTCGCTGGACACCACCCATATGGGAGGTTCCATGTGCATCGCACAATGCGGTAACGGCTCTGAAGGTAAAGAGCCAACCGCACCGAGAGACACGCTGCCCGACCACTCGCTAGCCACTTTGTCCACGCGGAACTGTCAACAAAATAATTTTCAAATCAAAAATCTTTCGATTGATTCAAATAATGTAATCAAATTTAACATTTTTATACATATTTAAAGTTTTTCGCAAATTCGCAAATCACTACAAAAAAATTACTTGTATTTAAAATATTAATTATATCATCATCATCATTTCAGTCATTATCCATCCACTGCTGGACATAGGCCTTCCCCATAGACTGCCATAAGGACCGTATATACACTGTGAAAATTAATTTCTATTTTTTTATGCAACTTAAAATGGCAAATAAGCTGGACGGCCCACCTGATGGAAAGTGGTAACCGTCGTCTATAAACATGAGCAGTATCATGGACATAACAGAGTATACTGTATCGCCCATGATACCTCCCTTAGTTGCCATTCTTGAGGATTCAGGTGTTATTCCTCTGTACCCTGTAGATTCACTGCCATATCCCATCCTTCAAACTGAAACCCGGCCATGCAAACACAACTACTTCACAGTAGAAACATGGATGGGACAAAGGTACCCAAGCAAACGACTTTTGTACAAAGTCTTCCTCTGGTCTTATATAACTTGATGCAATTGCATAAAACAATCAGATTATAAAGAGCTATTATTACAATAGTAAAAATATGGTACACATTCGCAAAATTCGTTTACAATTATAAAATTTGAACGCGTTTAAAAAATAATTTGCACTTGCAAAATTTACTTGCATTTAAAAAATCTTGTACATAAATGATTAACTTGCACTCCGCTTACAACCTTTGCTTGCACTTGCATAAATTAAAATTGTAAAATGACATTTAATGTCTAGTATAAAAAAAAAACAGCAAAATGAAACATTTGTGTTATAGTTTCAGATATATACTTAGTATTTTGCATTTAAATAAAAATTGACAAAGTCGTCGTCTTGCTTTTTACAATAAAAATAATGTGTACGGAAACACTAAGAACTTGTCCTTGGGAATAGCAATTCATAGGGATACTATGTGTTGTTTGTCTTCAGGCGATGATTTCATTGAATGACCTCCATTTGTTTGCCATTTCAAATTATACAAAAAATATTATATAGTAAATTTATGTACATATATTATGTAATGTCTGAATCGATTTTGATTTTTTTCTTTTCTTGCACTCAAGACGATATACTCCTATATTGGTTGCATTTATTTATTTATTTATTCATTAGTATAAATATGTGTACATGGCGGACTTAATGCTAAAAGCATTCTCTCCCAGTCAACCATAGGGAAGTGTCAGAATACTCGAATGCGGTACTACTAATTATTGATATACATACATACTAAAATTACATATATAAACGAATAAATATATATGAATAACAAATATACTTACACATATATGATATATACTATATTATACATGAATTTGGGAATAATATAAAGTACTTCTTGCGCGGATAAAAATAAAAAGTGAGCGTGAACGCTTTTTTTGAAAGACGGTTTAGTCGTTGCATATTAATTTTGTCTTTATTTCAAGTATTTTTATAGAACAAAATATTATACTATTGTAATATTAAGACCTGGTACTATACAGTTTAATAAGTAAATATCGCTGTGTTTTAATAAGTCGCATCTGCTAAACGAATATAATAAAAATAAACATATGCACCGTTATTATTTTTAAATTTGCAATATATACATTACTAATAACATTCGCATAGCTATTTTAATTCGCAAGTTTTATATATATATGAAGCAGAAGTGAAATTGGGCATCTTAACAAAAGTGTGATTACTATATACTTAAATAACACTAATTTGCTTTAATTATAGCCTTCAATGTAAATTTAAATAGGATACCGTTTTAGAGTATTTATTAATAGTATATATCTCAGAAAAACAAACTGAAGAATTTAACAATTAATTTATAAGAAAGATTATTTGCTCAGGGAAAACATTTCCCTTTGTGGCTCCTTACCCGAAAATTTCGTCCCCTCCTCAGCGGTTGACTAACAATGGCAATACCATCTTTGTATCCGGTTGTTCGCACTGCTACTGTGTCTGTAATAATATTAGTCACAATAATTAAAAAAATATATACACTTTTTAAATAAATTAACAAATTTTGGACTAAAAACTAAAACGTCTTACAAGCCTATTTTAATTGGATGGTATATTCTTTTGAATTTATAATTTACCTCAATAGAAAAAGACAACGCTTCATTAGCAAAAATATATTTATTACACTATTAGTATTTTTGTATATAATATAAAAATATTTGTATTTACAAGACACATCAAATAAAAATCCCAAATTATAATTTTGTCACTTAGAACTAAACTAAATAGAGAGAAAACATTAATAATATAACCAAGTATATTTAGAAACGTTTTCTTCATAACATCTCTCCAAACAATAGTGTTGAAGTAATAATTTATTTTTACCTGAGCTACACAACTTTATATTCTTTCCATGTACATAATGAAACGTATATGGCAAGGGATGTCGCCGTCGCCTGGGCTCCGTAGTAACGAGGGGCACTGTCGACACCGTGTTGCTCTCAGTTTGCACAGTATTACTCGTTTCAGCACCAGCCACTAGACATTCTGGATTCACTTCGGCACTTGAGTCGTTGCTTATTACTTCAATTGCAACAGGTTCAATTATTTCAGTACTAACTTCTACAGCATTGGCAGCAGATGACGGTTCCGCAATTGTGGTACTAGTGTCGTTCATGCAAATTGTTATAGGCACCGCTTTCGAGCACTCGTCGTTTGGGACTGTAAATTTTTTTTTTTCTTTTTATTTGTAACATGGTAGAAAAATAAATTTTTTTATAGATATATCGTTTGTACAATTATGCTTAACGCGGTCTCCTGGAAACTGCAACTATGTGATTTCATCACAAAGAATTAACTGACCTAACTTCATCCTCTGCCTATCATCAGTCATTCGTACTCCACCAGCGTATACCAATAGCCCGGGTCGGGTTACAATTCTATTATCGCCCATTGAAAAAAAATATGAAACCAAAATATATGATTTATTAATAAATAGGCACTTACTGGTAGTAGGTAATGCATTAGCCAAATTAACTCCTCTAGATACGGCTTGAATTTTAGTAACTTGTCCAAATATTTCCATAACCACATACACTTTCTGTAAAATAAATAGAATTAATAAATAAATACGTTTTTTTAAATAACAACAAAAAAGTAATTTAAATATTTGAAAATGGAATTCTCTAGCCAATAGACAGAAATTTATCAACTTTGTATTCTTTAGCGGAATTTATTAAATTTCAAAGATATATAGAATATATCACAATACACTATAATAACTGCTTAACTCTAAATAGGCATTCTTTAAAAAATAATAAAACAACAGGTACCCATATATTTTACTCACATCAGGCACTTTATCGAAAACCATATCGAGTAATTCCGAGTTGTAATAGACAAGCACGCGAGAATCATTAGTCTTTTTAAAACCTATACGGTCACCGGGACGTAACCATTCGAAAGAAGGCACGAACGACCGAACATCTTGTTCGCGACTACTGTTACGTGAATACTTCATGTACCTTCCTGTAAATATTACAAATCTGTATAAATATCACAAATTATTTTATTACATAATTATAAAGGGCATGGACTTTATTTTATTAACGTACTAGCATTTATTTACGTCTTCGTCCGTGTGACCTGGACATATTCATAGACAGGAATGAAATTTTAATAAAATTCAAATAATAAAATAGTATGTGTATATCATATTCCATATGATTGCTTAAGCCTTTAAGGCGGGGAGGGGGGAAGGATTGTTAGTAATGAGGTCTAATAGTCCCATTGCTAGCAATATACCATCTCAGATCGACCTCCACGCGGTTCCCCCTTGATACCATCATGGTTAATTCTTGTCGAATTCATCATGGTGGGCCAACTGACCTGTATCCATTCTCACCTATTATCTTCCACTGGTACCTCGTCGGTGTATACCGATAGCGCGGGCGGGGTTACCAATCAAGTTTCACCCATTAAAAAAAAACATTATGGCGCCAAATTGTTACAAACAAACAAATTTACTTATATATTTATAATATTAATAATAAAGATTTTTACCATCAATATAAGCTGTATAATGTGGCAAATAGCAAATAGAGGGCGGCAAGCTGCGGTTGACGTGAGCGTTTAGTATGTTGATGTCCGTCACGCCCATACGAAAACTGCCCGCGTAACCGTACTTACACTCCACTATTTTTATCTGTAAATAAATAAACCACATATGCACGCGACCATAGTCAATTATATTTTATTTTGTATATCAATTTTATATAGACATATTTATAAACAAAGATTCCCTGGAGAACAGCCGGACTGTTTTAATATTGCATTTTTTTTTTAGTTAAATCTAATAATCCAATTAAGGTTAATAGCACAAGAAAAAAAAAATGGAAATAGAAAATTATTTTAACAACAATGAAGATAACAGAGATTCAGAGACAATATTCCACAAATATTTTAAATAAATTCAATGATTATAAAGGTACTAATGTTGCTTATTCATTATTAAGTTCTCCCCAAAACAAAATACATTTTTCTACTAATGACATTATTAATAAGAAAGCTATATCTATCCGACCATATATATAACTAAAAATCGTGATAAAATTGTTACTAAGATAATATAGACTTCGTTTTTTTTTAATTTAGAACTGACCTCAAATATTTCACCAAGTGCTAGGTGAGCGGAACTGAACACTAACGCAGCCATGGGATCAGGAGTGAGTCGCCGTGCGATAGAATAGTCATGCATCAAACAAATATTATCGCCGGAGTATTCAGAGAAGCTCCTAAAAAGACATAAAATACACTTTTTTACGATATTTAGAACAGCAAACAAACTGACCGCGTAACAGCACTAAGGACATCACAGAATACACTATATGTAATGCCCATGTACTAGTACAATTCAAACATAATGTCTCACCAATATGGTGGCGGCGGAGAAGACAACGCTCTCGAGTTACTCAGCAAAGAATTGTCCGAATTCGTGCATCCATTGTAGTTGAAAGCTCTTTCTTCATTTTGTAATATTGTGACCTGGAATATAATATTTGTAAATAAAAACTGAGAAAAAAATACCACTTATTTTTCAATTTTTATTATTCACTATATATCGACACAAAATTTTATTTATAATAAAATTACGATGACGCTTTCATTTTCATTAATAATAAATAGCAATTTTATATAACGAAAATATTAAAATTGACTTATCAAGATCACACTATTAAACATCTTGATTGTAAAAAACTAATACGAAGTTACATCACGCATTTCAATTTATCCAATAAAATTAATATACACTAACCTGCGTGCATTGCCCATAGAGATCGACGACAGCGTAAATGTTGAGATGAGGCACATACCAAGCTTTTCCCATGTCCATGCCATCAAGATAATAGTGTAAGCTCCGGTCTGCGTGCCACATCATACCTGTATGTGTTAATGACAGCTATTTATTGAGTACACACAATATTATTAAAATTAAGTAAATATGAGTCATTTTCAACAAGTGTGAGTTCTGACTAATTTCGGTGAACTTGTTTTATTTAACTTCTTCAAAAAGTATTTTATAAAATGTTTCCTTCTATATATTGGGGGCATCGGCGTTTCTGGGAACTCCAAGTTAAAAGCACAGTTGAAAGGTTTCAGCAAAGTTGGACAGGGGTCAGACTTGCTGAAAAGCACCCATATAAATTATACACCAATAATTTTAGGGTTAACAGTATTGTTAAATGACAGCAGTATCTTTTCGAAAATATTAAATAGTAAATTCCTTTTAAATTCCCACGAATAAGTTCACACTCTCACCATTCTTTCTGGTCTCCCCGAAAAAGTATACAGTACAGAGAGATACTGAGTAAGAAGGGAAAGACCCTCGAAACCAGTTTTCATATGTACTGATTGTAGACATAAAATCGTATTAAGTATAGTTGGCAATCGGTTCTCTCTCTAATGCACAAGGACCTGGCGTGAAGATATAAACGCTTTTGCAACTGCGCCCATATGGAAATATTTCTATTTTCCCTGAGAAAATATTGTAATATTATTATACCAAACTTCTAAATCAACAGATATAGAAATTTTTAAACATCCTTTTTTACGTGCAAAAGTTACAATAGTGTAGGTAGCTAGCTCACCAACACGGCTTCCAACGGTAAGAGTGTCGAGATCGAGCGGATATCCGCTCCGCACGCATTCCCCGTCTTTCATCATGGCAGCTCCGCTCAATATATACGTGTCCCAGTTGAGGTCTGTTGCAGTTCCAGCTATAGCACCAACGCCGCCATTCGCTTCCAAATCATCTGGTCTGATCGCTGTGACACCTGTTGATATTGTATCAATATTGTTAGCGACAATTTTTTTAATACGAAAAAAATAAAAAAAAATATAAATTTTTGTTGTAACTTGTTTTTTTTTTAACAGGGAGCAAAAAAGCATGCGGCACACCTGATGGTGACTACCGCTACCCATGAGCATCCGCAACACCGAAGGAATTACAGATATGCTGATAGCCTTTTGAAAAGGAATATGCTCTTTTTTTGAAGGTTTCTGGTCACTAAAATCACGACAAGACTAAGTACAAATACCTAAACAAACTAATAGACAAAATAATGAAGAACAATACAACAACTGACAAATAAAATACTTAACCTATAGACATTACAATCATAAGTATAAATAATTATTTTATGTCTAGTTAGGGACGGGAGGCCTATGTTACTATGGAGCAGTGGCCAGTTAAGGGCTGGTAAAATAAATAATAAAGTCGCATATGCATACCTATCTCTAGGCTCCCTATCCAGCAGTCCACCATCTTGTCTATTCGTAGCTCGAACATGTCGCACTCTCGGAGCGGTCTTGAACTGAACAGTACCGCATCGTTGAACTCCGAGTACACGGTCGCCCGGGATGCAGTTAGACGGTTACGACTCAAACGAGCGTTGTGTCCGTGGACCCGGTGGAAGCACATTTCACTATGGACATAATTGAATTATTAATCAATATCATTACTAATAATACAATAGAAGCTATTCCCATGCATGATAAAATTTATTAAGTCTACATACGAAACTAATTTCATTTCCATCGTCACAAAATCTTTACGATAACTGATATCGCAAAATTTTGATGTTGTCGGTGATATGACCCCATCGACGATGATAATTTTATTATAAAATCATGTGAAGCACGAAACTCTCTTCATTCATGTACCTATTGAGTACATTAGAAAATCAGACTTTACTATGAAGAGCTTAACAAAACCCTGTCTAAATTATTAAATATTATTTACTGGGTGTAATAATGTTAATATAAATATAAGGCAGACTTTCATTTGTTCATACGTAAAAAAGAAAGTTTTTCATCTCTTACACTGTTTAGCCCTTTCGGCCAATTTGTTCCCTTTATTACTTTTTACAGCGTTTTAGAAATGAAAAATAATTGAAGCAAAACAAAATACTTTGACGACAAGTAATTTTTCCTCATTCTATTACTTCTTGAGTATTTTACTAATTACTTCACTGAGATAAATATATTATAAAAATAATTTCCCTTACGGATATATTGTTGCATTGGACTCGGTGGATAAAGGTGATTCAGGTGATAACATTGGTGGAGGTAAATAAGTGTTGACTATCGTCGCCTGCGCTACCCGCCCGTACAGATCTGTGAAAACATATTGATGTAGTTATTATAAGCCATATATGTTATTATAAATGCCATTATATGTAAATTTAAAATTATAATATAAATTCAGCCTCATATTTTGAAAATTATTTAAACTGTAATAACAATAGAAAAATTAAAAAATATCATAATGTAATAACTAATAATATTTAGACATATATTAAATAAAATATCATAACTGATTAATCAAAAAAATATTATAAAAATATATCAAGTAAGACATTTTAGTATTTTTTTTATTACAAACGCAAACTCACCGATTATGCCAAAAACATGTTCGGGTATATTAAAAGCGGCTGGACCTTGATCCACGCCATTAACAAAAAAATGTAGAATGCCCATGTCCTTTCGCATCACGCCTACCGTGTCTCCTTCCTATAAAAATAAATACAGAAGTTCAGTTACACACAATTAAAATATTTATGTTCAGATAAACTAACAAAAAAATACATTATAAATATCTTACCACCAATCTATTTAAATTTCTAACATATTGTGGAATTATTATGGTTCCGTCCCGTATAATATCTTCTCCGGTCATTGCCCAAGTGCCGGATCTAAAATTTAGAAATATAAATATACAGGTGTGAAATTTGTTACGTATACAAAATGACACTCCTGTCTACTACTATATAGCTATAATGGAACAAGATGATGCACCTACCATACTTTCCTTTTAACCCCATGGGTGTTTATTCTATGATACCTAATGTATTTTACAAATGTAATTTAGAAGGCACATCCGTATTGGGTTATTTAGTTTCTTTAAAAAATATAATATATATTAAAAATTTATTTAAGTACAAAAGTATATAAATAAATAAAATCTATATAAATAAATAGTTTTTTTTCTTTAAGAAATAATAAAAGAGAATGTAGAATTTATAGAGAGAATTAAATTAAGAGCGTTCATAACGTTTACTTACCGAAGTTTGGAAACGTCGCAATTATCTGTCAATTTTCAAAAGCAATTTAACATTTTTCAATATGTCTGATAATTTAAAAAGCGCTCTGCTAGTGAATTAAAATCTTCATTATAGAATATATATACCATTAAAAATTTCTCACTCACTTTATATTTACTTTGAAACTTTTCAAATACATTTTTGCCATCTAAATCCAAATTTTCAGTGACAGCTTTTATAATAATATTATTGCATGATTAACGATTTACATTGCTAGCAGAGCCCTTTTTAAAATATTCAATCAGAAACATTGAAAAATCTTTAATTGTTTATTAAAATTGACAGATAAATTTGCCACACATAGTTACGAACGCTCTTTATTAAGATCTTTATTGTAATTATATAAATTATTATAATTATAAGTATATTATTATAATTTCAATAGTAAAGAAATTTTAGGATTGCAAAATTTTTATAATTTATATAGATAAAGAAATTGTTGCATGTCTCACTTTGCATTGCTCATTTTGTATGGTATCTGTATTTCATTTGAAGAATTCTGCGTGACCCCGATTTCAATGCTTCCGGCCCACTTCGGAATAACGAGATCAAGCCGCACTTGGAACAATTCATTTGTTCTTAATGTGCGATTGGTCATCACTATTCCGTTATTGAAGAATTCGAAAGCACTGCAACACAATATAACAATATTGTTTTTTTGAATAACCGCAGCTTTAGATATAACATCAGAATATACTATGCCGCCGTTTGGTTCGCAGCAAAACCAGAGACAATAAAGTTTGAAGAATAATATTGATGCATATTATTTTAAGATAACTCATCTTATAGAATAATAGAAAAAAGTGAATGAATTCTTAAAATCGGAGAAATATGTTTTGAGATATCCTTTACAAAATTTTTAATTTTTTTATAATATCATTGAATGGTTATCGAAACATGAAGAAATCGTATATCAAGTTTACAATGAAGGAAACAAATTTATAAATTTATTCCATCAAAAACTATTTAATTGTATTTAAAAAAATACTTACTTAGGCCTATGAGCAGTCTTACCATCGTTAATAATAATAACATTCGAATCACGCAGCGAATGAAATAAAAGGCTCTCTTCATCTATTCTAGGTCTAAATCTACCTGTAATTGCAAATTAAATATTATTATTGAACAAATATCACTAATATATAAATTAATGCAGACAAACTCTTAATGAAAATAAAACTAACTAGATGCCGGCAAATCTGGAGTATTTGCACGGACCGGTATGTTGCTGATATTACTATCCATGTCTTCACATGGATCAACAATTGTGACCTGAAAAAGAAGAAAGTAATTTACTTTCACATAAAAATTACAAATAAACATCTTACGTAAAATAAGGCGGTATTTTATAAGTTTAAAATCGAACTTAAACACGAGTAAATCCTATTTCAAATAATTTTTTTACCAAAACAAAATGCACTAACGATACAATGACAAAACACAGTGATCCGAGCGAACAATGACCAGATATTAAATTTAGGTAGTATTCACATATATATCGAGTCAATTGTTGTTAATAAATTTTATTAAGTTAATATCAAATGAACAGTACGTCCTAGTTTAACATGTAATTAGATACATTGATTATACAATGCATATATTTATCGCCACTGTATCATGCAAATATCTCACTAATATAATAATATTGTAATTTGATTATATCTGTACATAATAGTAAAAAAAAATATGGAAAAGATTTAATTAAGAGCAATAGAGGCCAAAACAAAATTTTTTAATGTTGTCTGTCTGTCTGACATATGAATACAAGTGTTTGTATTGTGCAGACATTGAACCTGCAACTATTCGTAGATAAGGGGCGGTGTGTTAAACCGCTACACTACCAAGGTCGTCAAATTATATATTATTTTATTATGGAAAAAATGAAGAGTAAATAAAAGGAAATTAATGGTAAACGGTACGTACTTTAACAGTCATGCCGTACAAGTCAACAACACCCCAAACTTGTGGCTCTACTTTATCAGTTGCAACACCTTGATCTACGCCATTGATAAAGTAATGCAATTTCCCATTACTTTTCCTCATCATCCCTACCGTGTCACCTTCCTGTAACAATTCATTATTATATTATAGATAGATAGATACTCTTTGTTGTTTCCTCCAAAAGATTACAATAGTATACTAATTATAATTATAAACAATTACAAGAAATAATCACAATGAGAAAACAATGGGCAACCTTATCGCTAAAAGCGATCTCTTTCTTAGGCAACCTTTGGATGGAGAGGAGTAATTATAAAAAAAAATATAACATATTTATTATTATTTCCTTACAGCTTAAAAATAATTTAATTGGCAATCATCAAACTGTCTTTCTTCTATTTTCTGCTACCAAACAGCTGTAATTGAATAGGAGTTTCGATTTGGTAATAGATATATAGTGTGATAACAAAATAAAAAAAAAATTAGGAAAAATAGTTAATTTTCGTATATTATTTGTAATAACTATCTAGTAAACCTATTGTATGACGTTATGTGTAAAAAAATGTATAACATACTCGAAGTTCATCAAGGTTGAAATTCCCGTACTCCATACAAGTACCGTGACCATTCAATAATACTTTGCAACCGGACATCATGATTGTCCCTGTATCCATGTTTGTCATTGTAGACGGAAATCTTATTGTAGCTGGATTATGCGTGGTTACACCGACCTGTGTGTGACAATTATATCGACTTATAAATTTCATTAATACAATACACAATAATAGTGGGAAAAGATTTTTAACAACAGTCTTAAAATCATTGCTATTAGCAAAACTTCCGTGTGGTTCACCCTGGAAATTAACGTGGTTTTTCTTCTTGAATTCGAACCGATGGGCCAACTGACCTTCATCATCATCATTCTTTTCTTCTCTGTTGCTCCGGCATTATATACCGTTAACATATGCGAATGCACTATTCCATTTTCATCCATTCGAAAATACTGACCTTACTTAATCCGCACCTATCATTTTACACTAGTACCCCGCCAGCATATACTGATAGCGTACACAGAGTTACCAGCCAATAAGGTATAAAAACACATACATAATAATATCGACCCCGAAACACAGACTTTAACGTGATGAATGCCCAGTACTTCATTTATACCAGCATACAAATTAAATCTGATGTTAAATCAAAAGCATTAAACGTGTATGTAGATGGACTGTAGATTTAATAAACAGAAAAGTCCTAAAGATCTCCATCTAGTTGCTTCATCCACTTTCATAGTTATTTGGTACACAGCTTTTCAATACCTCTATACTACCACTCCATTTATCAACCAGTCTATCAATACGTATTTCGAAGAGTTCATTATCATAAAGAGGCCGATGCGTCATGACCACGCCATTATTGTAATCGTCTAGAGGGCGCGCCCTCTCTGCTGACCTGCAATATAATCATTCCAGATTAGACAAGTGTCATACAAATCTAAAAAGCGATCAATCAATCAGACTTTAAAAGTTTATACAAATAATTATAGAGACACTGCAAATTAATTATTTGTTAATGTCATATTTTTTTATTTTGCAATTATTCTTTGTTCAGAATTTATTTCTATTTATTAAACAGATCCGACGAGGGCATTTCTATTCAAATACAATATTATTTTCTTTCAATAAAAATCTTAATAAGATTTAATCAAATATTCCCAATTTTTAGAATCATAGTTATAATATAAAATGGACATTCCTTACTTATTATTAGCAGATAGTTTGACTAGAATACCACATCTTGGATGAAAACGTAAACGGTCTTGAGCAACTGTAAAATAAAATAAATTGTAAATAATTAAAGTACGCAAAAATACTTTATTCATTATGAAATCTTAATATTTGTTTAATTACTTAGCGCACAAGCTCCTTCAGAAGTCATAGGAATAAAGACGTCCCTGGTTTCTTTAGAATATGAATCGGTTGGAATTCCCGTTTCCATTTCACTCGATGTTAAAGTATCATCATTATTTGGATCCTCTTCAATCTGCGTTAATAACATTCAATGTATTACATACACAGCTAAGTAAACAAATTATTCATGATATTTCTGATAACACAAGGCAAATTGGCCTCAATTTAATGTTAACATGTAAAATTAATTTTACTTATATGTATATTAAAATAAAATAACATGAAAATTAAAAGTTCCATCAAATATCAACAATCACCACTATGTACATAGCTGTTCAGGTATAAACTCCCAGGCTATATAATTCATTGTAAAAAGTAAAAATATTTAGGCCATTATTTCGATCTTGCAAGTATAAAAAACGCATGTCAAATGTATATTTTCGACTTACTAGCGACGAACGTAAAATTCAAATCCTCGGAATGTGATCAAGTCTATTACAAAAAGTTGCCACATCTGACATTAGGATCATTATTTTGTTTTTAATTTAATAAAATGCATATTTAAAAAAATACAAAATTAAATGGAAATCATTTCCTATCTTATACTTATCCTAATATCATATGTTTCACAATACTCGAGAATGTTCTGGCAGAATAAAAACATATACCTATATTACTAAACGAAACAATTTGAAATATTAATAATACCAATCCTATACAAATGTTTATTCAATAATAATAATAAACAGAATAAAATTAAGCGAAATCAAAACCAACATACCTGATCTAAACTACTTTCCATAATCGGCCTCATTCCATTAGAATGAGTTATAGAAACTTGCACACACTGTCCATATAAATCTATCACTGCAAACAATCTTGATGGCAAGTCTTTTGCTGCAATACCAAGGCACCGTCCATTGATATAAAACATTAATTCCCCCTGCAAAAACGAAATATCAATAAACCATAATAACTCTCTGCTGGGATCATTCTTGATAAAAACCATATAGCCTACTGTTATTAACTTGATCAGGTAGCTTGAAATACATACAAATACAAATAACTTTATTTTGTATGATAAGTAGTTAAAAGAATAGGATATAATATTTAAATACTGTTCACACTCTTCACCAGAGTCTGGCATGCCAAATTCATTTAATTATTCTATGATCATAAACAAAAAGTCATATACATTTTACAGTGGCAACATATTTACTTATTAACAATATATGATCATAATATTATTATAGTATTAATCATTAAAAGTCCTCTGCTTAACACAGGCCTCCCCCATAAGGGACAAGGGGGGTTTTGCCAGTAGTTGACATGCTTAGCAATCGGGTTGGCAACCAAAATTATTGTTTGGTAATGTTTTTAAAACGGCTGCTCACGTAATCCTGAAATGTGAGGCTGTGGCTCATCAACGTTTAGAAATCCTCGGAACGGTGAAGTCGCTCCGTGAGGCCTGTGAAGAACCTAGGAAGCTTCTGCGCTTCTGGGCGGAGCTAGGTTGGCTGTACTAGCCACGACTCACACGCACAAAGGCCCAAATGAGAGGCTAAGCGCGGAAAACAGAGTCTTTCTCACATTCACATTCACATGTTTTTAAAAAGATGCTGGTGTCTATCCCTCTACCATTGCATCCCCTTAATCGCCTCTTGCGACACTCATAAGAAAGGAAATGGTGGCCAATTTAATGCCAGGACCACACAGTTTATCTTATTATAAAAATAATCTAGTGAAATAACTGGTTTACATTATATTCAAGATCTAAAGTAATTAAAATATTTATTAACTGAGTAAAACCATTATAGAGTATTATTTTGAGTTTTCCTTTTGAATTAATGCTTTGTGCTGTGCTCCCTCTGTCCCATCTTAGGATACACCAGAGATATAAAGAATTGTATAGCATTCACACACAGTTTGAAAAAGAATCTCAAATAAACATTTGCCAGCCCCCTCCCCTTCCCCCTTTATACCTATGATTCTTCATACTTCTGGATAAAATTCTAAACTGATTTAAATATAATCTAAATCTGAATCTAAATGAGATTGCTTGACGCCAGTAAACATGAAAGTATAATAAGTAACATCAACAGACAGTTTTAGGGAAAAGTTGTAAGTATAATCTTGTGTATAATTAAACTATCCTGGTAATCCAATCAACTAACCATATTCTTAAATCAAATCCAAAGTATAAAGCTCTTTAATCATTAGTAACAAAATACTAAGAATTATAACTAACCTTATTTGTTCTCATAACTCCTAAGCTATCCCCTTCCCGAAGAGTGTCTAACTCAGGCCCATATGAGTTGACTAGAGTTACACCATCTTTAACTATAGAACTACCTGACATAATCTGAAATTAACATGCAACATGATATTTATTGAAATTATATATAGCCTTATCTAGACCATGAAATTGCCTTAGTCGCCTTTTACAACACCCACAAAAAAGGAAGAGATCACCCATTCTATACCTGAACCAAATGGCAATTAACATATTTATCATTTATTTCAATCCTATTAATATCTTTTTAATTTTTAAATTGACCTATTAACTCCTTTTTTCTTTCCTTACTCCCATCCTTATTTCTGTTTAACAATAACATAATAGGTCCTCTTTACTTTTAGCATATCTATCAATAAAAATATAAACTCTTATATTTTAGTACCAGAGGGAGACTTTGTACAAAAGTCTATTGCTTTGGCACCTCTGTCCCATTCGTGTTTCAACCGTAAAACAGTTGTATTTGCTTGGTTGTGTTTTGGTTTGAAGGGTGGGATATGGCATAAATTTACAGGGTACAGAGGAATAACATCTAAGTGAATGATAATGCATGGGGGGTATCATTGGCGAAACAGTATACTCTGTTATGTCCATGGTACTGCTCATGTCTATAGGTGACGGTTACCACTTTCCACCAGGGCCGTCAGCTTATTTGCCATTTTAAGTTGTGTAAAAAAAAATAGTTGTATTTAATCTTTGCAATATCAAGGAAGCAATTGTTACATAAATGTCTGATGAATCATTGCAATTAAGAAAAAAACATCAATGAGAAACAGTTTAAATATGTTCTAAATCTTTACCCAGGCTGTATTGCGCAGTTTGGTTGCTGTGGCTGGAAGCTCCATGTATTCAGGATCTAATGTTGTAACACCGATTTCTAGAGAGCCATTCCATACATTTACCTAGGAAAAAATTAATATATGATATATTTAATTATTGTTGAATTAAATAAATATAATCATCATCATTATATCAGCTTTTAACTGTCCACTGCTGAACATAAGCCTTTTACAGTTAGGCTTTGGAGATGTTTTAAGAGGAATTCTGCTACCCATTTCTCCCTCTACCATAACCGCCTTTTATGAAACCCACAGATAAGGAAGACCCTACTCTATACCAGAAACACACGGAAAATTAAATAAATATAAATTGAACCAATTACATGAGGTAAATATATGTGATTTACTTATATTTGTTATAATTATATATTTATTCTTAAAAAACAATATTTGTTCTTAAAAAACAATAAATTCTATTAAACATGGTTTTAATATTAATATACAAAATTCATCAGGTGCAAAGTCCCATTAAGAAATATGCTTACAAGTGTCTTAAATTAAGAATGAAAAATAAATAGTTATCATAAAGCATAAGCATTTTCAGATACTTACAATAAATAAAAACCTAAATGTCTAGATATATTTTTTTTAAAATGCACTCACATTTGAGTAGTTTTTAAGTCACTGTGTATAAAATTAATAGGTTTTGAAGTATATGTGTAATACACTTATTTTTTTTAATATCATATTAAAGTAACATAATCATAGCAACATGTTGTTGCAGAATGATGCTGACTTTACACTATTGATATTTATTTTATATTGATACCAGACAAACAAAATATATAGATGCAATATATTATATGAAAAAAGGATAGGTTTAGACATAACTAACAAAACTTAGGTAAATGAAATACAATATTGAGATAAATTAATTCATTAAATAAAAGTTTTGATTCTATTTATTATATAATGTTTGTGTTTTAATACAAATACAGGACTGGAATCATAGAATGTTATTATAAAATTATTTATGCAAACATAAATAAATATAGGTATATGTTCATCAATCTCTTCCATGTGGGATTAATTAAATGATTAGTATTTTATTACTCCTGTTATTTTAAACAGCTCATTAATAATTTTTTCATTCAATAAATTAGGCTTTACGTACACTATAAATAGAAACAAAGAAAAATCAATGTTTTAGAAGCAAGTTAAGGTACATAACTTACCTTTCTGTCTATGCATATTTCAAATATGATATCGTCCCTAAGAGGTTCGGCACTGAGAATGAGACCGTGATTAAATTCTACGAAATTCCGTATGGCTGTGGAATTATTGTTGAAGAGCGTGACTCTCTCCCCGCACCTCCGGTGAAAGCGCATTTTTTTAGGTAAATTATAAATATATACACAAAAAAATTACTTTACAAACTGGTACATAATATCATAATTAAAATCTTTCTGTCGCACATCATTATTCACTTTATTTACACTTCGAATACAGCAACTTAGCACCCATTTTAATGATCATTACAAATAATATCCCTAATTAAAACAAAGACACACTTAACTAATAATAAATTAATATCTAGATTTAATAGCATAATAAAGCATTATTGTTTTTAAATGAATATCATTTAAAAACAACATAGAGATTAAATAAATTTTAGTTTTCCGACAAAACCGATTGGAATAATGAATGAAGACGAAATTTAACAAACCAGTTCAGTCAATGCTAGATGCAATCTCTGTATCTGACAGTCTTACTGACAGTCGCTGTCACCAGTGACGGTTAAATGACATTTGATCAATAATGTTACAAAGTACAGACAAATTCATGGTCAACTTTTTATTACTAGTAGTACTACTTTTTAAATTCAAATTCGAAATAAACTATATATATATATATATATATATATATATATATATATATATATATATATATATATATATATATATATATATATATATATATATATATATATATATATATATATATATATATATATATATATATATATATATATCACTTTAACATATAATTGATTTTCTAATAGATATGACAGACCATAACAATAGTAGTTAAAATAGGACACCATTATAATCAGCATGAGCAAAATCAGGTATATATTTTTGTCTTCGTTTGTGTATGATTTTATTTTCAACCGATTTAAAAAAAAAAAGGAGGTTCTCTATACTGAAAGAAAAAAAAATACAAGAAACTCTCTCAAATCTCTACTTGCATTCTGTGTATTTATATGAATTTTACCTACACTTTTATAACAATTGTAGCTAATTAAATATGTCTTTAGCAGTTTCAATCTCTACATCTAATTTTAAAAAAATCATGTTCGTGACACATGCGGCAGTAACACATCATTCGAGAATTACTGTGGCATTTTGATTTATTTCAGTTAATTTTCTGAATAGAACCATTAATTTTATCTTTTAAAATAAAAAAATAGGAAATGTTAAAAAATTGAAAAAGAAAACATTCTTTTTTAATAATAATAATGGCCATATAATAACACCAGTCATCTAGTCCTCAAGCTAAGATATTCTATATTCTGATGAACCTGACAATGAATATTTAGGAGTACAACACAGGTCACCCAGACCCGAATCAATTCAGAAAACTTCATTTGCTAAATTGACCCGAACTGGGAATTGAAGTTAATATCTCATCTACGCAAAGCAATATACCCGTCACACGCTACGGAGGTGCACTTTCACTCCGTCATTAGTGGCCATAGAAGCAAAATAAATTCGTCAATTTTTTTTTTTATTCATTATGTTTTTCCCACAGAATATACGTAGTCGAACGTACATCTAATCAAGCTCTTACAAACTAAATGTGAAATGTGGATAGGACTCTATTTTCCGCGCTTAGCCTCTCATTTGGGCCGTTGTGCGTATGAGTTGTGGCTAGTACAGCCAACCTAGCTCTGCCCAAAAGCGCAGAAACTTCTTGGGATCTTCACAGACCTCACGGAGCGACCTCACCGATCCGAGGATTTCTAAACGTTGATGGGCCACAGCTTTACATTCCAGGATTACGTGAGCAGCCGTTTCTTCGGCGTCGAAACAGCCTCGACATAGAAGGCTGTCTGTGGCTCCTATTGTGTATAAATGTTTGTTGGCCTGTTATTGTCCCTATCATTATTTTGAGGTTTTTCTTACAAACCAAATGAATATATCTGTATATCTACACATTTTTTTAACTTCAATACCAATAAATAATATTCAACATATATATTCAATAATTATGTATGTAAGACTGGCCAGTTATAATTTATTTAAAAATATGATTACTTATAACTAAAAATAGGTATGTTCTTAATTAAAAAATTTCTTCCACATTTTTTCGAGTTACAATTTTCGTCACAGGACGGCACGGGCTGTAAACGAGGTGTCTGCGGCGGACTAGAAAAGTGTTTCGAAAACTGATTCAGACGCATGAAACTTTGTATAGAGGCTGGTGGAGAGTACTTTGAAAAGATGTAATAAAAATATATTTACCTATAGAACATTTTTTTGTAGTGTTGCAAAAGTTTCTAAGTGTTCCACGTATATTTACATTAAAAACTTTACTTGGATTAAATGCGATATTTTTTCTGCCAATACTATATATTGCAATAAGAACGGAATGTTTTAAACGCAGATGAAGAATATGTAATTTTATGGGTTTTCTTTGTGTTATATCAAGTAACCACGTAACCCCAACTAATTACGTTCACTGAAACCAATTTACGCTTCGAAACATGAGATTAATCATGTTAGTAACAGAGACTAACAACCCCATTGCTAGCAATATACTGCCACTTTGGTTACTCTTCAAAATGCATAAATATAATATATTCTCTCAAATCAATGTCCATGCGGTTACTTGTCCTTCAATTCATCACGGCCTGATTGAAAGCACCATCGAATATCTTCACTTCCCAAAAGTTGTCGAATAGTAACTGTCTAAAGCATACAAGTAAGTCCGAATTTGTGTCACATTTTATTTGCCCATAAAGTTTAAATAAATAAAATCCTGGAATAAAATATTTTAGCACGCTAGAAGTCGTCTAGTCAACTTAATAGAGACAAAAAGGTCCTAGCTTAAATTTATTATTCTAGAATCTTAAATGGACACTACGTAAGTTTATGAGCAGCAAACTTTTGCTACCTTCTCACCTACTTGAACCTGTATACTACAAGCAAAACTTACCTGTTGATGTATAAAAACCGAGATTTTATTTTGTACTGGATATCCAAAATTTGAATTATATCAACTGGTTAATATGTTATATTATGCAATAATACCTTTAGATAACAGTCATATATATTACTTATTATTATGAAGTTATAAATATTTAAATTTCTAGACAACCATTCTTTAGGTCAGCATTTGATCCATCCTGTCAGTGAAAACTTTACTGCTTTTGGAAATATAACAATACCATATTTGCTTTTTATATTTATTATAATATATCTGTTTATTTGCATAGATTAAGTATTTGGTAATACTTATATTACTAATAAAAAAATAAATCCAAATCAGCAGACCTTTCTTGAAATAGGTACATATACTCTGGACCACCTGTATCAAAATTTTACGTAAATATTACCAACAAGTGTTGACCCGTTACTTCAAACGCTTGACCTAGATACGTTGATTGACCGGGATAAAATGTAAACTGTGTCCTCCTTCCGCCTATATTTATGTAATATTCGGATTAAGTACGTGAACAACAACTTTCATTCCTATTGATTGAGCCTTTGAAGCGCCAAGAGGTGTAACATACAAAAAATAAACTTGCTTTCACATTTATAATATTAGTACTTACTACCTACTTATTTATAAATAAGGGAGGTCCAGTCATAGCTCAGATAAAGTGAGCATCTGTCTAAAATCCGTTACTCTAAAACGAACTGTTCAGCAAGCTGCTTTGCTCTTTTAAGAAGCTGTAGCTTCTTCTCAATTGTGAAAATGCAAACTTTAGATTTTTTTAATAGCATATAATAAATAATTCTAATAAAAGTCATATATCGAATAAGCTTTGATAATAATTAGCACTTATTCTTTAAGTCGTATATTCGTGTACAAATAAAGAGTGTTTCATTAAGTACTAATCATTAAAACTTATTCTAGGTCAGATTACATTAAAAAACAATCAGCAAGGCAATATGACACCTGTGTCCTTTAAAGAAAGATTACATTTACGTAAAGAATAAACTTACATACCGCCTCATTATTATTCTATTTTTTTTTTTTTGTAATATTTTCTCACAATAAGATAGCAGACCGTCGTATGTTTAGCTCTTAATCAAGAACTAAAGTAACTTACTTCCCATCGAATGAATAAATAGAGGAATCATTAGACATTGGTTAAAATTTCTATCCCCGACCAGGATCTGTAGGCACTCAGGGATCGTGGGAAATGAATCAATTGACTTCTTGGCCCGATATGCTCATAACAGATGTGGCAGTAGTAGTAGCTACTATACTTGGGATATACTATACCCCAAACCTGCAATCTTAAGCAAAAGCAGAAACGATGTAAGTATGGACTAACCTCTAGGAAAAATCTAAAGACAAATATTATGCAAATATCCAACCCCATAATATTTTGTAACTTGGAACAATAGGTGACATCCGTTATATACTCGTATCACCTCCGACTGTCACACTTATTCTCCGTCGCGTTTCTTCTTAAGATTAGAGTACGAGATCACGTTCTGTGCGAATGTGGTTTAAACGAAGGCATATTAGTACACATGTTTTTCAAATGTCGTAACTTGCGCGTTCCACCTTATGACATGTTGCCACGTGACATGCCATTTGTCCACTCCTCTCTTGTTAAACTACGTACATTAGCTAAATTTGTATTTATCAATAACCTAAAATTATAACTTTGTACATTAACCTTGTCTTTAAGCATAATACATAACTCCTGTGTTTGTGTAGTATACTTGTATAATATATGAATCCCTCATCATATACCCAACTGAGCATAACATGTGATGTGTTGTTCTTATTTTAGCACTCAGGCTCAACCCAAGCTAAATTAGGATATCTCTACGAATCAATAGTCTAAAAACTCACGACAACAATACACCACTATGTCTCTCTAATCATGACGTTGACAAAATCATCGACTAGAACTAGTAGCCACCTTTCAAATTAAAGAAGAAAAAGAACATACTTATGTTACGCAACTTTTCTTGATTATATTTGAAATTTTAATAAAAGTTGATTTTCTAAAGCTCAAGTGGAAGCTTAATTTCTAACCTTTCACAAGGTTGATGTAAAATTTGGGTTAGGTTCTTTAAACTAGAATTATTTAGAATAAATTAAATTTGAAATTTTAAGTAACCCCCGAAACATATGAATAAATGTTCATAATTTGTAGCTAATAACCAACTTGATCACGTCGGCCATCAAACAAAAAAAAACCGCATCATAATCGGTCCATTCGTTTAGGAGCTACGATGACACATAAACTTATAACACCCCTCTTTTTACGTTGGGAGTTATTAGTATAATAGAGATTCTGTCTAATATTACTGATAGTATTTTATTCTCATTTTCTGGTATAGTGAAACTTGCTATATTACTTTACAGTAAAGTTCTACGTGGGCACAGAACAATAACCGCAACAAAGATACCGTAAATTATATTGACTAATCATATTAATATAATCCATTTTTATTTTATTTTACGAGAATATAACGGTTTTCCCGTTTAAAATAATTATTTCACAAATGAACCTAGAATATTATTGTAAGAATGTTTTATATGAGTTATAAAGAAATTATTTACAAACACTGCTATGCAACAATTAAATCTGCTTTCTAGAGGTGTCAGTACTTTTAATCTTTTTGGGGTGAGAAAGGGTTTTTGGGGTCAGGTCGGTTAGTGAAGCACCCGCTCGTGGATCTGAACAAATCGGTGACCCTGAACGAATTCATCGTTGCTGTTTCCACGTGAAGAAGAGTATGCGGAAGACAACATGAAGACAGGTCAAATCCGTCGCTCCCACTCCGGCATTGTCATTTTGTGGCTGCGCTGCCCGGTGGTTGCCGTTAAAAAGCTGCTCACTAGTAGTCGGTTGCTTGTGTAGTGTAGATGCACATCTATGCCTAAGATCGTTGCACCATTTAAAATTATTGTTACACAGACCTTAGGCCCAACTAGAGTAAAGAGAGTAAAGAGTAGTATGTCTGCAACACAAATCATGGCAAGGACCCATGATTTGTGTTGCAGACATACTACTCTGCCGGTATTATACGGCAGTAAACCGCAGGGCAGCTCATCGACGCGTAAGCAACGTCAAAGGGTGCAACCCTCCAAATGGTTGGCGAAACAGCGGCGATAAGCAGTCAATGGATTCTTAGCGATGCTTCTCAAAATTTAATGTTTCTCGGCTGGTAGTTTTTAGTGCGTAAAATTCCCACAATGCCTACCCATTTGTCAGCCTGTTGGCGAAGAGGTCTCATAAAAAATAATATCAATACTGTTGTATTTTTTTTTTAATTTTAAGTAGATATATTTATTTCAAATCCCTCCTAATATCCCGATCACGCGGACGATGTCAGAAATTGAAGCTAGTCTGAAATAAATAGATAGATACCTCCTTACTATAATATAATAATAGTTAGATATTTTAAGCAATACAATGTCTGAATCAAAACACATAATCCGTTAAAGTGTAAAATTTCATTTAATTAAATGCCAACGCATGTAACAGGTAATTGGACTTTATTGTAAAGAGCGCATAAACGTTATTACAAGAAATTTCAGAACCTTGTATACACAGCGTGGTGATAAGTTTACTGAAAAGGTCCTAAGTTACCGCCATAGTATTTGAGTTTCTACCAATAGAGTCGCATTTGCGAAGTTGTTTTGCGATGTAGGTACTACAGCTGGTGTTCATGTGGGCGGGCTATCGATCGGCGCGGCTATGTGCGCGTCCACTCTGTCAGCTGCCAGTAAACACAAGACAGGAGCAGAGTGGAGCACCCGTCACAGAATGCACTCGTTGATCCCGTTGCTTGTGGCTGCGGTGGCGGCGTGCGCCATAGCTCGCCCACACGGTAAGTTTTTAACAATAAAAGAAAAACAAAAATTGTCGTATATTAATATTTTCTACATGCATGACCTTTCAATTTTGATAACGCGCTTTCCGCATCGACACACAATGCGATTTTTTTTATGTTATCTGTTGTTCTGTGCTAAGCGTCTGAGCAATCTGAATAATCAGTATCAACGATATTGTGAAACTAATATTGAAACTACTGCTATGAAATCTGCTTTGTTTAAAATATGTGGTAAAAGTTTTATAAAGAACAATGGATACAACTGACACCTGTTACGCTTTACTTTTGAATCGGTTGTGTATGTAACAGTAAGTATAGTTGGTAAGTAGTGTTCGTATGTATCAATTCAACAATAATTGGTAAGTAGATCGTCTACTTACCACCTATGATTATACTATATTACCAGGTACAAATTTCCATTGTCAAAACAAGAAAATTGTTTGAAAATTTTACAAATTCAATAAAACCAAAATAAGATTAAATGAGTTCTTAAGCAATTTTAAAGTTAAGAAGGTTCTCTAAGTTCTCATATTGAATTTGTGTGGGTCAATATCTTTGTCTTTTTGAGCCGATTATAATCATTGTATTTTCTATAAATAAGGTTTACTTACGTGTCGATAATTATTTTTGCCAAAATTAAATTTTTAATGAAATATAGCTTTTAATTACATATTTTATCTTTCATTAGCTACCAATAACATCTACATTTAGAAAAGAAACAAACTTATAAAAAACCACAATTACCAAAATTATTTTTGCAGCATTTACTTTTTTTTATTACATTTTTAGCATTTACTCATAATCAAAATCAAGTATATTTCATTATGAACTCTTACTATCAATCACCTATTGTAGATACAAGTACCATTTTAAATATTTTTGTAATCTAACATACATTATTTGAAATATTAAACCATAAATGCATAAAAGATTAAGTAGACATATGTGTTGATACACTTTTAAGCACATAATTTAGGTTAGAACATAAACAAAACAGGTACAAACAAAATTATTATGTCCTCACCTATGTACGAGACGTCAGATTAATTACAATATATTACTTATCCCATATCTCTGAACAAAACCCTTGTTAATATTAATTAATTAAGGACAGTACCTGCAGTCCTTTGTTAATCCTTTATGTCATCATATCAGTGAGGGTGCTTCTGAAACTCATGAGAGAACATTCTGTAAACCGAAAAATTAATCTTATAAATTATTAGTTTCACGAAGATACAATTTTACGCAATCTTATAAACTCAGTTTATAATAATATTAATTTAAATCCATCAGAAATTTTGTTCATAAATTACATATTCCTTGCAATAAAGATTTCGTTGTGATATCAAATTGAAAATTGAATTTCAAAAATAGATTTGGAGAATGCTATCAATAAATCATTTATGGCTTGCCTGTAATTGTTCTGTAGTATGATGCCTACCCCAGTTGTTCGGCCAGTCTATCATTACAAAAGATAAAACAACACAAACGTTTCCAAATATCAAGCAGGATCTTTTCTGGGAAAATATATCATAAGTAAGAAACAGTCTTGGAATTCCCTAAAGCCCTCCCCGAATTAATTTGTACTATAAGAATAAAATGGTTGTACTTATGTTTCAATACTATCACCTCAATTGCGCAAGTGTAAATATGTAAAAAATATTTTATTTGTTTACATTAAACGTAACCCATGGCACTCGCTGATGATGTAGCTTTCTATAAGTGAGAGATTTTTTAAAGTCACATAAGTACACATAACACATAGATTAATAAGTATTAAGAGCTTATTAAAAATAATAATTTATTTACATGTACTATATATATTTAACTTTACTAAAATTAAAAATTTTATTAAAAAATAAAAGTATTAAGTTTTCGCTTCAAAATTTCAATTTTTTAATTCAATTGGTTATTCAAAATTCAAACTAGAAGGGAAGGGAAGTAAAAAAATTCGTATTGTATATTCCAAAATCTTTGTCATGAGTCTTTATTGATATATATTGGTACACTTATCCATCACCACCACGAAATTAAAATTGACAATAGGAAGAATTAAAATAAAAATAAAAAAGTGTGTTCGTTTACACCATTCATGCTGATATTAGTAATATTATATGAGTTTCATTGTCAAAACTCAGCTCGTAGGCTCAGTACTGACAATAAAACTCATATTAAACAAAAATTTAATGTATTTTTTTCATATTCATAAAGAAACTATAAATTAGTAACTATTACATTATTATTTTAATTATGAAAATATTGAATTTTAATAGTAGTGTGGGATCCTATACTAATTATTTTTTCTTCTACACAATAATTAATGGTGTGCTATATTGTGGAGTCTATGATTAACCATTTAATGTAGGCTCATATACTAATAGACTCTAAATGAAAATTATAACGGACAATAAACGCTATAAAATAAAGTTGATATGAATCGAAACTAAATACGCACGCGCTCTATACTCAGTGGCGAGACAAGAAGTGTGGATCCACCACGGCGCCCGCGCATATGTCCACCCGTGACTCTCCTTTGCACGAGCCGACGATGTCTAAAGTTCCAACCTGTAGGTAATTTAAGCAAAGGTATATACTAAAGTATAAATATACATTATATACCTACTTATATAACTAAAAGACCATGTGTAATAAGTAGATATATTTGCAAATAAAGTTAGACATTAAAAAGTAATTGCAAATTAGGTAAATCACGGTTTAGCTATTATAAATAAATAAGGTATAAATCCGTTTAAAAAAAAAGGGTGAGCAACGCATTTATTATTTACACCTATAACGTTAAATATCATCGTAAAAGTTATAAATAACTAGATATTTAATTAATTTTAATGATGTAAAGAAAATAAGTATCGACCTATTAAATCTGTGAGTTACGACGCCGTCAAGCTCCAATATTGGTTATAGGTTAATCAAACAAGCGTGACCTATTTAGAGCAGTTGGGTAAAATCTCCGAAATCGGTCATCATTTTTAACAAACTCAGAATATCTGTTTCGTATAAAGTAGGAAGTTAAATATAGAAAATAAAAAATATGTGAGCTTTTTCCACTTACCACGTTCTACAAATTTACTTATCCGCAGTAATAAAATATATTTATGTATAAAGTATTACTAATATTTATTTCTTTTTAGTAGACACCATTGTCTTTAGTAAACAATTATAGCAATTATAGACCTTAAATTTAAAATGGTTCACTTTATAAAAACGCAATGAACCAATGAACCGAGAAATATTTACATCTACTTGTATATATTATATTATAGAGGGAACGCCGCCACCGACGTCATTGCTAGAGCCGCCGCCGCCGTCCTACCGGAGACTCCTACCATGGCCGCCTCGGGAATATCTTGGTGACCTTATTTACCGCCGATTCATGGTGCCACATTACGTTGGTTACAAAGAGAGCCCTCGTATACCATCATTGCCAGAACATGATTGGCTCAACAAGGTATGTATTTCAAATATCCCCATATCAATGTTGATTAATTTTTTTTTAATGCAATCTTATCATTCTATGTCTGTATCTACTTATATGGTAGACGTATCATCAGTAGAATAATTAAAAATATCTTCATTCCGGGGACGATGGTAATACATTGTATTTGAGTACATTAAATGAATGTTACATTGTATTTTATACGTATATATTATGTACGTATGATTCAACAAAAATAATCAGCAAAATACCTCTATAAACCCTAAATGGAATAATAATAATTTGATATAGTATTTAATACTTACTTTACTGTACTAGAGTAAAAATATTAATACATTATTATTAATATTGGAATATTTTGTTTACGAATACATTTGAATATAAAATCAAGTTGAAGGTGTAATTCATATACAAAAAAAAAGAGTGATACTGATCAATATTATGTGTAAAGTTTTATTTGTGAAAAATATTTTTACATGGTGTCATTAAGAAGATAAGAACTTACTATATTTGTCGTAATAAATTTCTGTTCTTGATGTTATTCTATAAAGAGACGTATTTTTTTTATAATTTGAATGTAGTACCAATTTAAGTTTGAATTCAGTATACCAATTATAGTACTGTAGGTTCTTATGCCTATAAAAATATTTTTATTCTGCGGTGTTCTTTTAGTACTACTATTTCAGACTTTTTAACACTAAATTACATATTTTGCAACACTTTTAGAAAAAAATTATGAGATAGGCAATCTAGATCATGAAAGTGATATTTTCTTGCTTCCTTCTGAAAATGCTAATAATCTCAGATTCTATAAATTTACAAATCCTCAGCATATATAATTTACCAAAGAAATATGTTCAGACCTGCTGCTGAATTTGGTTAGCAAAATGAAGATTATCAACCAACCGAAGTGAACAAAATAGCACAGGACAGCATGAAGCCATTGCATAAATATGCAACAAAAGAACAAAGGGGAAAAGTCATTTATTTTTTACGCTGTAGGCAACCGGTGCATAAAGTAGGACGCATTTCTTAACAACTGAAAAAAAAATATCAATCGATACCGTATCTCATACAGCACTATAACATGGACGAGATAGATCGTCTGTCAAATCAAAATATGTTATCCATAAGAACCAGTATTTGCAGGAAGTAATAGTGCATGCCATTGATTATTCACTGCATTGTGTTATGTTAGTACAGAATGCCTGGCTAATCTACGGACACAGTGGAGGATTTGCAGATTTATTGGCATTTAGACGATGGGTTGCAAATACAGTTATTGAGGCTAATAAACTCCATTCAAAGCTAGCTTTGAAGGTAGCTAGCACCTAAGTGCAGCCTAGTTTCCTCTATCATATCAGACTCGAGATATATAGGAAAGATCATTCTATTAAAGAACGAACTGATAATAAAAGGATATGGACACTATCACCGTCAATGTCCTACACGATGTGTAAAATGTAATGTTGGTCTTAATGTTGTTAATTTTGTAACGTACCACACTAAAGCAAATATAAAAATTAAATGTTGGATTATTGGATTTGTGTGTGTAAGCCTGTATTACACTGTAACTAATAACTGTATTATATAAGGTTACAGGACATTTCTTACCCCTTTTTAATAAAAAAAAAAATTACTTAATTTTTCTATGGCTATAAAGACTAAATTAAAACATAAATTAAAAATATAAATAAATAAATATAAATTATAAATTAAAACCACGAATTAACATCATACCAATAAAAAAAATTTTTAACTAAATGATGTTTATTCTCTTAAATATCTCCCATAACCTAAAAGTAAACTACTGGTGTCCCTACTTGTGATATTTTGTTCATGCATACAAAGTAACGAGTAAAAAGTTAGTTTTAATAAAAAAAATAATATAGTTTCAGGTTAAAAAGGGTTAAAAATTAGCTTTTGGCGATTCTTGCTGCCAATTTCGTACGCCTGGTTTTTGGAAATAGATTACCTTACTTTTAGATAGCATATCAAGATAAAAAAAACACTAATTTTTTAATAAGATATTTAGAAATTTGAAAACCACATCCAGTTTCGTGAAATAGTTTTGCCGACGTAATTCCGGAACAAGGATACACAAACAAAAATTGATAAAAAAAAATTGTTTGGCTTCTGTTGCTCTTATGAAGAATTTTTTTTTAAACATCTCTCATATACAGATATACAAATCACAATTACATGACAATGTGATAATGATAATCATTTATTATTATTATTTATTAATAAAACACAAGACATTTACAACATGAGTACATTGGACCTCGCACTAGGCGAACCTGTATCGCAGGAGTTCATAAGGGATTACCAAGATACAGTATTTTACAAATATAAATTAATCTAACAATCACAATCTAGTTACAATTTTATTATAATATATAGCTTCATTAACTGCTGGCGTGCCTCAAGGCGGTGTACTTTCCCCTTTATTATTTTCTATCTTTATTAATAATATTTCTCGAGTCATTACTTCTCCCTTCCATCTGTATGCGGATGATCTGCAGTTGTATCGTCACTTTATGCTGTCTGAGGTTACACAGGCAACTTCAGCTCTAAACGATGATCTACTGGCTATTCACTCCTGGGCTAAATCGTTTGGTCTTATTGTTAATCCAGCCAAATCTCAAGCTATGATTGTCGGTAGTGGCAGGCTGAGGTGTAAGTTGGAATGGTCTCAGATTCCTCCATTGGTATACGAGGGTACTAAGATATCTTATACTGATAAAGTGAAAAACTTAGGACTTATTATGGATAGTACATTGTCGTGGACCTCTCATATTAATGACATTAGTAGACGGATGTACTTTTCATATCACTCTCTCAAACGTCTCCAATACTTTCTCCCTTTCAATACCAAAATTATGCTTGCACAATCTATTCTTCTTCCCATTCTGGATTATGCCGATGTCTGTTTCTTAGATGTGACCGAGGAGCTGCTAAATAAGCTTGAGCGGTTGCAAAATTTAGCGATAAGGTTTATTTTCAGCTTACGAAAATATGATCATGTCTCGGAATACCGCACTCGTTTAAAGTGGCTCCCAATTAGACATCGTCATGAGACACATGTCCTAGCGGTCCTATATAATATCCTTAATAATCCCAATTCTCCTTCCTACCTTCGTTCCCGGTTCCAATTATTACCTCCTCCTTCCAGACCTAGACGTCTTTGTCTGAACCAGTCCAGGGTACTGAAGCTTCCCAGCTGTAAAACCCATTTTATGGGTAACTCATTTGCATATCGTGCTGTACAGCTGTGGAATAAACTTCCCGTGAATATTCAGAATAGCCCGTCTAGCAGTTCCTTCAAAAAAAGATTAAAATCATTTTATCTTTCCAATTTAATTTAAATATAAAAATGATTAGAGGACTGTCATCATTGTGTTCTCTTGTATCTGATATTTATATGTTGTATTTAACGTGTGTATGTATGTGTGTATATGTATGTGTATGTGTATATGTATATATATGTGTATGTGTATGTATGTATATATGTGAATGCATGTGTGTATATATATATAAGTATTTATAATTTATGTAAATATTTATTTAAATTTCTGTCTTGCACTACTACTGCCCACTCACTACTTCCTATGCCACTGCGTTAGGTTGACTGGAAGAAATCTCTTTTAGAGATAAGTTCGCCTTTGCTAACATTGTTATTAACTTATTGTTGTTACTGTATGTTTTTGTGCAATAAAGAATATATATAGATTAATATATGTATATATTATTTTGCGTTTTTCGCAATGGCTTCGCAACATGAATATGAAATTTCATTTTCGTAATTGAATATGCTGACACTAAGTGTCCTGTGTCGTAAAATATAAAAAATATTGCTACATTTTATTCATTATCATTTATTAAAATTATTTTTTATTTTATATTGTTATCGCAATGAAATCGCCCGTAGTAAATGATTTTCACTCCTATTGGCCTACATTGCACACGCTACTATTTAATATTTAAAATAAAATCTATTTTATGATTTTTAAGATAAATTCACGTCTCTATTAGCTCGCTCTTTACGAAGCATTCAGCCGTCGCCGAGTCGCAACAATTACATTGCATTACACTACATTGCACTACTAATCGAGCGCAGTCGGTAACTTACAAATAAATCTAAATGCGGCGACTATCTACGATTTCATATTGTGCTATTTGTAGCAGTCTACGAGTATATGAAGCAACTTAACAAAAGTGACCTATGATTTTGCATATCGTATGATATTTCTAATGCTATATATGAAATATATCTAGCCTAGTGTTAAGACAAAGAGAACTAAATGAACTGAACTGAAGCTTTCTCCATATAGCTTGAAAATATATCCAATTGAACATGGATGGTTCATCTATTTAATATTCCATCCGGTATTTCATGTTATTTGTAAATATTGGCCGACACATCGATAGTAGGTGAAACATGATACTGTGATATATGTATGTCGGTCATAGTTTCGATCAAATTCTTAATTTCTAACATATTCTGGTTTTTAAAGGAAATAGACCGCATCAATCGAATGCAAGAGGCTGGAAATGCTCCAACTACATACGAAGCAAATATGGCTCACTGGATCGCCCACTATCCTTACTTACAGCGCATTTATCAACGACCGCACAATATGCAAAGAATACATGATTACGACCCTCGGCTTATTCCCTCCAATCCAGAAAGCTATCAATTACCACCACCTCATACACTAATGACTCCAATTTCTGATAAAATCAAGAAACCTAAACAAGAATTAAAAAGAGATTACACAAATTCTAATACAAAAGAAGAGAAAAACACTTTTGCTCTCACACCTCTGGATAAAGGATATTTTGATCCAGATGCTGATGTGAAAACTCCCCGTAAGTACCATAGTATATTACCTCTTAGTTGCATTTCTGACTGTGCAATAGATTTACGCAAAAATATTTACAGCATTGCCGATGTTACCTCATGCTATGCACGAGGGGGGCAACCTCAGGACAACTTTATTATTACAACCACCTCGTCAGATTCGACAAAATCCAAATCTAAGTAGAACTAAGACGCTTATAGCCGAGAACTTAGATCCCCTGCGAATTGGCCTGTGAGTACTATTAGTCTGTAAGTGGTATCGAATTTTCTGCTTATTTCAAGTTTAGGTAAGTAAATAATATAGCAGAAAATTTGAGACATGTTAGTATTTTTTAAATTATTTTAGTATATCTTGCTAAATAATTTAGTTAGACGATTTATAATGATAATTCATAAAAAAAAAAAACTAATGCTATGCGGCTAGAATTTGCTTAATTAATAAACTTACTACCTATATAGACCTAAATAATAGATACATGATATCTACACGTAATCGAATGATTTTGGATTGTTCACGATTTTTATTTTTTTTTATTTTTTCATTGCTTTTCAATTGCCTATTTTTGGAACATAATCACTTATATTTTTAATTATACTGTGTATTAGTAACAATTATTTTTCCTCCAGACTTTTCATTAATTACCTATCACATGACAGAATTTTAAATTTTCATTCTAATCAAATGTTTTAAAAATCCTATCCGATTATTCACACGTTACATATTTATTTAAATAAATAGAAAGCAATATATTATTTATTTTTCTTAGCCAATGCCTTAATATCTATTCACACTTTGTCTGTGTCACTATGTCTAATTTATTTTTCATCCTATCCTATGAGAAAAAGAAGTAATGGAAAGTACTTCATATAACTAGTTTCATTATCTTAAATGATTAATCCTATAAACAGCGTTATTATACTTATGTATTTAGAAAATGCCCTTATAAAAACAAACTGATTATTGGACGAGGTAGTAACTACAATATATATAATTAACTATCTTCTTTTGAAATATTGAGTTGACTTTTTTTTAAATTTCATTAAGACATTTATAGTTTAATATTTGTTACATGCGATTCTTTAATTTTTACCTAATTTATTATTTTTTCAATTATTTCCATTGCAATATTTATGTGCAAATGATATCTAAAATGATTTCAAACTTGAAATCGATATATAACGCTGTAACACAACGGAAGGTGGACGGACGGACAAAAAAAGTTGCACCATAAAAGCTTCTTTGTACCTTTTCAATACAGAACTCTTAAAATGAAATCAAACAGTCTTTTCGGCTGGAATCTTGATATTTTAATGTTTGATCAACAACGCTAAAATGGCTTGACGGATTTGATGAAATTTTAATATACGGAGAGATTATATCTTAACTTATATTTTATATAATTATTCATGCGGGAAAGTCACAGGTTTCTTATGTGCCTAAATATGACAAATAGATTAATTGAAACGTTAAAAAAAGGAAAAATACCCGGTTTTATCTTAGTAGTAACAACAAACTAGTTATAATTTTTCAAGTAGAGAGGATGAAAAATATAAATATCTGTAGTCATGGCTATTAGGTAGAATTCTTAATTTTCACTATGTAAACTCCATTTCATTTGTAAAAGCTTAATATTCACATAAAAGTCAATATCTGTAGTACATATAGTTTGTTTTAAGAATATATACCATTAGAAAAATTGGGATCAATACTGTATTATTGTATATTTTTAATTGACAGGATTATAAACCAAGTATAAATAATTAAATTATAACAGCAACAATATAAATAGCATAAAAACTGATGACGACGTCTAAAGCTGGAGTTAGAGTCAAACTGGCTAATCCTTGTTCTTTCCTTATTCTTTAAATTTTTTATTAGTGTAAAAATGCTAAGAGCAGTGTAATAAAAACTATCACTTGTTACTTGATTATTTATATATTAAGTAACTAATTTATTTATTATTCTTGCAATATTCTTCGTGTATTAAATCTACGTGATTCTGTTTTCTAGCTCTAGTTCTGTACTACTTTTTATTTTGTTCTTTGTCTTCTTATAGTTATAACTCCAACTTAAGGTTTGTTTTAAGATATATTAATAAACATCCCAATTTACATTTCTGTACAAAAATGTATTATTTCTATGTATTGTTATCTATTGTTTTTATTAAATATCCAGTATATAAATTTTTAATTAGATTTTTAAATATTAGATCAAACAATTCTCTGATATGAAAATTTCATCTTACCTTAACCTAATTATAATTATAAAACATAATTAAACATTACAAGTATTCGAAAACTGTCACGTTATATCGCCAATAGATATCAAAGTGGGTCAGATGTGCATTAGAGAATTGTGGTGACAATAAACTGAGTAGACAGTAGATGCGTTCCGAACGATGCTTCTAGGATTTATTGACTTTGTAGACATTGTAGTATCTATTGCAGGGGTAAGGACTACAGATTACCCGTCTCCTTACTGCCATCCAACCTGCGCTGGTTGAAAATAAATCATCCTGCTCTTGATGTTGATTATAAGGAGAGGTGATAATCAATGCAATATTTCCAACATTTAGAAAATACCTTGAACCCATTACTCCTAGTCCTTTGTTAGCATTCGCATGAGTACACAAATTTTATACCTACTCGTATCTAAAACTGAAATATTTAGTTCATTTTACGATCTGAAAAACAGGGAACTCGTGCAAATAAAAAAAAAAGACTACGATTACGCACTTAAAATACTATAGCACTTGATAACGTATAGTTTATGGCCTCTATAGTACGTATATGCATATATTTATACAAAATACGTATATTATGTATATACCTACATATAATAAACAACAGATATAGTACAATTTAGTTTAGGTAATTAAGAGCGTTCATAATTAAAGTATGGCAATGTCGCATTTATATGCCAATTTTCAAAAACAATTGAAGAATTTTCAATGTTTATCACTGATAATTTAAGAAGTTCTACGAACGAAAATGTCATTCATTGAATACGTTACAAATAATACCACTAAAAACTTTGCATCTACTTTATATTTTGCTTTGAATTTTTCTAATACTTTTTTGTCATCAAAATCCAAATTTTCAGTGATAGCTTAATATATATTGTTTCATTATACTATTTCATTATATATATATATATATATATATATATATATATATATATATATATATATATATACAGTGAGTGTAAAAAGTATTCGTACACCTAGGGTTATAATAAAAAAAATACGAATTTGATAGACTTTCCTCTATTTATTTAATTTAAATCAATACTGTTAAATAGTTCAACATTCCCGCACTTTGTTTATGATATTTTTTGTTTTTTAAAAAAAAAATATACAACATAAAAATATTTTTATGTTAACTAAGCAAATAATGACAAACAAAAAGTATTCGTACATTCATGCTTTTTTAAATGAAATTCTGTATAAATCATTTAGTCAATCGAATTTTTCATATGCCTACAATGCCAAGGTCATTTTTAATACGTAGGTATAGATATTAGACGTTTTAGTTGCACTCGTGACAAGTATAGACGTGTTTAGTTACAAAAATGGGTCGTAAAGTAAAAGAAACGAGTGAAATCAAATGCAAATCATTATGTGAAATTGCAAAATTTGTCAATAGACCACGTTCAACCGTACAGACTGTAATTGATCGGTTTTCTATTACTAAAACACTAAAAAACAAACCCAGAGGTGGGGCGTCCATCAAAAATCACGCCTCGATTGGATCAGAAAATTTTAAATTGTGTAAAAAAAAATCCAAAAATTAGTGCCCCTCGAGTGTTACAAGAAATTAATAATATCAATGATTGCCATATTTCTGTCAGTACCGTTCGGAACGTATTACGTAGTAACGATTATCATGGAAGAACTGCGCGTAAAAAGTATTGGGTAAATGATATTAATAGAAAAAAAGATTAGAATTCGCAAAAAAATATATTAATGAAGAAATCATTTTTGGCAAACTGTTATTTACTCAGATGAATCGAAATATAATATTTTCAAATCGGATGGACATCATATGGTATGGAGAAAACCTAATATGGAATATAAGAAAGAAAATTTATGTCCAACGGTAAAACACGGTGGTGGGTCAGTATTTGTATGGGGTTGCATGAGTGTTTTTGGGGTGGGAAAACTTGCATTTATTGATGGAATTAGGGATCACAAAGCGTATATTAATATTTTAAAAGAGAATCGTCTCTCTAGTGCAGCTCAAATGGGTTTTAACAATAATTGGATATTTTTACAAGATAATGACCCTAAACATAAAGCATGGAATACTAAAGCATGGATCCTGTTTAACGCTCCAAAATACCTAGAGATTCCTCCTCAATCACCTGATATTAATATTATAGAGCATGTGTGGGATTATCTCGATAATAAAATTCCAAATCGACCAATTTCGAGTAAAGAAACACTAAAAATTGCGCTTCGCGAAGAATGGGCATTGATACCGTCTTCTTATATTTTCAAACTAGTTGATTCGATACCGCAGAGACTCCAAGCTATCATCAATGCTAACGGTGGTCCAACAAAGTATTAATATTTTTTTAATATTCATTTACTTACAAATTTTATAAGTGTACGAATACTTTTTGTTTGTCATTATTTGCTTAGTTAACGTAAAAATATTTTTATGTTGTATAATTTTTTTTATTAAAAAACAAAAATTATCATAAACAAAGTGCGGGAATGTTAAAATATTTAATAGTATTGATTTAAATTAGATAAATAAAAGAAAGTCTATCAAATTCGTATTTTTTTTATTACAACCTTAGGTGTACGAATACTTTCTACACTCACTGTATATATATATATATATATATATTATTTCATTATGAGCGTTTTAGTTGGTAGCGTTTTAATTATCAGATAATTGCGAAATTACCACACGTCGAACTAAAGTTATGAACATTCTTAATAAAAAACGTATTATGCTATATACATGTAAACATGACACTTTTATTATTTCAATATTTTTTCTATGTGTAGGTATATATATACGTAATTAGATTAACTTACTAGCCTTTTAAATACATCTCTATTTTCAGCATGTAATCTATCTCGTATACATATCTGAATTATTTTTTCTATATTAATCAGAATGTTAACGCTTTATCTATTGCCCATGTGTACAGTATGGTCATCAATGATCTTGTTCAGAAACAAGATAAATTTTGCCACAATACGACACATCCTTGTATTTATAGTTTCTTGACATGGCATGGAGCCTTATTTTTTTAGACTGTATATATAAGCTTATACAAGAATTTTTTTTCTGTATTACATTAACACACCTTGCGTCACAGAATTTAATCATTTTACGCATAACAGCTAACTTAAATTACGCATTTATACTTTTAAGATGTTTGTTATGATGTTGATGAAGGTTTCTGACGTAAGTACACCAGGAAACAATATACCCAATATCAATTGTTCAAATATTTTATAGGGTTTCTTAACCGTGACCGGAAATTTAAACCTGTTTCATCTCATCTTAATTGCCAAGAAACCCTAAAAATAATTAATTATTTTGAAGTTGAGAAAGGTCACTGTAAAGATGTAAAAAAACACCAGTAAACAATGCAGGCAACGTCAATTGTTCAAGTATTTTGTAGGATGTCTTAACCTTGATTCGAAATTTCCTTTTTAATTATCTTCCTGATTAATCTTTTATTAATATGCCTGTAAATAATTTGTACATAACAATTTTGCATTTTATGTCTAAATCACTGTTTGTTTGCACAAGGTTAACACTCAATGATATATCGGATATTCAGACTAACCTTGTGCTTTATTCAAATGCATTAGCCAGCATACACAGAGTAACAAGTATAAACAAAATCTAAGTAAATAAAGTCACGTACACTACTAATTCAAAATAATTCACAGTGAAAATTAAACCCCTAATAATTGGTCACACATTTATTCACACCACAGATATGGATTTAAATAGACATCGCCCTCAATGAACATTTTAATAACAAATAAATAGAGAATTGATATAAAGAGCAAAAAGCAGAAGTACTGCCGATGATATCTTTGACTCCGTTTAGTGCAGATGATTGGAGTTTGCTATCAATCAAGTACAGAATTTTGTAAAGAAATACGCTTATTTTCATATAAATTAAGGTACTTGCGTTGTCTATATCTATCTATATTTGTGTTTCACGCAATATGGTCATTTTAAAATAATATTAAAGTGCATAAAAACATTTGCTAGAATTCTTAACAATTCATGGACTATGGATGTTTGTCTAAAGTTTGTATGAAATTAAATGTCATAACTATACATTAGGTGCCTAGTTGGTAGAGTCGCGAGAGTTAAAATCTGGCTTAAGACATATATTTTTTATAAGTAGTATATACAATTAACTCATTAATCCTAAAGTAAAAAATAAAAACAATATATTCGTTTAAAAGTTAATAACAATTGTTTCGCTGTGTATGTTATAAAATTACTTTTATTTTCTTTTTTTAACTCGGCCGGTATAATTTGAACTTCTTACTTAGGATGAAATAGAAAGTAGGATAAACTAAGACGTAAAATCTAACATCAGGAACATAAATAAAGGAAGAGCGGTATTAAAGAACTAGTTTTGAAAGAACGGCCAAAAAACTAAAGGCAACCAAGAAATGTCAAAAATTGTATCATTGGTTGTTTATTTCTTTATGTATGTAATGTCATGAAACATTTCCCAAAATCTGCAATAGGTAATATTAAACTAATAACTATTTATAAAAAATATGACATTCAGGTCTTGCATAATATATAAACTTTAAAAGAGCCTAACAAAGTTTTGAAAGAGCATAGATTTTATTACAGGATTTTAACTATAAATTAACAAAAATGTTATTGAATATATTTATTATTACGTAAAATGTTTCAAATAAAGCAAAATTTGAACAACGTATTTATTTGGAATCTAAAAAAACATTTACAAATTTTTTTTTTTCAAATATATCATCGCAAATTGATAGTCAATGTGCGATGTCCAGCCTTTTTAAGAGCATATAAAAAGAAATTCTAATTTAAAACTAAAATAAATAATTAGTTTCTCTAACAGCTTCCTCTATTGTAAATGCTGCGGATCTTTTACGTTTCTTTGGCTCTGATGTTTCGAATGTCATTGTTTTCTAAAGTAAACAAACGGTCTATTTAAATTAAGTATCCAATTCAAACGATTTAATTATTCACATAATTAATATATATAATGAAAAATAAGCCTTGAAGGACCCAGCTTTTTCATTACATTGTAGAGCAGCTCTTTGAAAACACATTCTTTCAAAATATATAACCTCAAAAATTTTAATAAAATTAAAGCCATGTATATGTTATATCCATAATCAAAACAATAATACATCAGAAAACAAATTAAAGGAATACAAAATCTTACTAAATACAAGAAATCTTCGTCTCGTCTTGTCTCCGTTTATATTCGATGTTTCGATGAAATGTCTGCGAGTGATATCTGACCACTAAATACTGTTGGCTTAAAGTTGTAATTCGTGCATAATTCATTTGAATATTAGCGCGGAAATAATATTGGCTCTTCCAAAACTTTACTCTTTCAAGCCGCTTCTCCGCTACCAATAACTATGACGAAAAGGTGAATGCTGGATTTTAGCACTGGCGATTAGTGACAATCGTGTCGTGTCAGCAAAGTGTCAATGACCAAAGTTATTAATTCAGTTTCAATATGTATTCGCAAGGATTATACAGTTTTAACAAGGACTTGCGCTTGCATAAGTCAATTCTCGACCTTTTTTATTGTCAAAATAGAACAAATATATTTTAAGTTCTTGACTAATTCCTCGGTGAACATGACAGAATATTTTGTCTTGCACGAACAAAAGTCCTTAATATGACAGTGTGCGCATGACCTATTATAACTAGTAGAACATATAATTTAGTAAATGGGAAGTTTAAGTGAATTATATCTTGTTCTTATTGTTATTTATTTTAGCAGTTCACACGACGATGGCTACTCAACGGAAAAGCCACGCCATCTCCATGTTATGGAATCATCGAATGATTTAAGTCATCTAACCCAATTGAATACAGCCGACTCTATATACGGGGTGGCTTTGATCGCTGCGGTCGGTGCTGCGCTTACTATGGCTATATTTGGATTTGCGTTTGGATGGTACACGTAAGTACCCGATGGATTAGTACTTAAATTTAATACATTTCCTCAGTTATATACAAATTAATACACACAATTCTGTTATTGATATTAAGAATTCACTCTTTAACAGTTTCCATTCTTAGCTAATTGTAACTAAAGTTGAATAATATAGTACCTATAATACCTGTTGAGAGAATAATTGTTAAAATGATGATCAGTTTTATAAATGAGCAATTTTATAAATGTTTACATATTTTAATGTTTGTTACTTAACCTAAACTGATCACAAGACTCGTAATATTATAATATATGCTTTAATATTTTAAACTATGTATTATGAAAAACTATTATCATCTACAAATGTTTGTCCGAAAGGATTGTTAAATTTCTTAAATATTATTATATATACAAATTGATAAGTACTAAAAGGTCAATGCACTTTTGAAGTAATCTAATAAAATGTCGTATGGACTTTGCGGTATATACAGTATACTCCTTCCTCGCCTATTTGGCGCAGAGAAATTGATACACATATTGAGACATGATAGATAATCAATGCAATTACCGAACAATATTATTGTTGCACTTTCCATGAGATGATCAAACAGTTTCATCGTAACATCGTGTTCTCGATAGTGGATATATTCGAGAAATTAAGTACCTTAAGTATATGGACATTAGAGGTATTATTATTGACTATTATGAATTAAATTAGTATATCATTCAGTACAATTTAAAAAGACAAAGCTTTCTTATCTATTATGGGAAAATTGTTAAAAAAGAGTAAATTATAGCCGTATTTAATAAGCAACTTATTTCAATGTAATAAAACAAATTACTTACTATAGGTTATCTAAAAAAGCAAAGGCAGCTGCTGATGTTGATTATCCAGCGTATGGCGTAACTGGACCCACTATCGACACCTCTGGTGACAGAAAACTGGCTCAATCGGCACACATGTACCACTATCAGCATCAAAAACAACAAATTATTGCTATGGAAAGGTAAATATAACAAGGTTAATTCAATTACTCAATATAGTTAATTTACTTTAAGGCTGATGTCAATGGAAACAAGCTATCACTAATCAATTATTATTGACTACCAATAATAATGATAGAAAAAATAATATATACCTAAGAAAAAATACATGTACATTTCAATATCAGCCTTCCAACTAAGGATAAACAATGTTTTCATATAGACAATAGGTACCGCTCATACACTTAATATACCTACTGTATATATTCTAAGAAAATATTTGATAAGGTAAAATACTTTATTATTAATACTTATAATAATATTAGTTTTCTTTCTAAATATAAAATTATATTTATTTAAGAAATTCAGTATTAGTATGCAAATAATTCTACTTGAGTTTATCATACACTTACATCCATATAGTTACTGACAAGGATCAAATCTCTATAATGAAAATTGTCTATTAAGTACATTGGAAGCCATGAAGCCTTACATTTCTCGTACTATATCTAATATATCGATTCATTGGAACATGATGTTACTTATATTGCTACTTAATAGCTTCTTACTTAGGTTTCCCCGATTGTAGATATTGCAATAGAAATTAGTTTCAACTTTCAGTACACTAAAATATCTATTTGTATGAATATTATGCAAATATTATTATCATTACTGCTATTATTATTTTGAATGAAAGCAGGTTAATTAACCGGTGGTGATGAATTTATCAGAAATTAACCACAATGGTTTCCAGCGAGAACCGCATGGAGGTCCACCTGTGAAACCATATTACTAGCAATGGAGTTGTTTGACACCATTATTAACAATCCCTTACCCCCCAACAAATAGCGTAAGACGTTCTATAATTATACGGCATACATAATCAAAGAAATAAAGACATCTGTAGAGTATGAGAAATTGCATAGTTAAAAAAACCTAAATAATTAACACCTCGTAGGTATAAGTTTGAAATACATTATATCCCTTATAATTTCTTAAGAAATGAATCAAAATTAGTACATAACTAAGAAAATTTACAACTACGAGACCCATTTTTAAATTTAAAATCTATATTCGCTTGGAGTACAATACCTCCTACGTAATATGTCAACAATAATAAAGTTACGAAATGTTGTGCTACAAACACATTTTAAATGCTGTCTTTTTTATAAGGAACGGTTTGGAACAACGAAATGGATCTGTGTCTGACCCCGAGTCGGAAGAGGAAAATGAAGAGGGAGACTACACTGTTTACGAATGCCCTGGCTTCGCCACGGTAATTATACTATTAATATAATTATTATCATTTCTTTCAAAACCTGAGTCAACACAAACACTGCGAACCCATTTTTCTATTCATTTAAAATCGATTTAAGAAGGTATAAGCCATTGTTTCTAATCTTTGCTTACTTACTTCATATAGAATGATGTGTAGAATTGGCCATCACCTTGTTTACTACGTGTAGTTTTGTAATGAGTAGAATTTTGTATTGTTCCTATTATGAGTGCAGCATCCATAGGTGTAGTATTACAGTTATTAACAATTCAAACACAAAAATGAAACAAAAAAATGGTTACACTAGCTTGTTTTATAAAGAAGTTAAACTATAGAAGAAGAAGACAGTTTAATAAAGAAGTTGTCGTTGTTGTGAATTGTTGTGAGTGTTAAAAAAATAACAAAAATTCGTAGTTATTAGAATTTTAATTTTAATTTATAGACGTTCAGAACTTTTTTAAATTGAGTTAATTTTTTTTTATCAACAATACATATCTGGTGTTTGTATATTGCATTTAAAAGTATAATATTTCATTTAATAAAAATCGGTAAAAAAACTTTTAAGTTAAACGGTTTTATTTTATGTGCACTGAAAACTACAAAATAAATAAATAGTTACTTACCTATCAACCTACGTAGGTGATCTCGGTCATTAATATCTCTGATGGTAGTGGTTGTTATAGCATGAACCATGTCAGCGGCCGAAAGGCAGTTCATGAGAGAACACTGACACCAGGGTTTGCTTGGTAGGTAAACTAAGCAGCCCACACTATAACAAGTAGGTATTTTGACCTTCTAGTTCAAAAATATTTTAGTACTAGGCAGAATAGCTTTTAGGCATATTAGACTAAAATAAAAACGTGGGGCCCATTAACTATTTCTGTATCACTTTCTACTATACTAAGTGTGGATTGCATTGACTTATTATAATCGTCATCATCATCATCCTAGCGGTTTATCCCGGTCGCATCCGAAACCTCATAGCTCCGGAGTCCAGGGTCCGCTAAATCGACTTACTATAATCGTTACTGGAGGTTTTGACCATCAATAACCAGCCGTTACGGCTTCACCAGCGAACACTGAGCTCATGATCTACCAAAGTATAAGATATGCTCTGCTATAGGTATGATTTCAGAGGGGCCCCACGTTTTTATTTTAGTCTAATATGCCTAAAAGCTATTCTGCCTAGTACTAAAATATTTCTGAACTAGAAGGTCAAAATACCTACTTGTTATAGTGTGGGCTGCTTAGTTTACCTACCAAGCAAACCCTGGTGTCAGTGTTCTCTCATGAACTGCCTTTCGGCCGCTGACATGGTTCATGCTATGACAACCACTACCATCAGAGATATTAATGACCGAGATCACCTACGTAGGTTGATAGGTAAGTAACTATTTATTTATTTTGTAGTTTTCAGTGCACATAAAATAAAACCGTTTAACTTAAAAGTTTTTTTACCGATTTTTATTTTCTTGTTTTTAGTTTTTAGTAGTGAAATTGTTTACCGAATATTCCTCATTCTATTTAATTCATTCAGTGCATCATTATTACATGGTTTCTTACCTGAAAATTTAGTACAATCTAATTCCTCAATACATAGCCCTTCCAGAGACTTGACTCGACTTAGAGCCACGTACGCTTGTCCTTCCTCAAACCATTTTGAGCCCAAATATACCACTGCATGGTCGACGGTGCTGCCCTGCATTTTATGGACGGTGAATGCTCATGACAAAACTAAGGGCAACATCCTTTTTTCAGCCGTACCATAATTGAATTTTGCTGGAAACTGTATGGCTTTAAGGTAAATAACGTGCATGCCGTCTGTGCCAAAGTCAATTAAAACTGATGATATATCTGTTTCGTACATTTGGGTTCGACGGAACTGAGACCAAAAAATTTCTGTAATGTGGCCTATAGCGTCATTTACCAATCCTTTTGTAACGTCAATGTTGGGCCGCAACATTACTTTTGCACCTACAAATATTTCAAGTACTGATGGTAAGCCTCCAGTCTTATTTATATTTGTTGGTATTTTTTATTTATTGTTACCATGTTGTTCCCACAATTAAGGGGCATTTTGACGGTCGACCCCCCCCCCCTCGCAGTCCAGTAAAGGGGCAAGGCTTAATATACAACAAGATGCGCCCAATCTTGAGGGGGAAGCGCTTACGACATTACATTTTTATCCACCCTAATGGCATACAGTCCTCGGCACGTTTTAACCTATTACCTTAACTTGGGTGGTATAACTACCGCTTACTAACGAGGTATCTAATTACCTAATACCTCTAACGTCACACAATCTTAGACGCAACTGTTCTCGATACGACTAATCATGCCCCCACCTAATACGCCATTTTGTAACAGCGTCCATCTTGAATTTAAAATTTTGACATAATGACAGTATTCTGCAGTGTAGTCCTATTATTTGATACCCATATTGTGGTGGTTGTGGAAAAATATGTACCTAGTCCGCCATATGGGAACGGCGTCCATCTTGAATTTTAAATTTTGATATAATCATCGTGTTTTACTAGTGTAGCCCTTTCATTTGATACCCATATTGCGGGGTTAAGGAAAAAAATATGTAATCCGCCATTTTGTATCGGCGGCCATCTTAGATTTATAATGTTATTGATTTTATTATATTGTATTGTCATCTAAATTAAATGTGTGTACCAAATTTCAGATCAATCTGACAACGGGAAGGTGCTTAAATTCCAATTTCTAATTTTGACCCAAATAAATAAATACCGTACAGGTCGAGCTAAATAAAACCGTTTAAAAACCGTTTAATAATAAAAATAATCACAACTAATTTAAAGCAATTGTGAATAGGCTATTCTCGGGTCCACAAGCTTCGTCTAAGACCACATTATCACCATCCATCTGGTGAGATGTGTGTCTAGTGTCTGAGTGTCTTGTGTCTGAGTGTCTAGTGTTTAGTGTCTGAGTGTCGAGTGTCGAGTGTCGAGTGTCCGAGTGTGTAGTGTCTGGGTGTCTGAGAGTCTAGTGTCTGAGTGTCTTGTATCCGAGTGTCCAGTGTCTGTATGTCTAGTGTCTGGGTGTCTGATTGTCTAGTGTCTGAGTGTCTAGTGTCTGAGTGTCTAGTGTCTGAGTGTCTAGTGTCTGAGTGTCTAGTGTCTGAGTGTCTGAGTGTCGAGTGTCTGAGTGTCTAGTGTCTGAGTGTCTGAGTGTCGAGTGTCGAGTGTCGATTTTACAGTGTCGAGTGTCGAGTGTCTAGTGTCTGAGTGTCTAGTGTATGAGTGTCGAGTGTCGAGTGTCGAGTGTCTAGTGTCAGAGTGTCTAGTGTCTGGGTGTCTGAGTGTCAAGTGTCTGAGAGTCTAGTGTCGAGTGTCGAGTGTCGAGTGTCTAGTGTCTGAGTGTCTAGTGTCTAGTATCTGAGTGTCTAGTGTCGAGTGTCTGAGTGTCTAGTGTCTGAGTGTCTGAGTGTCGAGTGTCGAGTGTCAAGTGTCTGAGAGTCTAGTGTCTGAGTGTCTTGTATCCGAGTGTCTAGTGTCTGAGTGTCTAGTGTCTGGGTGTCTGAGTGTCTAGTGTCTAAGTGTCGAGTGTCGAGTGTCGAGTGTCGAGTGTCGAGTGTCGAGTGTCAAGTGTCGAGTGTCGAGTGTCGAGTGTCGAGTGTCTAGTGTCTGAGTGTCTAACGTCTGGGTGTCTGAGTGTCAAGTGTCTGAGAGTCTAGTGTCTGAGTGTCTTGTATCCGAGTGTCTAGTGTCTGAGTGTCTAGTGTCTAGGTGTCTGAGTGTCTAGTGTCTAAGTGTCGAGTGTCAAGTGTCGAGTGTCGAGTGTCGAGTGTCGAGTGTCGAGTGTCGAGTGTCTAGTGTCTAGTGTCTGAGTGTCTAGTGTCGAGTGTCTAGTGTCTGGGTGTCTTGTATCCAAGTGTCGGAGTATCTAGTGTCTAGTGTTTAGTATCTGAGTGTCGAGTGTCGAGTGTCTAGTGTCTGAGTGTCTAGTGTCTGGGTGTCTGAGTGTCTAGTGTCTAGTGTTTAGTATCTGAGTGTCGAGTCTCGAGTGTCGAGTGTCTAGTGTCCGAGTGTCGAGTGTCTGAGTGTCTAGTGTCTAGTGTTTAGTGTCTGAGTGTCGAGTGTCGAGTGTCGAGTGTCGAGTGTCGAGTGTCGAGTGTCGAGTGTGTCGAGTGTCGAGTGTCGAGTGTCTAGTGTCGAGTGTCGAGTGTCTAGTGTCTAGTGTCTGAGTGTCGAGTGTCTGAGTGTCTAGTGTCTGGTGTTTAGTGTCTGAGTGTCGAGTGTCGAGTGTCTAGTGTCTGAGTGTCTAGTGTCCGAGTGTCTAGTGTCTGAGTGTCTTGTATCCGAGTGTCTAGTGTCTGTGTGTCTGTGTGTCTGTGTGTCTAGGGTCTGGGTGTCTGAGTGTCTAGTGTCTGAGGGTCTAGCGTCTGAGTGTCTAGTGTCCGAGTGTCTAGTGTCTGGGTGTCTCAGTGTAGTCCTATTATTTAATACCAATATTGTGGTGGTTGTGGAAAAATATGTACCTAGTCCGCCATATTGGAACGGCGTCCATCTTGAATTTTAAATTTTGACATAATCATCGTGTTTTACTAGTGTAGCCCTTTCATTTGATACCCATATTGCGGGGGTTAAGGAAAAATATGTAATCCACCATTTTGTATCGGCGGCCATCTTAGATTTATAATGTTATTGATTTTATTATATTGTATTGTCATCTAAATTAAATGTGTGTACCAAATTTCAGATCAATCTGACAACGGGAAGGTGCTTAAATTCCAATTTCTAATTTTGACCCAAATAAATAAATACCGTACAGGTCGAGCTAAATAAAACCGTTTAAAAACTAACAGTATTACCACAAAAAAAATTTTAAACATCATGTTAATAGCCGTGATTGTCTGAACCTGATGGAACTTTGCATACCTATCATTAGATAGGTATGCAAATTGTCTTATGCTATCATCTAATGCTATCATATCATTAGATAGTACTTTGTACTCTTCTAAAAAGAAAGATTTTATAATAATTAAAAAACGTGGTTTAAAACCTATGTAAAAAATTGCTGTTTAAAATGCCCTAAACAGCAGTACCGATAGTTTTAATATTGCTTAATCAGTGTAATAATGTGTTCTTGTAATTGTGTCAAAAAATATTAATTATTATCTATAGTAAAATTTGTTTCTACAAATTCTTTTTATTTTAAAAAATATAGATATTTTTGTTTAGCCATAAACAGATGTTAGAAATATGTTATAGTAAGTCGTCTGAACATGTTTAAAACACTTGTCTATTGCAAGTGTAACTATTTTGTGGTAAGACGGTTGTAAGCGTTCTTACATAACTAATGTGTCATATTAACGTACTGTTTCTAATTTATATTATATACTGGTACAGCACACTTAACTCTAACCAGTTGGTTAGAGTTTAAAACTAATTACATTTCATTTGTTTATACTCTCGCCGAATCCTTATCGAGTTTATGTGTGTGTGTATATATATATATATATATATATATATATATATATATATATATATATATATATATATATATATATATACATATACATATATATTATTATATATCATTCAACTGCTGCGCAACCAAATGTGAAAAACACACAAATGTTACCAAATGTGAAAAAGTAGGTTGATCTCTTCCCTAGATGGATCGATGATCTCAAATGTTATACGTGTTAAAGTAGTTCATGATCGTTAGATTATAAAGATCCATACAAAGATTTCGAAAAAATAGGTCAACTTTTATGTACATGTGTGTAAAATAGTTACCAGATTAGAAATTATTATTATTATTACTTTAAAATAATCTAGATAGGTGAAGGTTGTAATTTAAATTATTTATTTATTTTTTTAAGAAATACCAATAGCTAAAAAGATAGTTAAGACAAAAAGCCAGTTACAGGTTTTCACAAATAAAAACAAGATTTAAGTAATTGCACATGCTGCAGCTGCAGGCAAGCTGCTAGTCTTATACTGATATATTGGGTCGAGTTGTCTATTTCCCACACCTTCACCATGACTGTGATAATAAATTCATTATATTATATATTATATGCATTATGACTATATATATATATATATATATATATATATATATATATATATATATATATATATTATGTGTCTAATATATGTGTATAAATTGCGCCACCGACCTTACCTCTGTACCCACCTAGTACTTTATACTAGGTTGTAGGTAAGAGATTGCTTTTAGCAATTAAGCCTTCTTTTGTATCAATATCCTTTTGTGCGTAATAAAGATTTCATTATTCTTATTATTTGCTAAAAACATAATGCACTTTCACCATCCCTCCTTAAGAGGGGAGATAGCACCCCCCCCCCCTGCAGAAGCACAGTCGACAGGGGTTCAAGGCCTCAGGTAGAGAAATCAGCATATTATGCGGACCGTATCCAAGGGCAATGCGTTCTGTATCTTCCCCTGAAGAGATCTGCCCCACCCCAACTCTCTGAAGTATTGTTCCAGTATGGTTAAGATAAGTCCGTCCACTGACAGAACGACTGGGATGATTTCGGTAGATGTCACATCTCACATTTATAGGATAATATAATTCAAAATATAAGACATATTTTCTGAAGACGCTAATAATCTCGTGGTTGTCTGTAGTTTTAATGCTTAGTAAACCTCGATGACCAACCTTGGGATATGACCAGATACCGATATGTTATAGCGAATATATTGGAGAGGATTTTGACACTAGAGGTATCTGTAACGATTCCTTCATATTGAGAGACCCGTCCTCTCGGCACATGGAGGACCACACACTTGCCTATTTCGAACTCCATCTTAACAGAACTACTATAATCGTTTACATTATTTAACAGTTCTGTCAGGCATTAGACACTCGGAGCTGGCAATGTCAAGTTATCCATGTACAGAAGGTGAGACACTTATATACGTCCTCTCCGATATTGAAAACCAGTATCTGAATTCTCTAGAAAAATATAAATTCCGATCTTACGCGCTCAGAACGGATATTTTATATATTATCGTAAGACAAGTGACGGGGCGATATTTAGATAAATCCATAGTCCATGATGAGCTAAATGAATGATCCCGGTTGTAAGGAAATTCGAGAGCACCCTATTTTCGAGAGTACTTTGAAATTGCATGCTAAGATCACACGATTAACCAAAAAAACCTTTAGCCCATTGCAAACCGTACTACTGCAACCCGTCGATCCCTGGACTTTTCCATTTCTGAGCCCGATGAATCGTAGCAAATACCTGTTCCTTCGAAATAGCAACGGGGTTCATCGGCGCTGTCTAAACAGATACTTCTTCAACACCATGCATCCATACGCCCTCCTCTTGCTCCATATGTTCAGAGTACAGCTGACACTAAAAGTCGACGAAATCGACTGTTTCTGGTTTTTGCCCTGTAGGTTGCATTTTACGCACTCCAAATTCTAAATTCTAAGATTAGAACTTCCATTCATCGCTCATGAAGAAGCGATTCTGTTAATATCTCTCGGCCCTTTCTGCGTACCGTCGAAGTCACTTCTTATTTCCAGGCTAGTTTCGCGTTATCACTTAAAATTATGTTGACGCCAAGCCAACTAACGTCGATCGCGATCGAAGTGATGGTGTCGGTTGGCTAGCTCATATTTTGCCGCATCCACCGTCAACTGTAAAGGCGCCTGGGCGACCGCCAGATAGTGGCCCTATATAACGGAGAAAAGAGATTGTTAGTAGCTGCACGTGGTGCCTTTGGAAACTATGTTGGCTAATTCTTGTAGGATGATAGGCTAATTGACTTGCTTTCATCCTCATCTTTCATCCCTCATTAATGCCCCGACAGTGTATATAAATAGCGGAGGCGGAATTACTATTCCATTATCACTCATTAAAAAAAGGCGACCCTATATGCGTCTCATTGTATTCTTTGGCATCTTTATTGACTAACCCTGTCGGCCATATTGATTATTATTTTATATACGTTGCCCGCCACGAGTGTTCGACTCGCGTATAGTGTAGTATTACGGGGTTTATTATTGCTGATTGTATAACTGTAAAAAAAAATACCACAAATAATTCTTCTTCTTATCTTCTACTCAGTCACTGACTTGACAACATATATGTGATACTTTTACTATATTTACAGACTGGTGACATGGAGGTGAAGAATCCCCTATTCTCTGAGGATCCGACTCCAGCAACCCCTGGAAAATGCGAAGTAGTAAAACCCCAGCCTAAGGATTAACTGCCCTCCAAATCATCACCGCCACCTGCTGTCTCGACCTGGCACACCATCTTCGTCGCAAACATAAATTTCGTCCTATTATATCATATAATCTAAATTACAAAATTATAATCATCACGAGCAATGGTATCAGTAAAGATTCGTAATTTCACAGAGGCATAATGTCGTTGACATAATAAATTATGGATTTTTATTAAATAATGAATTATTGCATATATAACGAACTTAGATTAATGACTCGTCTCCCCTGCGCTATCGCAACAGACCAATCAATCATTAAACTAAGATAAGAATAACTTTATAATAAATGCAAATTCATAGGAAGACGAATTAAGATAGTGCCTGACCGATTTGGATATTGACATGAGTGAAAAACATCATTCGTAGAGTAGCTCAGTTATTAAAAATTAGATAGAAAATACTAGGTATGTATTTCTTTAAAAAAAATTAAATAGGTACCTTACGAATGTTGGATGACACAGGTGTTGCGGTAATTTCCAGGTATATTAACGTTACGGTAATGTTTTGTTATTTGGAACCGTTGATTGACTCCGACTATGTATTAGCACTCAACATAATTTGGAATGTTGTGCTTACCTGGTAACATTTAAAAATATTGTATTCATAACTGCTCAAACATAGAGGGGGTATATATATTTTAGGTCATTTAATAAACATAAAATATTGACATCTTTCACAATGTTACATAGAATCCTTTAAATACAGGCAAATTTTAAAATCAAATCAAAATTAATATAACAATAATATACAACTGCCTAATTCATGATTCATGTCTATAATGCCTAAAATAAGATTTTATTAAGCATATTTTATATCTTTACTATGAAACTTCGTTCAAATAATTTTTATTTAAAGTAAATGTAGTTGATTTACAAGAAAATTCCGGGTATTTATTGTCAACTTTTGAAACTTATTTTAACTTATTAATAATATTTATATTTTTAATTTCGTGATGAAATATATTTATCTGGATATTTATTTGTCAGGTATTCCCTTATTTATTCTCATATCAAATACCTATATTAAAGAGTTAATCTAAATGTACCTAAATGTGACTTTATGTGACCATTAATTGTTTAGCTATATATAAGAAATTAGTATTTATTATCTGTTTAGTGTAGATGTACTTACCAATTAACTCCATGAACGTATAGAACCATATTTAAGTAAACTCGAATTAATTCGCTTTTAGAATTCAATTCCACTATTATATTCGAACACGCTGAACATGAAAGCTTGAGATTACGTTTCTAACTCATTACTCAATATCTAGTCATATAATATGCAATTATTACAATATTTTAAATGATCTCTTTTGCTTTATTGTAAGCGCAATACCATATTATGGAATATCATTTACTTAATCAATATGTATGTATCTAGTAATCAAATTATAATCAACAAAACGATTTAATGTTATAGGTGTTGACGTTTAATTGTATTGAAATCGTAAGTGTATGTTGTAATAATTATAAGTATTAACCATTTTACTCTCAATTAATTTCTTTTTTAACCGACTTAAAAAAGAAAGAAGTTCCCAAATCGATTGCAATTTTATCCTGTGTATGTTTAGATAATTTCTGCCAAAAGAATAATTCAATTCAATTCCAAATAAAGATTAGTCCAAAGTGTATTATACAAATTGTGTTCATATTTTATACGTTTTTATCCATCAATCGGCTGCCAAAGTGTTTTTTTAAATCCTCGAAAGCTTTAGACCATTCCTACTTTGGAAGACAAATGGTTATTCCTCCAATGTAGAGATGGACAATACAGGAGTAGTTGAAAAGCTAGTGGCGAATGATGTCAAAGTCTTTTAATTAGGGTTTAGATTTATACAGGTACGTGAACGATTTCATTTCACACATCTAATTTCATATCCGCGCATGTCGATTACTTAAATTTTCTCTCTCTCACAACATTTTTAAGACTCGGGTTTGTACGATGGCTGCTGCCTAATAACACCAGGTAATTTTGCAAATATTTATATAAATATTCGTATAAATTTGTGTTTTTAGGATTATATACCTAACATTATTTAGTTGCAAATTTATTTAATTAAGTACGAGTGTTGTAGTAGAATTCTTATATTTAAGAATATAAAAATTCTTATATTTAAATATATGCGACTATCAAAGAAAAAGTTTTAATTGTTAATTAACATTAAATATCTATTATAAATGTTTATTTTTAATAAGAACAAATTATTACTGTTGGCTTATTTACAATTGAATTATACACCAAATATCTACATGTATACATATCTTCTACACCATTTACCTATGTCAAATTTTATAGATGTTTCTTGAATACTCCAAATGTCTAATATGTTATCATTATGTTAAAATAAATATATAAAATAATTATGCATATAAATGTATAATAACACAGCTATATAAAATTATATAATGAACTTATTAACGTTTTCTTCTTTTTTGAAAAGGTACTGCCTATCAAGAAAACCAAACAGGGTTATGCCAAATCAACGCTATTAATAGTTAAAGTATAATGTCTAAATATGTATATAACGACTGATTTGATTTTTTCCTATATGGATATTAGGTATGTTATATATATAGCCAGCTTAGCTAATGGAGAATTAACACCTTTATACTTATATGTTGTAAAAAACAATCCATTACCTTAATAATAATTTCTAATACTGGCATACTGCAAATTGTAATTATTTATGATAAATCATCAAAAACTAGGTACTAATTGTTATAATAACTTAGAAACGAAAAGTATACCACACTTACTCAAACCATAAGAATTCTTTAGTTTGTTTCCATTTTTTACAAAAACACCTTCATTTTGTAAATTGACAATAGTCATGAAAACTGTAATTTATCTTTTATAAGACATTTTTCTTTATGCTATAATTAAACTTATAGTACCAAAAATATTAAATGTATAATAAAATTGAGTCAAAGCATTAAATTCGGGTAAAAATTAATTTCCGTTTCGCTACATTCCCACCTATCCTTGCAATGTGTCCATGAAAAATTTTGAAGTATGAAATAGGCACCTACTTACATCGGTTTTTAAAAACCGACATTCATGTTTATATATAATATTTCTAATCCTATGTTGTCTGTTCTAAACCTGTTATCTGTGTACCAGATGCTTATAGCACTTATGAACCAATTTATTAACCTATAGGTAGTTTTGAACTGTTTCTTACCTTTTTCTACCTAAAGGCGTTGGTAGATATAGATATGTACTTTTAATAAGGTATTAAACAACTATTTTTAAACGACTTCATAAAGAAGGAGATTCTGAATTCCACTGTTATAATTTTATGTATATTAAGTCATTTTCACCAATACTAGCATAGCACGGAGCCATGATTTTTTGGTCTACGTATATTTATCATTATTAACCTTTAGGTAGGTACTTATAAAAAGGTCAAGTTTACTCAGCAAAATGTTTCTATGTAACATTAATATACATTGCCATAGAATTTACGCACATTTAATGCAACTGCGTCGAATAACGCTTTCATGTACCCTAATAACACTTTATTCTCGACAAAAGTTACTGACGTAAACAACACTAGGAAACAATACACCCTGTATCAATTGATCAATTGTTTATATTTTATAAAATTTCTTACTTGAAACAAAATGTAAGCTTGATTCTCTCCTCTTAATTACTACGAAGCTCTAATAACAATTGTTTTGATGTTAAGAAAGGTCACTGCTATAAAAAAAACCAGCCCCAATGTAAACAATCGGCCCAATATCAATTGTTTAAGTTGTTTTATAGGGTTTCTTACCCTTGAACAAAATTTTAACTTGATCCTACAAGCTTAACCTTTACAATTTAATCCTCCGTTAATTCCATTTTATTTTTGTTGCCAATGAAGTCACTTTTTCTTGCGGAGCAAAATTATATTGCCTAAAATTTGACTATTCAGACCCACTGAATTTATATTTTCATTAATGTACCTACTTAAGTACTTACTACCTTTTTCTTACTTACTTCAATTAAGTAGTTACCTATCTATCTATATAGCCCATCTAATATATATTATTAACGCTAACCTAGCAGCTTGTAATGGGATGTCAATGAATTGTCATGGTATGATACGTCCGTATTCTAATTCTAAACAATCGAATATAATTTTTGATCATGCTACATACCATACACATATGTCTTAAGTTGTATAATAACCAACTGCCGAAAAATTTTGAAAATAAGAAATTTTCAATAACATAAACTAAAACTGTTTACTGAATACATTGATGTAAAATTCCTTCATTGCCTTTTATTCTTAATGAATTTAAAAAAAAAAAGAGGTCAATTCGATTGTATTTTTATTTCATTCCTTTTTTATTTTGATTACGGCATGACCGATTACGACAAGATTATACTCCCGTGTTGTGATAATACGGAATATTACATGTTTTGAAGTTAGTCTTTTTTTATCTCAGTCATAAACCATGTTACTTATGTAACACCTACCTACTTAGGACTAAAGAAGGATTTGTTAGTAATGCAGACTACCAGTATCATTGCTAGCAATGTACTCTGTCAAGTTACACTCCACGTGGTACCCCCTAGAAACCATAATGCTGAATTTCAAGTGTATTTATCATGATGGGCTAACTGATCTGCCTTTTCATTCTCCCCTATCACCCTTCACTGATGCCCCGCCAACGTATACAGTTAGCGTAGGCAGGTTACAATTCCATTATCATCCAAAACAAAAACTACTGCTAAATACATAGATAAAGGATAGTACTGTAGGTATCTATGCTAACTTAAATGATAAATATACCTTATGGACATTGCTTGTTAGAGACCAGATTGTTATTTGAATCTGATATAAATATACTATAAAGTCTAATATTAATAGAACGACTATTAATTAAATAAAAATAATAAATATTTACGAAACCTGTAATAGACGAGTGTGTATGAATAGATTGATAAATGTGGAGGAAGCTAAAAAGGTCTGTTTAAAACCGGGGCATTTGAGGTTCCGTTATTTCTGCCTACCCTGCTTGTAGACATAGATGTATGAACATATTTATATATTTACGAAACGTTTCGTTATTTATCGGTGTGTACATTTTAATCTTCAAATTACTTAGCAAACTATGGAGAGGGCTACGCTCGGAGTATTTTTGTGTGAAAGAATCCGAAATGAAAATATCCGTTTATCTAAAATCACCAATATAGCCCGAAGAACAAGCAAGCTGAAATGGTCATTACCATTTCAGCTTACTGGTTCTTGTGTTCTTGTGATGTGATCAGCACATTTGCTGATCACATAGCTCGAAGACACGACAACCGATGGAGAACAAAGGCTCTTGAGTGGCGACCCCGTACGGGCAAACACGGTGTAGGATGACCCCCTCTAGATGGAGTGATGACCTCAAATGCATTGCAGGGTGTCAGTGGATGCAGGTGACTTACGATTGTTTTTATGGCAGTCTATAGGGGATACTTATGTTCCCCAATGGACGGATAATAGCTGTGACGATTATAATAAAATGTTAACGACTGAAGTAGCTTTTGCAGAATAGCCTCCTTAAAGTACATTTTGTACTTGATTCCAGAAGTAAAATTACTAAACTAAAATAACAGTATTTCTTCTAATAAGGGCATCAGTACATTGAAGTTTTAAACTAATTTTAGTATTATCTAAATGAAAAATCCTACTTTCCTTTTGGATGACGCTGACCTGCTGTTGGCTCCCGCTCGCTGATCGCGCTAGTCTGCTGATCGCGCCGACCTAGGCGACCAGTAACCGGTTATATCACAGTGTAAGTAATCCCATCAAAAACATAAAATGTAAAAAAATTCAAGTGTCACAACAAATTTCCTTCACTATTAAAAGTTATGAGTTCTCGTGTAAAACCAAGTCAATTGTTTTATTTAGATACTTTTTACGGCAACACTTTTTCAATAACTTTGTTGTAAATTGTTATTTAATCCATTATCTATCAACATTTCTATAATAAATTAATTTTAGCATCTTTATTTTTATAATTATATAATGACTTGACAATTGTATGGCACTATAATTGTAAAAGAATAATCTAATACAAAATCTACTATTGTGATTACTATGTAAATATTATACTTATGAATAAAGCGTTTTATTATATTATATATTTTAACTAAAATGCAAAATTTAAAGTTTGTTAGATTGCTAGAAGTACCTTAGTGTGCTGATGATCTGTGACAAAACTAAAAAACTTTGAACAGCGATAATTCGTAAACTAGAAATTATAAAAAATATAACCTCTTGATTACTAAATACTCAAACTTCTTACGTTATTCACAATGGAGTTACAAAAGGATTAAATGTGCCCTGAGTTGCTTCGAGAAAAAGCACAGCCGTGCTCGTCTTGGCGGGGGGTATACCGTGCGTCCTGATGGTACTGAAATATCCAGGTGTATTTTATTGTACGAATGAAGTTTTGTGTAAATACAGAAAAGTTTTTTTTTGTACCTACTAATGTATGTATTTTGGATATGTTAGGAGACAGCAGTACTACTTCATATTTTTTCTAAAATATAGCTTGTAGTGCATTATATGTATCTTTGATATGTTAGTTCATTTATTTAATTTAGGTTTATTTTTTTTAATATAGTGCCATCTATTATTACTATAATGACTAAGTAATGATTTTAAAATATTACTCGTATTTCAAATTCCAATATATTCTCTATTTCGTTCATATTAGAGCTATTTGTTGTAAAATTTTGGTGTATATATGTTTATTATGGGGCTTAGCTGTTTATTTATGATAGTCAAGTTAAGTATACCTAATCTCTGATTCCAGTATTCACCTTTTATAATTCAAGCGTCTTTTAGCTCTTAACAGTTAACTAACAAATAAGTAATTGCAATATAAACATTGAAACTTACTTTCACTATGGTTACCGGCTAATCGCACATATTATTGGCATTGAGACGTACATTGTTTTTATTTAGAATCCCTAGAATAATAATATATTTTTGATGTTTTGCTTTGTCTGACGCTAGTATTTCCCTTATATCTGAGTAGTATAATAGAATAGGCCACCCCTTCCTTTCCCGTGGGTGTCGTAAGACTAAAAGAGGGCGAGGGATGGGCAGCAGCTCCCTCCTTAGAGCCTATTCGCCTATCAAGCGTGGCAACTACTGACAAACCCCTCTAAAAGGAGGTTCATGTTGACAGTTAAAAGATGATATGACGATAATGTAATTTATTATATACACTCCTCGCAAAAATTAAGGGAACATAAAAATTATTGAAATTTTTGGGTGATTTTCAACAGGCTGTATTTCAGTGAAAAATAATCGTACAGGAAATTTAAAAAAAGGTTTTGAAGCTTGAAAACTCTAGTTTTCAGATTTTTTGGTGAAAAAATTTTTTGAGTTCCGGTTTCCATGCAATTCTTAAACAAAGCTGAAAATAATTTTTTTCTAAATTTTCTAGGTTTTGTTTTTCACTCTATGGGCATGGAAAAATTTTTTCGAGCTACTCCATTGTATAGGTCTCTTAGTGTGTTTATTCAGCTTCAAAAATCGCTTTGGATGGCTCAATTACGACCATTTGTCTCCGAGATATCGAACTTTGAATGCAAAAGCATCCTTTTCCATTCAACTGCTAATATCTCTGGAACTACTGGTCGCACAGCAAGCGAGTGCCGAGTTTCTTTATCTGCATAAAATTTCCAATTAAGCACAGTCAAGAGTTAGTGAAGAAAAAATTTTTTTCCACCTCTAACATTGAATTGAAAAAAGTGGAAAAAAGTGACTTTTTCTCCTTTTTTGGTTACTTGGCTGTATCTTCGCTAATATGGGCGGGAAAGCTAAGGTTTGAGGAAAATTTTACAGTCTATTGTTCCTTAAAGAACCCCCCAAAACCCTGGAGCGATCGGTTCAACGGTTTTTCCCGGACCAATTGATTGAAATTTTGGAAAAAATAAGGGAACAAGGTTTTTGTCCCTTAAACTCACCCTAATCCATTCAAAAATCAATAATTTCATTTGTTTTTCACTTTTTACTCAATTTTTTGTTTTTTAAAAATTCATTATCAAAAAAAAAATCGAAAAAAATCAAGAAAATTTTATGCAGATAAAGAAACTCGGCGCCCGCTTGCTGTGCGACCAGTAGTTCCAGAGATAATAGCAGTTGAATGGAAAAGGATGCTTTTGCATTCAAAGTTCGATATCTCGGAGACAAATGGTCGTAATTGAGCCATCCAAAGCGATTTTTGAAGCTGAATAAACACACTAAGAGACCTATACAATGGAGTAGCTCGAAAAAATTTTTCCATGCCCATAGAGTGAAAAACAAAACCTAGAAAATTTAGAAAACAAATATTTTCAGCTTTGTTTAAGAATTGCATGGAAACCGGAGCTCAAAAAATTTTTTCACCAAAAAATCTGAAAACTAGAGTTTTCAAGCTTCAAAACCCTTTTTTTTAAATTTCCTGTACGATTATTTTTCACTGAAATACAGCCTGTTGAAAATCACCCAAAAATTTCAATAATTTTTATGTTCCCTTAATTTTTGCGAGGAGTGTATATAATATATTTTTAACACAACACGTACCACATTTGCCTAATTTTCAGACTGAAATATACTTAATTATGTACCAATTCAGAAATCTTCATTCTTAAATATAACCAGTCGAACCTAAAAGATAAATATAAATAGTCAAAACTAATAAAAAATGTTGCTTTGTAGGCATGTGTAAATGTTTTACGCCTACGTAGGTACGATACGGTGTTCTTATTTATAAAAAAATAAAAACTCCGTATCCTTCAGGAATGGTAACGTATGGATATTATCAATGGTATAGATGGACGACGTACGTAACGTAGTTACCAGAGGGAGACTTTGTACAAAAGTCGTTTGCTTGAGCACCTCTGTCCCATTCGTGTTTCTATCGAGAAGCAGTTGTGTTAGCATGACTGTGTTTCGGTTTTAAGGGTGGAATATGGCAATGAATTTACAAGGTACAGATGAATAATACCTCAGTCCTTAGAAATGGCAATGCATGGAAGTATCATGGGCGAAACAACTATGTCATGTCCATGGTACTGTCTATGTTTATAGGCAGCGTTTACCATTTTCCATCAGGTGAACTGTCAGCTTATTTGCCATTCTAAGTTGCATAAAAAAAAAGAAGTCACGGTTCATTTTCTGATGTCTGTGGTTCAATCAAATGATGGTTACCATATGGAATGATGATGGCTTATTTACTATACCAAGGTTTTAAAGTGCATAGACAGGGTTAGCTTAAAGTAGTAACACTTGCGTTAGTAGGATTTTATAAACATAAAAAGTACAAAGATAAAACAAAATAAAACAAACCATTCTGGCCTAAATTTTAATAATGACAAATAGGTACGAGAAATATGACATGGCAAAATGACAAAATATTTCAATGAAATTCATCCTGATAAATATTCTGTAGTTATTAACAATACAAAAACCTGTTATCATATTCGTGTTCAATTATCTGAATAAATAAAATGATATTCCGTTGCATAATACGTCAATATAGTTTCATTTCATTTAACTATAGGCCTCGTGTAACGCACGATTTTGAATCTTAAAGGCGAGATAGACTAAAAGAACTGAACAATTAGATTAGAAAAATACTTAAAAAACAACGTAAAAAGTTATTCGAGAATGCAGCTGAGCCACAAACAATTACTCGTGAAATGCAATAAAAAAATAGGAAGAACGAATATGCGCTCGCTTAGTCTAACAGCACCAGTACGAAACGACGACTTCATAACTAGAGCATCAAAATTAAAACGTTTGTTAAAGCTACTAGAAGCCAACATCAGTAAGTGGGGGTCTGTGAATAGATATTTCGAAATCACAGTCAAAGCGTACCCAAAACCATCTGTCGGCATAACTTTTTCTTATTTTTAGTTCTCTACAAAATATGTCCCACAGAGTCCAAATGTGTGACATATTAAAAACGTTCTTATTGTTCATACCAAAATGTAGCAACGCTGAAATAATCTGTCGTCGTTTGTATATCTTTCCGTGCCGTTAACAAGGACCTAAAGGTTTTTATAAATAAATTAAGGGTTTACAATCTAAAATCCATTATACTGTATAAGTAATATTGTGGATTCATACACTGACTACATTAATATTATGGATACTGTGTAGTATTATGATCGTCTAACTACAAAAGTAGCCAATATTAATGTTACTTTAATTGAACATACAAAATTTAGATTTAGTTTCTTCGGTATTAAAATCGGCACTATTTAAAAATTTATCTTGTGTAACGACCTCTAACAAACGTTACTTAGCACTAGTACAAAAAATAAACTGTCGAATATAATAAATATCACTTAACTATATAAACATTCTTATTAAATTTCATTTAAATACTATTTTGTTTATTTGACAATATTCTAGCGAGAGAAAATTGACTAGAGTAGCTGGGGCAAATTCGGACAAAGAGTACCTAGTAAAGAACAATACACTAAAATTCACATATTTTGTGCTAAAATACAATTTAACAAGAGATTATAACGACGAAGAAAAAAAATACAATACCAAAACCACTCCCCAGTGTCACCAAAAAAATTATAATAGTATATAACTTAAGATTTTGTTCTACAAAACCGACAATACAAACAAAAGCGATCATTTGAAACAAGACACTGTTGACAGCAAAGATATTTCGTAACATTCACACAAAAAATACAATCGAATTGACAACCTCTTCCTTTCAGAAGTCGATTAAAAATCAATTTAAAACACTTATCATTTTATATTTGTATAAATTTCTAAATAAAAATTAAAATACATGTATTGATATTATTTCATTGAAATATACAATAAGCTGAACAATTTAAGTACAAAATGCTTTAACACAAATTCTGCTCACTGGAGTGCTCACCTCAACATTGATAATAATTATGCAATTACTTTGTTTTTATTCACAACCATGGTGGGATGGTAACTGTATGACTTAAAATGTTGAGTCAGTACTTATTGATTTATGAAAATTGTACCGTATACAGTCAATATACAGTACGTATAATAAAGAAAACGAATATTTCGTGATATACATAAGCAAAGAGGCATATCATCTAAATTAAAAAGTAATGCACCCAAAATTATGAATGTATATTATAGCACAATGGGCAGTAATATTTCAACCTATAACAATTTTTAAAAGTCCCCTATTTATGTATATATTGGAACATACCTTAACAATAAATGACGAAATAATTACAAATAAAATAATTAAAATACATTTGGCAGCATTTATGGACGAATTCATTACAAAAGTAATCATTACATTACAATCAATAACAATTACATAAGTATAATAAATTACAATAAAATACCTACTTAAATATTATAAATAATATACATGAAATAAGTTACATGCTACTCTATATAAGTATTATATCACCGGATAATTATGATTAATTTAATATTGAAAATACAAATAATTCAATCAAATCTTTATGTTTCAATTATTAATTACATATTAAATTCTGATCGGATGAATATATATTCACTTGTAACAGTACCTACAGTCGTCAAACTTAGCTAAAGTAGCCGTCGTAAATAAATAACAAACTAATTAATATATGATATATTCTATTAATAAATTTGTTTCATATATCTAGAAGGATTGGATAGTAAAAAAAATAGAAAATTTTTAACATTCACATGTCATCTACTAAATATAGGTCACGACAATAAGCCAATGGAAAAATTATAACTCCGACTTAATCCAAAACAATACATTCACAAGCGAAGAAAATGATGTCGTGCCTTGCTGTGTGTCATAAACATATATAAGTACTAATAAGCCTCCTTTACGTTTATGACACATAGCTCATCCAAACACATAACAGTGAGCCAATCGGTAATTTGGTTTAAGACCAACTGGGACTTTTATCATATTTAATATCAAGATACTACTAGATGAATACCTACATACTTCTTAATATAACTGAACATTTTTCTGTATAAAAAAAATGCAGTGAAATATAGAACCTCTTCCTTTTTTGAAGTCAGCTAAAAATACATATATTTTTTTATACAACTTAGAGTGGCAAACAAGCTGACGGTCCTGATGGAAAGTGGTAACCGTCGCCTATAGACATGAGCAGTACCATGAACATAACAGAATATACTGTTTCGTCCCTGATATACCCCATGCGTTGCCATTCCTGAGGACTTAAATGTTATTCCTCTGTACCCTGTAAACTCACGCCATATCCCACCCTTCAAACCGAAACACAACCATGCAAATACAACTGCTTTACGGTTGCAACACGAATGAGATAGAGGTACCCAAGTAAACGACTTTTGTACAAGGTCTCCAACTATATGTCAACTGTAGGTCCTGTACAAAGATTGATATTTTAGTTAGGTACATTTAATATTATCTGACAATTAGTCCCGGATTATCCATATGATAAGCATCTCTGTAGGAGCCACTTACGTGTAACGTATTTGTATATAATTTAACGTGATAAACTCGAGCAAAGATTTTATTTGTATACAGGAGAAATTTTTACCCAAAGACCTCTGCTGAGAAAAGTGGCCCCTTTTCTACTTAATAGTAATCCGGTACTGCATAACATAAATTAGAATACATTTTCTAATGTCTGCGCTATTGTGACACATAAATAAAAATTTCAAATATAGTAAATGAATAGATAGAGAGTATTTGATATCCGGATTTAACCCCAGCTTTATTTAATTATTAATAATAAATAAGTACACTACTAATCTGTACTTATATCGAGCTATACTACTAATACTAAAACAATTTTAGGTATCATTTCAATCACTTAGTATAGAATAGGTAGATGATATTATTGTACTTTTTATATCGAAAGATGTAGACAATTTCCTTGTTCTGCCAGGTAACTATACAAGCATTTAGTTAAATAGAACAAAACTAAGTACTAGAAGTATGTTAACAATTTTTAATACATAAATATCAGCTTAATTTTTAACGAGAAATATAAACATCCATATACATTCTATTATAATATTTATTGATCGAGGTTCACTATTTCAATTGTTAACTCTCATTTATATATAAAATATTACTGTCAAATATATTTATAACACCAAGACAAGTTATATAAATAGTAAATTATTGTTCTGTGATTTATACTTTATCATAAATAGCATTTTAGGTAAATCAGTAATATCTATAAAATACCGATTTCGCAAAAAACTATTAAATAATCGGGTGCCATATATATTTATACGATAAATTTTCCTTTTTATTAAAGTAAATAACTTGAAGGCATGATACCTAGTATCTTTTATCACACTACTGTCAAATGATTATGTAAAATAAATTGACTGTATACAAAATTGCAGTTTTCCTAAATAACAACTACTTACGTTTATTTACAACCGCTTATTAACAGAAATAATAACTCTATAACAATAAGCGCCTGTTCACCAGATGAAAGAGATTTTTTATTCTTTATTTTCTAGCTTTAAAACTACCCAATAGTATGTCAGATATCAGAATAGAATAGAAAAGGATTCCATAGCCATGTTTAAAGATATTTTATAATGCTTAAACATAATTACTGCGTTTGAAACTTATTACCATTATATTTGAAAACTATACATTAAAAAAAATCGCTAAAGCGTTTTTCAGTTTTCTTGATAACAAACCTAATTCTACACGCCAAAAAAGAAATGATCGAAATAATTCTGTATTATTTAATATAAGTTACTATCCTCATTTTACGACACTATTATAATATAATAGTCGTATGCATATATATTATAATATGATGTCTTTAAAACAAAAAAATAAACTATAATAAAATTTTATTCATCATGTTTTGTTGTTTTATTCGAAAACTCTATCTTCGCGTGATGTAATCCAATAAAACCGATGAAAAATCAAATGTTTCATAATTTTGCTAAATAAATCAAGTTCTATTTTTATATTGTTTTTGTACGTTCCGTTTTTGCTACTTTTCGTTTTTGCGACGTTTCGGTTATGCGTTTTTCGAATAAGTATTTAGAAAAAGAAAAAGGAGCAACTATTTTCGAAGCCTAGTTAATTTGCCTTTCTTTTAAATCTATTATTATTTAATGTATACAGAAAGCATTATAACATGCACAAAGGCAAGATTATAAAGAGATTTCTTTCGGTAAATCCAACATTAAATCATTACCAAAACTGACAAAAAGTGTTTTTGTCTAGTTGTCTTTTATTGACAACAACAATAATTAAACAATAATTTGGATATACTGACTTTTTATACGACATAATAATACAACAAACGAATTTATATAAAATTCAATGATGAAGATAGATTATTAGATTGGCATTGAATACACCATAAAAGCTATTTTTATCTTTGGGACACCTTTGATGATAGGTACGTCGGCTTTTAGTCGCGCTCACGCCTCTTATCTTTTCTGTTTCATCAAGAACAGTCTTTAAAATAACCTGAGAATGATACAGTATAACTACAACTTATCATGAAGTATGAGGATAATCCTTTTACAATATATTATCGCTTTCCGTCGCCCGTATCCAATTGCGAGGACGGATTGCTCTATCATTTACACGACCCAGAACTACTAAAAAAAAATATCATTGTTAAGTATTTTGTTGTAACACAGTGTATATAAATGCAAAACAGAGAAAACTAGAACCAGAGACTGAACACCAAAAACTACTAGAGTTAACTACTAGGGTTAAGAAATATTTCACATTACACAAAATTCAACATGGGAAAAGCGAGGGAAACCGCAGGATTTTCTCTAGTTGTCTATAGATGTCTCTCACATTACACTCTACTAATATGATAAAAATGAAGCACCTACACAAATATATATGCTTTATATTATTCATATTTGTACATATGTAAAATGTGTTTGTGAATGACGATGCTCGTTTTATACGGTAGGAATTGAATCAACTCGGCAACTTTGTAATCGGATTACAAGAGCGGATGGCGTGTCTCGCCTGTCCTACATCGTTAATATGTTTTGGAAAACATTATTGGGCTTCTCTAGTAATATTATTTTATTCTATTTATTTTTTTCTTTATCACAAAAAGCTTTTACGTAAACAAGACTTTTTAGTTTCTTATGAAATATTAATCATTGCGTAAAGCATTTAGTTTCATATACGAAACCTTGATCTTGATCTTGAATACCATCAGTAATTATAAGATTGATTGAAATATTTGACAGTTAATTAGATCAAAGTCGACATATTATAAATACATTACATCATGATATAACTCATTATAAACGCAATAGGTACATTAGAATAAAAAAAATGTGTTGAAATAAGGTTTTATACTGTAGTTATTAATGCTGAAATAAACATAGCCCACACTAACATAAATAGTGAAAAAATAAGTTTTATTATATCTTTATGCTCGAGTGCATAATTTAACAACATTGTTATATTACGTATCCTGGAATCCCCACCATTGATAAAATCTACTATAATTAAAATATAGTCTACTTTAAATTAAATAATTAACCTAACACTCAAAATATCATAAGCACAGCCTTCAATTTGAGAGCAGCATGAACACTCGCAGCCTGTTTGTACTACATAATTTTCCAAATAACTCGAAAAAAAATTTAGCAAACAAAACCACTTTTCGCAATTTCTTAGAAATTGTTCAAGTTAAATAAGAGATTACATATATAGCTAATAGATAACATTAAAAAAAGCTATTCTACATTAAAGTTTTTTTGCATTTATTCTGCAAGTGACGCTGTGAAAAAATCTACTCGTAAAAATAATTTTAATGATAATATCAATGGCACATTTTTCTAGATATATTACAGCTCATACAATAAACTCAGCAACCACGTAATTAATGAAAAAGTACAATTATTACAGTTTATATACATTAGTATCAACTAATTATGTATTCTATGGTAATATACCACAAAATGCGAAAATGATATGGATACTTTTATTGCATCTAGCAAATTGTGTTTAATATTGAATCTAAACACATGCATAATATTATTATTGTCAGAATAAACATATTTTATATTTTTTCTTCCATTTCCGAAATATATAAAATTAAACACACCTGATTATACATATTGTTACATCGATATTCTTTTATAAATACAGTTTTTATTACACAAATATAAAATTACAATGAGTATACATATTTTTAGGGTCATTGTTTTTTCCAATACCCGTCGTTTCTCTATTATGACAATAATTATTTGCATCTAAGTGGATAACTACAACGTTGGCACAGTGTGAAGCGAAACGACAGACGCACACACATATTTTCAGTAAATATAGACAATTTGTATTGATGTAAATTACTAGGCCGATAAATATCTTTTTTCAATACAAATGTCTATATATCATTTTTGTTTTTTGTTATCTTGTTTATATATTATAAAAAATTATATATATATATATATATATATATATATATATATATATATATCTATTTACGTAATATTTAGTCACTCAAATTGCTTATAGTAAGAGGTATATGCATGTGAACGCAGGTATTTTGCACTCTGGTGTATGAGACAAACCTCAAACATGCCATTTAACCTCATAGTTATACATGATTCATCTGTATAAAAAAATAAATAGAATGCTTCTTTTACATAATACTGTTCAATATTCTTTTTACATATAAAAGTATTGCCATTATCAATAATAACACCAATATCGTTACAAAAGTTTTTTGAAAGTTGCATAGATTTTATATAGGTAGATTTTCTTATTATGGATAATCTATACAAGATTTAAAAAACCTTGTTCATATTAAGTATTGATCTACCTGGATCTACCTAATGTTCTTGAAAAAAGCTATTCGATTTCAAGAACACTCTCCTTTTTTTATTACTATAACCTTTACCTTTCGCTACACCTTCTATGGACTAAACATACAGTTTTTAAAAAAGAGCAAAATGAAAACGATGATGATCCTTTTAAAACAGATATGTTTTTTTTTAATATTAGATTAAAATATAAAAAAGTCTTAGTAATGTGTTTTGAAATTTTTTTGTTGATATAATTAAAAAAAAATCTCTTTATTTTGTCTCATACTCAAACAAATACCTTAGAATCGCATCGCACTGTACAAATGAAGTAGTAGCTTTCAAATCGATGACAATTACTCAAAGATTAATAAAATATAATTGTAGATAATCATTCATTTTCCATTTGCTTCAAAATCATTATTAATATATTTCTAAACCTCAATTTATAAAAACTTAAATAATATAGACGTATCTACTGGTAAAAAGCTAATTCGAAACAGACAAGGTTAGTCGTCATTATCCATTCCGATAAGCTCTGCTTGCAAACGGCCCTTGGTACGACAGCACGCTGTCAAGCACAAAATTCTCAATGCTAAACGAAATTGTGGGCTGAGTGATATCAATATAACGATTTTCCAAAAGGAGTTTAGTATTCCGAGCCATACGACCCCAAAATGTAACATTGGAATCTTTAGTTCTTGATCAGTGAAGTACTCGTACAATCTTACACCAGCGTATGGTGCCCAGCTGAGCCAAAAAGCACAAACGAGCACAAAACTCATCCAATGGCTTGGATTAGCGAGATTTTCAGCCAAGGCGGTAGCATATTCTTTATCATGAATAGGCGCTCCACTGTTGAGTTTTCGTTTCATGGAAAATATGTAAAAATAATTATAAACTATGGAAATAACACTGGGTCCTAAGACGAGTATCCCTAGAGTAGCGGTGTAGGCGTATGTGGTGCCCCAGTCGAGCATGCAGATAAATGTCTCTTTGTCAAAATTAGCTTCCTTCTTATATCCGAGTAGAGGTGGACAGCACAGCATCGCAGCGGAGATCCAAGTGAAAACCATCCAACATTGACTTCGAGTGCGCGTTTGTACCTGATAGTCCCAATGACGCATTATATGTTGAAATAACTAAATAGTATGAATGTGCATTAAAATGATTTTATAAGAGGGCTATATAATATTTTCGATGCGCCTATTTAATTGGCTCATTTTAATTAAAATCGCTATTCAAAAGAAAATCTATCTAAATTGTACCTACGTATATCATTCATCAAACATCTACTAAAAGCTATAATTATGAACCTACTGTAAACTCGATATACTACAAAAAACTGTATAAAAGTAGCACGATTAATTATTTCAACTGACTAGCAAAAGTAATTAAATATTATAAAAGTGATTCATCTATTGGGATTATACAAAATGTATCGTTTAATATTCATAAAAGGGGAATGAATTAGGGGAGTGATATGCAATGAGGTGAAAATGTTGGTGAAATAATAGAAAATATTCCAAAAGATAAGTACCGTTGCACTAACCGTCTCATATCGGAGAGGTTTCCGGACGGCGAGATAACGGTCCACGGATATCCACATGAATGTGTAGACAGAAACGGACCACAGAGTGACCTCGACATAACCAGCGAGCCGGCACATCAGGTCGCCGAACATCCAGCGACCTGTGATGGCCGGGTAAACCGACAAAGGCACCACAAATAAGCCGCACAGCAAGTCCGCCACCGCTAATGATAATAAGTAGTAATTGATCACTTCATTGGAGAGACCTGTAACATTAATATTTATCGATGTAAAAAATAAAAAATAGCGCTTTCAAAATTACTAAATTACCTTTGGTTTAATTAATGATCAATTATCTATTATCTTCTCAGGAGTTACATATGAGAAATACAATAGCCTTCATCCTGATCTAATAAATAGGTCAAGAACGAAAATAATCTACCTGTTCTACATATAAACCATATCTGAATGTATGAATGAATCGTACGGGAAACACTAATATGCACTACTACTACTACTCATATGAGGGCGTCGCCCTCTAGTGTCAAGAGTTCTTTGCCCGCCATCGTTATACACGAAGGCAAAGCCTTGTGGCTTAACGAACAACAACTTCACATGCCCCCCGCAGCACGAAGCAAATAATTTATCGTTCAGATCAAACATAAATTTGAAAGGTTTGGACTAAAATTCAATCTTACGACAACCGCACCATCTTGTCTAACTGAACTTTCATCATTGAAACATAAGTGACACGAATTTGATAACCAAGTTTAATTATTAATATGAATTTATTTTAACTGGTTTAAGATTTTTTATAATACAACAAATTTAGATATTTACTCCCAAAACAATAATGCCAAATTTTTTCATTCTCTCCAATTAGAGTGGTTATAAGTAGTATGTTAATGGTAAAAATATACATAGTTTGTGATAACAAAACAGCGCATTTTTATCTTTATTAAGCATAGGCCTTTAGGAATCTTTTAAATCAAATTTGCTTTAATCAAATTTCTATTCTAATTGTAACAAAATATTACCCTATATTCTTACTTAAATATAATAGATAGATAGCATTTTACCTTTAAAATTAAGAAAAGCAGCTATAATTAGGAGATTTGATACAACAATAGCGACACCCATGACGGCGATAACAGCGGCCTGCGTAAGTGACTCGAAGGTAGCCAGAGGACTGTCCGCCACGCTCACCTCACCCGTACTAACAGCACCCCCGCGAACACTCATCATCCTGGCTGGCATACCTGCATATACAACAGTCACTAAAATCACATATATTATCATATTAGCTGTTTCCACCATCCCGCGTCGATCAATATATAAAGCACCCTATCTTTTAAGTCATAATAGTAACCTAACCATGTACTAAAATGCTACTCGTCCAATCATCTTTACAAATTTTCACATTTATAAATAACTAGCTGTATCCCGCGGATTCTCCCGCGTGAATCAGTACATAAAGTATTTATTGCACTAAGTTAGAATATAACGTACCCTTATACCAAATATCATCAAATTCGTTAAGAAAATTTTGCGTGGTTGAGTAACAAACATGCAAACATTCAAATATCTTTAGAAACTTTCACATTTATAATATGAGTTAAATTGTAATTGTAATGTACTATGTGCTACTGTTAAGATTCGAAATAAAGCCAACTCTTTGAGAGATTTTAATAAGTCAATACGTCAAACTTATCTACTACATTACTAAAAAAATCTTCATCCATCCATAAGGTATTCTATATGTTAGGATATAACCTACCTGTGTACCAAAGTTCAAACATTACTTTCTTCCATACTTTCATCCATCCATTTTTATAAACTTTTGTATCTACAATATTAATAGGATTATTCAAAGTACTGGTACTTCATTCTACTATTTTTATTATAAAGTGTATTTATTATTTGTATAAGTGATCGAATCGCCTTACTCAGGTGTACTTATACAAATTACTAGCGAATATTGCCACAGGGTATTACTACAAGTCTAATTAAGGAGAAAAATAAATATAAAAATAGTCAATACTAAATTACATTCATTATGTATTCTATTTATGTACCTACATATATTTCCATATTAAAAAAATACAACTAAATAAATTGTTAAGTAAATTCTTTTTTATAAATAGTTTTTCATGTATTTTTTAATATATAATAATTTACAATGAATATAATTATTATAGCAAATTTATTTTTTTATACAACATGCCCCAAAATTCAACGATAAGCCGGCAACAGGTCAAGTTCATGACTAGTCAGAGAAAAATATTTAAAAAATCCCTGTATAATATTTTTGTGTATTACGACCACTATTTGTAAATATCACCGTTGTTTTTAGTATCATGTAACAACCTAAACGGCACTGCTATGCATCACAATACTAAATAAAACCAGAATACCTCTAGTTTTAATACAAAAATGAAATACAATTTGTTTCTTGTCATTTAGGAAAACTTTAACGTTCAGTCAACTTTGACTTGGCGTGCTGAGAAAATAAATATACACACTTTACATAAATATATAAACACTACTATGACAACTTATTTTGAAACTTTTTTAATTTTTTTTTAATCTAAAACTAATCAAGATTCTCAAAATAGTATAACACTCTAGGGATACTGAGGCTAAAAATAAAATATGCTTATTTTTTTCTTACGAGGAACCAAGATTTATAATTAAATCATTATCCTTGAAAACGGTATTGTGTGACCAAAGATAGAATTTGGATCACTTTCAGTATATTCAGTATATCGATCTACTTTCAGTAGATAAATGTTGTCAGTCGATATTTTAAAGTACGAGTGAAGTAAATAATTAGACCATGGCTAAATTAAGTGGGATGGGTAGTGTGGCTATTAAACATTTAGAGCAAGATGAATTGAAACGAAATTTTTGTTGTACCTTATTGAGTTGAAAGAACAGGCGGCAGGTAACCAAACCAGCACCACGCTGTTGCGACATCGGTCAGTGTCATATACGGACTGCCACATTTGTCGTTGCAAGATTTATCAATAAAATTAACATAATCACGTGATTCTCGATTTCGATAAATTGTAACTATGTATTGTAACTTGTACTTTTATGTTTTATTGCCATTAATTGTAGCGAAGTAACAAAACTACCTGAAAGTCTACCCCATAGAAAATAATAACCATCACAACCAATTTTCTACACACTGATGCCCATAGCACTAACGCTCTTACTGTCTTCCTGAGAATTTCCTAATATAATGTAAGTGATTAATTTTTTTAATGAATGATAATAGAATGGTAACCCCGCCTGCGCTAACGGTATACGCTGACAGGGTACCAGTGTGGGGCGATAGATGAGAATGAAAAGGCAGGTCAGTTAGCTCATCGTGATGGATACCAGGGGTAATCACGTGGAGGTTGACTTGACAGGATATATTATCAGCAATGAGGCTAGTAATCCGCATTATTAACAAATCCTTTACTCCCTCTCCCCCTGCCTCCAATCATTACATTAGTGGACTTAAATAGGTCATATTGAAGAAAATTATTCACTACATTTATAAATTTTACAAAACATTTAAGGTATATGATAAAGTTTAGGCTGTTTGGAGTTTGAAGTATTTTGTCCTTTTTACATTAATTTCTCAGCAGATAGTAAAAAAACACTAATATTTAAAATAGATTTATTGGACATTTTAATTTTTATGAATAAGGAGATAAATTATGTCAACACATAGATATGTGTTGACATAATTTATCTATTATAGATTATTATATTTGCATTAATGCCTTATACAGAGAGAGCGCAAATAAATAAATAATGGTTGCTAGTTCTTTATATAACTTAAGCGTTGAACTGAATAACGGGATTACTAGGGCAATTTTAATAAAAATAACTCCACACAATTAGACAACAAATCTTCTTATAGCTTTAAATAAATAATGTATCGCAAAGTCTTACCATTAACGATGACACGAAGGCAAGTAAAGGAGCTTGCAAGACAAATCAGCCATTTTGAAAAATCGCTTATGCCCAATTGTACCTGTGAAACAATGCAGAATTAATACTGATTTTGAAATTAATATTAAAGATATGTTAATGAACTGATGATATAATGATATATAAATTAATAAAATTTTGCAGGAAATCTGTTGATCTGTCTTTCTGACTGATTTTATAACAAATATTATCTTTTTGGCTATGTATAATCACAATTATTATTTATTTCATTTTATTGCTCAAACTTAGAGAAATTAAATTAAATGGAAATAATTAATTTAATTATTCTAACTTTAAGCTTGAGTTTCCTACACAACATATAAGGAGATGTATACCATATATAGAGATATAATGGCAAATATTGTTGATGGTCCAAAAGCTTTGACACTAAAATACGAGTAAATGTATTAGTTATATGACGGCAACGACAAGAGATGACCTATTTTCTCCGGTCGGTCATCGGCACAACTGTTAAGTGCTAGCTCAGGTCATTCTATTTTAGTTTACAACCTACCAACGTAGAACTATCACTTTCACTATTAAAATGTAATGAATTGTCAACCCCTTCCATTGTATTTTATGTGACGTAAATTAAATCGACACCGCTACAGACACTCATTTCATTCTTTATTTTTTTTTTGTTTTACATTTTACTACTCGAAATTTCTGCATCTATTATAGATACGTTAATTTTATAAATAACACCATATATGACCATCTTATTTCTTATCTTACTAATATAATAAAATTGTAATTAAACTATGTCTGTAAAGAAAACTTCATTCTTTAGTTGCTCTTATGAGCAACCAGAAACCAAAACAATAATTTTTAGAATTTTTGTCTGCCTGTCTATATGTTTATTGCAGCATCACGAAAAACAACTGTATCAAATTAAATGAGATTTTTATAGTTGTGTTCCTGAGGATATAACTTAAATTATGACGTATGTTTTATCTTGAAGCACTTTGAAGCGGCTATATCTCACAAAATCCTAACAAATGAGATAGGCAAAAGGTTGGAAGCAATAAACAGCAATAAACTCACTTACGAAGTCTGGAACAATTACAATAATTTTAGATAATTTCAAAGACACCTGATTTGATGGGATTAAAAAATATTATATTATAAGGGTGAAGTCACATTTCAGAGGAGATAGTTTTATCGACTAACGGTCAATCTTATTCCACTGCTCTCATTTTGCTATATTTATATATGTGATCATAAATTTAAAATAAATAATAGTTTTAACGTTCATCGACCCCTAGTTGTAGTACGTACTTATTTCGTACTTACGTGTTCATACATAAAAGTATAACTGTAATTAATTATCTTCGTGTATAGCACACACCTTGTTCCCTTGCGTGTAATTCATTGTGATAAATTCTAGAGTATTGGATGACTCTACATATCTACATTATTGTGGTGTTAATAAAATTAGGACTTAAAAGACTTATTATCAATTAAAATATTTCCAGGTACCGTATACCATCCTAATGTAAATAGTACTAAATCCCTTACATAAATTCACATTAATACCTGATTTTTTCGACTTTTATAATTCGATATACGACGATAAATAGTTATACTTAACATAAATAAATATACATTACATAAATACACAATTACAACATACTAAAGCACTTCAATAGATATGTTTATGGATATAGCAATCAACCCAGCTTCATTTAAATTAAATTTTAAAGTAAAACAGTAGTTAGGCCATAGATTAATTAACAGATACAATGTGTGTCAGGTCAGGTCATGGGAAACTCTACTATAATATAGGCACAGGGGCGTGTATACATATTTAAGCAGCACTATGTACACTGTCGCAGACAATTCCCTATTGCTCTTTTGTTGACCTAAATCAGGATTTCTCAAAGTGGGGTACGCGTATCACTTGGGCTATATCAATTAATCGTAGAGGGTACGCGACAAAATTTGCTTAACGGCTTATGTGGTGTATTATGGATTTTCATATTTGGTCATATTAGAGATGAAATATAAAAATCTAGTAAACGCTGAATCTGAAATAAGATTAAAATTGAGCTTCAAGAATCGATATCGTTTACATTAAAAACAACTACACCTATCACACTCATCATCACCATCATCATCATGTCAGACGTCAATTGTTCACTGCTGAACATAGACCTCCCCCTATTTTTGTCAATAGTAGCCACGCTTGACAGACGGGTTAGCAACGACGCTGCTGCCCATCCATACCTTTGTCGCCTCTTACGACACCCACCGGATAGGAAAGGATGGCCTATTACATTAAATTAGCTGAATTATAGAAATAACATTTTTCTATTGCTATTTTGTACTTCTTTTTTTATCAATCCATATAATAAAATCGTAACTGGTCGCTGTCTATAATTTTGAAGATATATAAGAAAAAATATTTAAGGGAGCTTTATGAACGCAATAGAACCCAAAACAATTATTTTTAGCACTTTGTCACTTTGTCTGTTTGTTTGTCTGTACGTTTATGCGTGCTAATCTCAGAAGCGTCTTAACCGATTGGAATGCAGTTTTCACTAATGCGTTGTGGTTTTGCTCCACTTAACATTTACTGTTTGTTTTATTTCAATCGGTTCACAAATAACAAAATTTTATTAATATAAAATGCTATAAAATAACCGATTCGTTGAATTGGCTGAAACTTTATAAAGGTAGATTATATAGCATATTTTAACTCATAGGATATTATATATATTTACGCAATCAGCTTCGCGGGAAACAGATAATATTATTTAAAAAATACCTTATTTTTTCTATCGATGGTAAATTTTTTTAAGCGTTTTGCCGTGGTATAGAAAGCCTAATAAGGGTACGTAGAACCATAACTTTAAAAAACCCTGACCCAAATAAACCCTCTGAGACGTACGTAGCACGTTAAAAGTATGAAATAACAATGAAAATTATTCATAATTCTCACGAGTAAATGCATTTTTATTACTATTTACACTGAAATAAGGTTGCATGCATAGATAATCAGCACGGAACTCCAGTATAAACAAATTTATATCACAAGGAATAAAACCGAATAAAAGTATAAACTCCGATTTTTGCAATGCAAAACGGGAAAATAAACGTACTTTCAATAAATTACTGAAGCGAATTTCTGTAATAAAACATGCTAAGTAGGTTTTATAAAATATATGTATGTATAGATTAATTATTATCCACCGCACGTTCATCCGTAAACGCGACGGTACTACGTTGTTGAGTTAGTAGGACAGCCAACTCTTATTTACCTATAATAAAACCGTAACTAGATCACGTCTGTACAAGGAAGATATTTAAAAAAAAATTATATGAGAGGTCTTATAAGAGCAATATGTTAAAACTATTATTTTTTTTATTTGTATATCTGTCTGTTTGTTCCAATATTACGCAAAAAATACTATACCAAATTAGATTCAGTTTTTATAGTTGCATTCCTGAAGGTGTAACTTAAAATCTACTATATGTGTTATCCTGATACGTCGTCTAGAAATGGCCTATTTCATTGGTTTATCTACTTCTAAAATCCATGCGAACGGAGTAGCGGGCAAAAACTAGTTGTAATACATGCTGGCTATTTTTAAATAACTTTAAGAAGGAAAATCTTTTTTTTTAATTTCCGCTCAATTTACGTATACTAATATTATAAAACGGAACATTTAATTTGACCGCACTAATCTCTGAAACTCGGATTTGAAGAAATACTCCTATGTTTGCATTTGATTATTGATTTCCTCTCTCCTTTCTTGAGAACAGGTTGAACATGAAGATACGATCAAGAACGAAACCACGGGGAATAAATAGTTCGCCGATATTTTTAAAAGTATATTATGCAATACCTGTACTATAATAGGTTTCGATAAAACTTGATAAAAATATAAACAAACGAATAAATGACCCGACTATATCCGCTCATGACCAATATTAATTCAAATTAAAAATAGATTAATTGAATGTGTCAATTTGTTACTAAATTAATTTAGAGAATGTTCCAACAGAGATCCTGCATCATGCAAGCATGCTATCACAGTTGCTTATTGTAGGATGTAATAATTAAGAATATATTTTTATTTATCTATTCTTTATTGCACAATAAAATTTGTACAAATGGTGAGTTTAATGCCATATGGCATTCTCTACCAGCCAATCATTAGATAAAAACAGATATTTTTTTTATACAACTTAGAATGGCAAACAAGCTGGCGGCCCACCTGATGGAAAGTGGTAACCGTTGGCTATAGACATGAGCAGCACCATGGACATAACAGAGTATACTGTTTCGCCCATGATACCCCCCATGCGTTGCCATTCCTGAGGACTCAGGTGTTATTCCTCTGTACCCAGTAAATTCACGCCATATCTCACCCTTCAAACCGAAACACAGCCATGCAAACACAACTGCTTCACAGTTGAAACACGAATGGGACAGAGGTACCCAAGCAATCGACTTTTGTACAAAGTCTCCCTCTGATTATATTTATAGCTTGTTTTTAAACAACCCTCTAACCTGGTAAATACAATTTTCTCGTCAAAATTCAAAAACAACTTTGTATATACATTTTGCTATACATAGTCACGAAATTTACCCGCGTGCTATGAAACCAATCTGAGTTTGTAGTTTGGACGACATATCAACTTACAATTAATAGATGTCAAACTTGTTTCTTGTTGTAGTTCTGGATATCATAGAAAATGATAGTCATTTTAATAGATATGTATATTCACACTGAACACTCTCTTAAAAAAATACTTTTTTAATTTAGACAGCTGATGATTTAGTGGACAGCTTTATCTAATAATTATAACTAGTTTCACTGTCAAGAAACCGCATCTTTTACCTGTAATGACAGTTTTCTAAATGATGCTGATGAAAATGTGATGATAGAATCGGAAATAACTTCCTAACGTAAAAAGTAAGTTATTCTACCTTTGTGATGTTGGCAAGATATAAAAAAAAAATTTAAAAAAATGCACCTTGTTCTTTGTTCTTCATTGTATACAAAAAGGTATATTTAAACATATTAGTACACAAGGGCGAGATTATCTCTAAAAGAGATTTCTTTCAGAAACCCAATATGAGATAAACTGACAGTTTATTCGTAGTTACAGGCATAAATGTGCACTTTGTACTTATTTTCTATTCTTTTTATTTTTTTTTTTATCCCTAACTAACTCCCTATCATGAAGATTCAGTTTATGAAATGAACCACTTTCGATATTTTCCCAAGAAACTACAGTTGGCAGCATGGGACTTTCAGAACATAGCTAAAAATATTTTTTTAAGATTGGCAAAACACGCGTGATGCCTCTGGCGGTAGTGGTGTTCATAAGTCGCTAATCATAAACTATTCATAGGACAGTCAACGTTTATTAGGGTTTGCTATCCCGCAGTCTTTTCTTTCCAGCTGCATATTTGCAGTAAGTTTACAATTACAGCGGGATCCCACAGTAATCTCCGCAACATTTAATCCATATCAAATATCCGATTTTTCGAATTTCAAACTAATATTATCAATTTTTTAACTAATATTCTTTAAAAATATTTTTACTAACTTATAATTTCCATTTTTTACTTCTAGAAAGAATTTTTATTATTGTTTTTTTTTTAATATTCTTAAACTAGTATGTAAATAAACATAAAAATTATATAAACGTCAATATAAATAACCAAATAAATAAATAAATAATGGGTTAAAAATATATTTATATATGAAAATTAAAATTCCTGTATAAAAAAATTAAAAAATATTAAAAGTAAATTAAGTTCATACAACTGTCTATTCTTGAGTTTTATTTACTTATTTTTTCGTGTACAAACTTATACTTGTACTTTCGTGTACAGTATTGTACTTATTTTAGAATATATTTCATTATTTTTGTTTTATTTTATTTTACTTCTTTTGAATAGTTGAATCTTCTATTATTGTTTAGTTTGCTAGCAAGAATTACAAAAATCAATTTAACCATTTCTTTTATCTTTAGTACCTATTTTTTTAATATTATATATATTAAATTATAATATACATATTAAAAGTATATAAATGTATGCCATGTCCAGACGTAATCGTGTTTTCTCAACACACAAAAGGGACCGCTGTAAGCAAAACTGGAGTGTTTTTTTAAGATAGCACGTAATCCATGTAATTACATGGTAAGAGCTGCGAAATACTACTATATACATTCTAATTTTAAAAATTCTCCCTCGGCTAGTACATAGAAGTTTCTCAAATCACTAGGTTTGTGTTAGCAGATCTGCGAATATACTTCAATTATATCTCTTAACGACTTTAAGTTTTCTATTCTCCTTAGTATCCCGTTTTAGATACTTCTACTAAATGTAATATCTTGGCTGAGATTGCTTCCTGACCCTCTCCATCTACAAGATCTTAAGAAGTTTTCATTTTCTTCTGTCACGGCTAAGAAGATCCATAATTTCTTCCATTAAGTTTAATTATATAAGTTCCAATGATTTGAGTAGGATTATAGTCATTGTCATACTTGAAATCGTACTGCCTCTGATCACTCACACCATCTACTTCTTTCTTAATTCCAGTACGTTTTCTTATAAAGGGCTGGATACTTTCAAACTTCCACTCCCTAAAGTATCTTCTCTCAAACTTCTCAAGAACTTTAGGCCTATCTTTATTCTGTCTTTTCTTTCGAAAATATTAATTCATAAACAGTTATATAATTTTGTTTTTCAAAAAGTAATTGAAGATGTGAGAGAGGGCTTGGAACATGGTAAATTAACTGTACTGTCTTAAAAGACTTTTCTTATGTCTTCAATACCGTTGATCATGATATTCTTATTTAAAAAAAATAGGAAGGAGAATATTTCTGAATCTGTAATCAACTGATTCTCTACTTATTCGTGGTTGGTGTCAATTATTTGTTATTTGATTGGTCTGCCCCAATCATAATCGATATTCTTTCTCCTATACTCTTCTCAATTTTTATAGATTTTTATTAAATTTTAGTAATATCCTTGACTGATTTTATCATCAATATGCCAATGATTTGCAATTAAATGCCCAAGCTGAATCAGATCGAATCCCCAAAGTCATTGATGAGACAAACACCACGCTATATCAAATTCTTGTCTGGTACAATGGATGTGGATTTTCAATCAATTCCAATCAATCCAAATACCAAGCTATTATTCTTGGAAGTTCGAGATAACTTTGCTGAATTAATAACAATTCATTGCCTTCGATTCTCTCCAATAGTCTAAATCCCTTATTGTACCTAAAAGAAGGACCTTGGCTTTACTATTGGTAAAATGCTCGGTTAGAATTGCTATGTTAAAGAAATCTTACGAAAAGTTACGTTCTCTTTTTGTTTTATATAAGTTAATAAACTCTCTCCCAAGCACTACCAAAGTATTACTTGTCCAATTACTAGTATTTCCTTTGTTGAACTATGCTAATATGTGTTAGTCTAATATGAATAAGGACCTTCTAAATAAATTAGATCGTCTTCTCAATAATTGTATCCGCTTTATTTATGGGCTGCGTAATAAGATATATTTTGTTGTTCTTAGCTTAATGACTGCCCTTCAAACGACGTAAAAATATTCGTCTGTTTTGTATTGTCTATTCTATTTTATACGATCTCTCGCCTGAATATCTTAACTCTTCGTAGACGTTAGTAACCGATGTCTTCGATCTTCTAAAAATCTCCTGCTCCATGTTGCTGTCCACTACACTGGCTTTATCTCTAATTGTTTTATCATTCAAGCTATCAAGCACTGGAATCGAAAGGAACGCATGAATAACTATATAAAGAATCCTATGCGCTAAGATATAATCTATCCGTGTACTATATTTTAATTAGCAGCTTTTGCATGAAAGAGTAATAAACCATATATTGTAATGCATGCATTATAATATTTATAAGTTACATATTATTGTGTTTCTATCTACTTCTTGCTACAGGAATTCTGTAAGTCTCACTGATATATGAGAAATCGCTGAAATACGGTAATGCGATATGCGGGATTGCAAACCCTACTGCTTACTAACAGGTAGGCTGTATGCTTGTTTGTATCTCAATGACATAAAAAAATATCGTACAATATGAAAAATTTTCTTACAAAAAATAAAAATTGAATTTAAAAAAGTCTAAAGATTAATCAAATAACATTATTTCGTAGCAGATTCGTAGCGCTACCTTTTTCACTAACACTATATCAGCAATGATAAATACTGCCCACTGTAAAATTTTGGGATTTTGGGAATATTTCATATTATTACAACACAAACTATAATTCTTATATTTTCACTAACACTACAAACCGACGTTACTGCACGGCATAACTTTTGATTTAAATAAATAAACACGGCGTAGCTACCAACGTAGCATTAGTAACTGAATTTACAAATTTTAAAAAGTCTCAGCAAATGACTATCTAATCCACTATTTGCATTTTATGCAAAACAATTAGAAAATGCCATTTTAAATACAAATACACCTAACGATATTACGCAATGAAATGTACATTGAAACAAGAACAGGAAATACGATTTCGACAGTGAAACGCATTGCGCAGCTGCAATAATCGAAGGTCAAGTTGAACCCGGGCATCAAGGTCGCATGTAATTCAATAGTTTACTCCATCGTCAAAATCATGTCTCTATGGAATTGATTTTACCTCATTGAGTTACGGGTTACAATTATGTCAGTCAACAATATACATGTGATATCATTTGTTTACGAGTATGTAATAAATGTATTAGGCAGTTAAAAGTATACATTACATTGATGTATTTAATAACAATAACATACGTCACATTTATGATACCCAATAAGTGGTTAAAACCACAATTAGGCACAGAATACAATAAAAATTGAATCACATGCACTCGCTTCGCTTACAATAGCACAATATATAATGAATATTGGTTGATGAGTCTTTTTTGGTCATAAATATAATGTGTTAAAGATATAGTTTACAATGTTCTATTAGGAATAATTAATTTTGACTTTGAGTGATTATGTTTGCGTAAACGGAGACGTGTGACTTTAATATGACGATAAACGCGATGTTATTATTGTTCGGACGGGGGTCGAGGCGCACGTTGTGCTGGGGAGTCAAGGTCAGCCCGTGGGAGCTTCGCTGGTGGCCGGGCGCTCCAAGGTCGCTTAGCTCCCGCCCCTCGCCACTTCGCAATCGATACCAAATTACAAACGCAAATGCACATCTTATACCGGCATTTTTTTTTAAAACAACCGGACAGTCACCTTTATCCTTTACTAACAACTACATTACAAATTACCTGTATAATCGTATTCACTGTTTCATAGGTAATTACAATAAACAGATCACAAAAACTAAAACTTATTAAGAATAGCAAATAATAATTAAGTACTTACTCCTAAAACTGTGTTATGAAGATAGAAATCGACGTTCATTCAAATTAACAATACTTATCATCCCATATTCTCTCGACATATACATAGCCCGGTGACAGTACAATAAATAATACTCATTTCTATATTGTACGAAAGCTAGAAATAAAGAAAAAATATACAAGTCTAATTACAGTAAGCAACTATGTCTAAATATAAGAATCACTATTAAAAAAATCAAGTAAATATCTTACTTCTATGTAACAAGCAAAATAGCATAGGCAGACGGTAACTAAATACATACCTACGCAATTTAGACAATTAAACACCTATACCTCAATATATATATATAAGTTTTGTATGTATGTATGTTAATCTTATGTAAATTCGAATAGGCGCTGATTTTATATTTAAATAAGAGTACTTACAAATTTCTACGTCATTTAAATCCTTTAATTCAAAGAATATAGTGAAAGCTTTATTTACGTATAATGTTTGGATTGAAAAAAAAAACAATTTATGAAAAGTTTTATTGTGAATTTATGTAAAACTTTATAAGTTGGTAACTTACTTTATTATCATCACGATATGCCGATCGTACAAGGTGACTGTGGCAGCGTTAGAGACGCGGGCACGGGCCTACCGGCCTCGTCCGCGACTTTTGCTGCCGTGCCCTTCCACAGCTCAGCTCACCCTTGCTCCAGTGTGGCGCCTACTGTACCGAAATGTTCACTGCGGAGACAACGGCGCGCGCAAACCCCGCGCGTTCCCCGTCTCCGCCCGCGCACTTAACTTTCCACCATCGATTCATCGTTTAGCCACTTTTTATCACTGAAACTTGAGTTCAGTCGACGAATTGGGTCAGTTACGATTCACGCATCAATGAATGGTTCCGTAACTTAAGAAAGTGTTGCGTTTTGCCTCGTTTTGCACTCATCCCTCGACACGGTCCTTGCACATTAAATGAATTACAGATTAATTTATAAGTAGAAAATTTTGTATATTTTGTATATATATATATATATATATATATATATATATATATATATATATATATATATATATATATATATATATATATATATATTCAGTTATTATAACTAAAACAAAGCACGTAATCAGCAACAGAGCATCGACATACTTTTTAGGTGTTATTTCAGTTAGGGTTTTTCTATTATTATTTGAATTAGAACAGATACTCGTCCGCGTGGTCCAGACATAGAATGGGCCAGCCCTACCTTTCCCGTGTATGTCTTAAAAGGCGTAAACATCTATAAAGCCTAACTGCGGTTGCCAGTAAGCTTGCCAAACGTAGCAAATACTGGCAAAACCCCACAAGGTGGAAGCTTACAATATGTGCAGCAGTGGACCATTAAGGGCTGATATGATGATGATTAGATATAGAATAAGATCTCAAATTCCGATGGTAAGTAATAACAAAATAAAGAAATACAGCATTAATTATGTAAGTTCACTATTCCACTACGTAATACTTGGGTTTGATCCTGATATTTCTCCTAGAACAATTTGTTCTAGACATTTACTAGAGCCTTAAGTTTGTTAAATTAAAACAATATTTTTAATTTATAAGATTTTTATTTGAACACGAGAGCACAGTGTGCCATAAATATGAATAATAGATGACGAATATATTGTCCAAGCATATAATTATACATATTAATTAAGAGAGTCCGGGCCTCGACCTAATTAAAACATCAGTGCAAATTATGCCATAATACAAAATGCACCTATTACTGAAAGGAAATTATCGTAAATATCAATATAAAATATTACAATTATGGTGACTTATATATGGATCAATAAAAAATTATTGCAGTTTAATTTTGACTTTTAAAGGACAATTTAAAAATATAAAATCAGTCGAATATCATAGCCTCACCATAGGTATAATTAGTACATACTTAAATTTACAATCACTATAATACTTAGCTTTGGTTACAGTAAATCATATGAGAGATTAACATAATTATAGGTATACCTATTTATACTATATTTTATATACATGATATTTTTTCAAATGGCAAGGTTTTATTTAATAATTACTCATACGTTTTCATGGAAAGCTACTAATCTTTAAGACATTTTTATAGCAAATTGTATAAGTATTCGCACATACAATACAGACATGTTGAATATGCTAATATTTAGATCATTTACACACATATAAATTAAAAAACCTATTTATGTTCTGTGGTGAAAATAAATTCGTAAAGTTTTAATTCCTGGTACTCTACTGCTGTTGATGCTGGTCAATATCGTGTCAGAATTGTTGTCACAATGAAATAATAGAAATTAATTGTACCAGGACTAAATAATTTTAATAAATAACAATGCTTCACATTCACAATGACACAAACACACAGGTACTAACCTGTGTGTTTGTTGTAGAAAATATTTTTAAATAATAATTGTACAAACACTTAACATAATTATTTATTTAAGTACTGACAATGAAAGTAATTAATTATGTTAGTCTTTATATTGTAAACTTTCATTTTTTGCTCGTTTTTACTGCGTATGTAAGTCGTGTCAGTTCTTAAATAAATCAATCTTTCTTTACTTTCTTAATTTCAATTAACATGTGATGAATATATGTGATGATATAAGGTTTTTTGTCGCAACATTTTCAGTGTATCTACATTTTTTACTGCAGTATCTACGCAGACTGACCGAATACAACAGCAGCATGCTGTATTCAATTTTATACAATGTAAAACTTTATCAATTGACTCTACATGCTGATGATACCGTCAACAAAGCTAATGAATCAAAGAGACGTTTATAGTTTCACCACTATCACATTTGATTCATATATTCTCAGCTAAATTGAGATAAATTAAGTGTTACATTTAGAACAAGATCATCAGTCATCAAAATGCCAATTATAAGTGCAGTCATGAGCATAATCTACTTTTTCTAAATTTTTATTTTATATGACCTAAGCTAATTAACATAGATATAAACTAGCTAACTACTCAAATACATTTCAGTATTCAGCATTCTTAACAATCACCGCGATGTATGTATAAATTTAGATTCTCTATCGTCGGATGATTGTTTATCACATTGCGAACACCCTATTAATCCATATTAAGCAACCAGGTGGTAATTTATTCAATAATATGTACATTATGCAAGAAATTCATGCAAGTATATATTCTATACAAATACATGATACAATACAAACAAATGTAGTTCTAATTGCAATTATAGTCAGCTGATACTTAATGTCATAATTCTAATCATTCCTTCTGATATAAATACTTAATTGGTGTTTAAAAAAGTACCTACTATATGACTACTGAAAACTAAATTTTAATAATAAATTAACTTATATGTAACCTGTACCACAATTACAATACGAAAATAGAACACGGGACGTATTGTTTTTATATCAATTTATTACTTATTATCTTATATAATATCCCATAATATAGAGCATAATCCATTACCAATTTAATGGGTGTGTACATTTTTAAACACCATTACTATTATTACCCACAAAAATATCGACAATTGTTTTCATATAAATGATTTAGTTAAACTTGTGTAAAGTTTATCAAACAACCTTATTCGAGATATATTCACTCTTCGATACAATTGTATCGCGTCAACAATTTCTTTTGGCCATATCTAAGCCATACTTCATTCCTAACCACCAAAGGATAAATAAATACTACTAGCACCAGATAAAATATAAGAATTATATTCCTGCTAATAAGAAATTGTATTGAAATTAGAGTATTAAAATCTCAGAAAAATCTGAGATTAAAGAGGCCCTTACTAATAACAAATTATCGTTGTGATCTGTCCAGTTTAGTAATACTTTATTTATCAAATACTTGATATAGAATATTATAACTAATGAAGTCTAATTTACAGTCGATTGATTAACATATTCATTAGTTTATTTTTATTTGGCTGATTTAGTAAACAATCTCGGTATAATTTCTTATCGTAATTTTAAAAGAAAATAAAGAATTATCAACCGCAATACATAATTATGTAACAAAAAACATATTTTAAAGCTCTTTTCATTTTATACGCTATTATTTTGATAAAAAACTTACCAAAATTGTTTACAAAATATAACAAATAAAGTGTATAAAATTGTGTACACAGTCTATTACAAAAAGAAATAAATTGTATGCAATCCATTTAAATAAAAATAAACTTCTGAAAATAAATTGTTTCAAAGGTTTATTTATCGTGCAAACAAATATTTCAGATTTATCTGTTCTTTACATATTATTTTATTACATCCACACTTTATTTTTATCGGGACTGCATAGGAAACATGTAAGGGCAGGTATTAATTAGAATATTCATATGTAATACACAGGGGTCAGAAATGAATATGACATTTGCAAATGCTTTATCATTACAGTGTAAAAACACGTAATGTAACATTGTTACATTAGATGAGTATGTACGTTATTAGTATTAAAAATCAGGAGTAATACTTAAATTTTTGTTTCTAATATATTAAATAATAAATAAATGGGTAACTTTTATTTTGTGACAAATAATTCTAAATAAATGGCACGGTACACTTATAACTATAATAATAAAATGTGATGTGAACAAATGTATAATATGCAATGTGAATCGAAAGAATATAACAAGCCATTTCATTCATGACATTGAACTTCTCCCGAAAAATAGAATTCAACCTTTCACACAAATCTCGTTTTATATGAAAAATTCAAAATTATATTTATATTTTGAATAAACCTGTCAGGAAAAGTTCTTCAGTTTCATTAACTCATCACTGCCTTATCCCTTTTTAAACCCTAACAATTACCCTTATATGAATCATGTGTAGTTTTAATAAATTATAAATTTACTTAGAACTCTTCTTTTGTCTACGAAATAAACACATTATTACGTCAAAAAACTAAAATAAACAATATTCGCATCTCAACACTAGACAAAAAAATAATAGACACCTATTCAACTAAATAAATTCTAAAAATACATAATGTATAGAACTACAATAATCATATTTACAGTCCACATAATATAACCTATAAACATAAACATTAATTGCTGTCGAAGTTTACAATAGGTATTATAAATGATATATTTATACTGCAACGGTTGCTAACTGGATAACAGAAATGTAAGCTGACTATTAAATTCCTGATGTCCAATTAATAATATAAAAGTTGAATAAGTCTCAAAAATAAACAATTTTTCATTACCCAAATGGTCATTATGAAACTCTATGACTAACTATGAGCATTTGTACGTTTTTAACTCTCAAGGCTTAAGCTTAGCATGAAAGTTATCATGAAAATTTACATACAAGATTGTGAAAATTTAAATCCAATAATCTCACGGAAGTAAACAATTTTAACTGCTAGATGGTAGCACCAACTTGCGGTTAACGTGGAATAAAATAATAATTCCCACCATTCACGAAAAAGTTGTCATGGACCTAACGACCCCAAATTGACCCTCGCCTACTTTTATGCCAATTGAATTGCATTGTAATCGCCGTGGCAGGTATCATCGTGTACATAACCGGAAACGCTATCCTTGGTTAACAAACGTCTCTCGTCCACGCAAGCCCTATTGACTTAAAATCTACTAACGAAAACTAGTTCGTAAGTTCGATCGTGCATAAATTGCAACTAAAGAATTTTCATCAAACTTTCCTGTGATGGTGAACACTGATAACACACAGCACATTGAATGTTACACTAACTCCAACACTAACAATCGACAACTCTCAACTATGTACTAGCTGAAATTGCAATAAGTATATTATGATCGTAAATTAGAAGTTTATTTTTTTTTTTCAATACAGCAGCCTAATTGAATAGACCTACCTACTATGTACTTTGTAATATGAACAAGTAACAAACCAATGTGAAGTAGATTTAAATGAGATTTGTTCGTATAATATAAAACTAGCACAAAAACGATCTTTTCATTTATATGTCAAAGAATATAAAACCATTGCTATATATATTATCATCTATCGTAGTCATAATATACATAAAATATCTAAATTACGTAGCACCAGGCCATTGTCAAAATTAAAAATATACAAAAAAAATTATTGTGAGATCTACAAACACAAGTCACGTACTACTATTTTTTATACTTAGCTTTTAGTTAACAATCTTGGCAAGTCCTTTATTGCAATTTAGCAATTAATCGTTTAAAAATAAGATAGAGAAAAATTATAATACACAATAAGACATAATTAATACATAAACATTTTTATTATTAGTTCTCTTTACATATATTATTTCGATAAAAAGACGTATCATAACTGTTTACTATGTATATTCATAGAATCAAAAAAAAAAAATACAAACATGTTAAATGCTCCATTCACATAACCGTCGTATACCTTTATATAATACATTATAGGCTATTAGCCCATTAATGGGATTCATCGCACTTAGAACCCGTTCCAATGGGAATTACTTAGGTATTTCACATGAGAAACCTCCAAGCCTTCTCAGTCTTAATTTGGCTATGCAATGATATGTCAATCAGTCAGTAGATAAGCTTTTTTTTATTACTTAAAAATATTCAAGTTGGAATTGATGTCATTCGCGATATATAGGGATGAATTTACTAAATGGGGCAGCAAGAGCGGTTACTGTCATATAGATATCCAATTGTAGAACTTTTTATGAAAAATGAAAAAAAAAAACCGTACTTTTTTACCTACATTCATATATATTAGAAAAATAATACCAAGAAAGTAAGCAATATATACACACCTTTTTTTAATGCCGTTCGATCCCTTTTTTCATAATTTTTTTAAAAATAAGCAATGTGTTATTTAGGTAAAATTCAAAGTTTTCATTTCAATTTTAATTATCAAAACAGACCACAAATTTAATAACTTTATTTTCACCTGATCCGTAATCGTAACAACACTCACTAAATAATATTAACTTAAACGTAAAATTTTGAACAAAAGCTCAACATGTTACGCATGCACGTATTATGAAAGGATTTCTGGGAATTCCTACTGAAACGGACGTTTACGTGATCGGGTTGCCTGCTAGTAATAATATTTAATTAACAATTCAACGTTAACTGTAGAAGCTTCCCGTCCATTTCCAATTTATTGACGTATAGCGATTGCGTGCCAAAATAGTTTCCACCTATAATTTATATTAATCGTAATATCATATCAATAATATACGAGAATGACTAAAGACGCTATTATACCTATACGAAAAAAATCAATCAAAATTAATTGATTTGCTAAACACAAAAGAAGCGTTTCTGTATTACAGCTTCACAATACAGATATAAACACAGAGACTGCTGTTCCATCATCTAAGAACTACTTGTGATATCTAGTAATTATCTAATCAATTTTGTGCAAGAGAGGAGAGATAGCAACGGAGACTAGCAGTTGCTAACAATGTACCCTGTCAGGTAGAACCTCCACGCGGAAATACACCATGAAATCGTTATGGTTAATGCCTGATGAATTTATAATGATTAACTGACCTACCTTCATTCTCATCTATCCTCCCTCACGTATGCCCAGCCATTGTAAACAGATAGCGCAGGCGGGGTTACCATTCCATTAGCATTCTTTTAAACATTACTCATACGCACTCAAAATATCAAAAAATCGCGTAATTGTCATTATATAGGTACATAAACACAATATCTAATAAGTTAATACTATCACTTATTTTTATACTTTTCACCCTACAGCAAACAACCAAATAGCAACTCGTAATACATTTAGTGACATTCCTAATAAGGAGAAGTGTCCGTGATATCTTTTATATATAAAAATTAAATGCTGTACTTACGCAAGTACGTAAGCACATGACTCGTGAACAGATTTAGATTTTTTTAATATTCATAATAAGCCGATTAAATAAAGGTAGATTATTCGATATTTTGGACAGAACGTCTGTCAAATAATTAATAATTTCCCATACACAATTATGTTAATTGTATAAATAATCGATGTCGACTAGGTAATAAATTAAAAGTTAAATTTTAATAATCAAATCCAAGATATTCTTTTTGATATTGTATTCATTAATTAATAAATACTCAATGTAATCAGTAATAGTTAGAAATCATTTAATATTAAATATAGATTTTTTTCCTAAATAATAGAATAATTGAAAATAAACAAAAATGATCAACAAATTTACCTGACCTACAAGCGTATATATCTCGGGTGTTATGAACTATTGTGTATGTTGAAATAGCAAAATTCAATCGTAGTCGTAATTGCAATTGCTTTCGTATGGAAAAAATTTTGCGTTCATATGAAACAAAGTAGAAGTCTTGCTAGTAGGCGGTATGAAATACACCCGACCAAATATTCAAAATAAACTACACATTCCTGTATGTTTCATGTTTACTGTTCTCTTCCGCCGCATTTCCTCTACCGAAGCTTAAGCTTACATGCCGACATTTTTCCTGTATTTTATACTATTCTTACATATTTTTTCTCGTACCATCGTTTATCTCCTATATATTATATTATTTATTCGTGTTTATTATTATTCAATATGGTATTATTTATTACCTATTCAGTAATTTTGATATGATTCAAAAACGCTTTTTTTTTATAATTTTCCACCTATCTACTAGTCGTTACTATTAATTTGACCTGGCGACCAATTTTGTAGATACAAGTTGAATATTTAATCCGGCATTAACATACGTCATACCTACTAATCGTTCATAATTTATAGCTCATTTATACCACAGTCGAATTATTTATATTTAAAAAGCGTCCAGAACATTTTTACACGTACAGAAAATATTGAAAAATTTTAAATAAAAAAAACCTTATTAGCTTATTAGCAGACAATAAGTATTACAGAAGAATATTTGTGATTTAATTGTCAAGGAAACACCTAAACACCATCAGCTGATTTTATGTTACAACTTTTTTGTTTCAATTGCCTATATTTTATGAGTCTATTACCTGCAATACCTTGATCGAAACCATCCATGTCGCGTTCATAATACAAAAAAAAACTGACATAACCGAAAACCTCAACTTTAATATTGGCAAAAGATATTAAGTGAAACACCGCCCTAAAAACAAGTAGATTTCATAAACTAAGAAAATGCACTCCTATTTAATAACGTATTATATAGTCGAAAGAGGATGTTTGTTTTAAACTAGGATGTTGTCAATTTTGTTAGGTCAGTTTCTCAGTAAGAGTATAATATATAAAACCTTATTCTCTATTAAAGGAAATATAGACAAAAAATTACATATACTTATAAGGATATTAAATTGTTCTTAAATTACATTTATATTATGCTATTGCAAACTTAAAATTACTTATAATAATAGCAATATTCTAAGGCAAATCTTTCGTCGCTTTCTTTATTTTTTTTTTAAAGAATCGATGTGTTTATTAATTATAAATATTTTATTTCGGTTAACTAGTTTAAGCATTACAAGAAACAGGCACAACCACAAATGTTGTTTAAGCTATAGCTAGCTTTTTGGCTTGGTTCTAGTCAATTAATGAGATAGGTAGTGCATTTCACATTGTTCGCTCTGAGATTCAGTTATAGACACGTGAAAATACAGATAACGTATTCATTTTAAACATCGATGTTGTGAAAAATAAAATATTGTTAATATCATTACGATGGAAATTTTTGAGTAAAATGGTAAATTAATCTACAATAGTTATTGCGATTAATTCCCTTTTTTTATAAAAAAAAAATATTCGTTTCAACATCGACTTTTGTCCGATGTCATTACATCATACAATAATCAAAACGATCCGATTGACGATTGATTGTTTTGATTATGGTTATTAGTTAACATTAATATGGCATTTGGTTTTAAAATCAATCATGTAGTTTATCTATCATTCACGGAAATATTTACTAGAACAGCATTATGTATATTATCTGTGTCGGTAATAAGAATACAGAAGATCTATTTAAATGTTTTTTTTAGTTTTTAATAAAATATTGTAATCGCATTGTATTCTGTGTATTATTTTCATTCATCAATTCTTTGATTTGTCATGGTTTTAAATAGGAATATAGTCAAATTATGTAAAAATTAATATCATTATCAATAGTATTCTTTAGTTTACCTACTTTATATCTAATGTTGTATAAGTATTTTCTTTGTATCTTTGATCTTTCTTATTATGTCTTAATTTGAAGTCTGTAATGACAGGCATTCTATAACAGAACAACTAATGAAAAAAATAATCATAACCAGAATATATCGGTGGATAGACTATACCAAAATATATATATAAGTAAGCAGTTTCTTATCTTAAATACTAATTTTAAAAACCGTTGTAAATGTGTTGTTCGAGACATGGAGTATCAAATTACTTTATAAAAATGTATTTTGCGTAAATGTAAAATACAAATTATTCGAATGACATGAGATTGGCGGGTAGAGGTTGAACTATTTTGTTTGTCACTTCTTCAATCTTTGATACCCACTGCTTGGCTGACGATTCAGATCCAGTCCTGAAAAACATCACTACATAAACACCCCCTCAAACATATACATCAAACACGCTCTTTAAGATTTTAGTCTTAACCACCTTTATATGAACATCACCATAAGCATCATAGAATACGTCCATAGTGCCCTACAGTAGTCAACTATTGTTCCAGAGAACTGAAAACTGTCTATACAATATTGCATGGTGGCAAAAACACAAATGAGCCATGTGCATAGATGAATTTACACAACATTGTTTTAGTAAAAATAAAACATACAGAAAGAGTCGACTCACTTGAACTTGTATAAAGTGCCGGCATGATGGTTTACTAGTTGGAAAGCATCTGAAGCATCACCTTCGACCCAACTGGCCATCCAGCCGTCTAAAGAGAGGACTTTGCATCGTTCCGCACGAAAATCACTTCGACTTGTCCTGCATCAAAAATAAAATTATCAGCTGTCGTTATAAAAAAATTAAAATCAATTAGCATTAATTGAACATTCTAATGCAGTAGATGACAGCAATCGAGACTTCAATTGATAACAAGTACCAACGTCCGATTCATATAGACACGGGACAGAATTGATATAATGTTTTATCATTAAATATACACTTCGAATGCTTCAATAGTACACGAGTGTTCAATAAGTGTAATACTACTAAATAGATCTAATTCCGTTAATGCTATTCCTTACACGGTTATTAAAGTTCCCGTACAATGAATGGGATTATTATACTATAAACGAAATATTAGATAAATGTTACATTTAAATAAAAAATCAAATAACATGAGTACAAATTTTGTTGTGTTTATTTTTTCAGAAAGTTCTAAAAAGGCATTGACTTAAAACCCAAATATTTACATCCCTGGCCGGTGGATAGCAAATTCCACTTTGGACTACGCCAAAGAAGTTGTGATACAATATAATATTCGATCTATTTATTGAATTAGAATTAATTTATTCGCACTTTTATTCTAAATGTTGTTTTACTTTATCTATGTATTCGCTGTAGATGTTTCAAAAAATAAATAATATATACACTGTTAAATTTTAAAACAAATTTCATCTGGCTTTAACCTGCTAATGTTATTTCAAATATTCATGTTTTCTTACCCTTTAAATGACTTAGCAGCGTAAAATACTAGGATATTGCCAGATATCTGTAACCAATATCTTTGCCACGACGATAGAGATATCTTCCGTCTATCCTTCAAGATGGTTTTTCTTCTGACAAATCCCTGGTAATCACACTCCACTCCTTCTGTTTTTGAGATATCACTAAAACACAATACATAATAAATAATACATAGAGACAAAATTAAGATCGTACAATATAAACAACAGTTATCACTTTCCATGAGATGAGGCGTCAGCTTATTTACCAATCTAAGTGTCATTAAAAAGATGAATATTGCTACCAAATAATAAGAAAAAAATTATTAATTAAATACCTATGAGGTAAAATATGGGAAACTTTATCCCCGGCCACTGAACCTGGTGACTCCAGCAGCGTATCGTCTAACAAATTGACTGAACCAGCCGGTGTTTTCTCATCCATTTTCTCATCGGTGTAACTTTTGCCGAAGATACTGAAACATAATATTATTTATAATTCAACTTATCGGAAAGGCATTCGAATCTCTAGAGCTACTTCAAACTTTCTCTATTTTAAAATAAGTGAAGACGTGTCCGTTGCGATATTTTATTAGTTTGTCATTATATATATATATATATATATATATATATATATATATATATATATATATATATATATATGAACTGAATAAACAAAAGTATACATAGATTTTATCAATTTGAATTCAGTATTATAAAAAATACTAAATGAATGTTACAATACTTTCCATCCAAATCTTTAAGATTACGTACATATAGAATGGTGTAATATTTTTTAAAAATATATATTATTTAGTTTTGCCACATTTGCTCTTACAAGTTAGACAGCGCAGTGGTCACGCCTTCAGGCTCAAAGAACGAAAATGTTCATATATCAGAGAATTACTTAATACATTCACATCTTATTTTTAAGGAAAAAATTGTTGTTCCTGATCTCCATAAAGAGTTTGTCTAATGTTTACTCTGTGACTAAGGCAAATGTCGTAAATAACAGAAGTCAAATTTCACACTATAATCTTTATAATTAGTTGTTTCTGTTCTATATTCTTTAATTCTCATGGCGCCTCATTACGCATTACTGTCAATCAAGTTCTATAGACAATAATGGGGTGTCGGCATTCTTCGCACAATAAACGCTTCCGTTCTCGAGTCTAAAGTACCTACTTAAATACTCCATTTTAAATACATTATATGGGTCAATGACACAAAAACAAGATGATTCATTTATTAAAGAGTAACTTACATTCCGTACTAGACTAGGTAATTATTATTACCATCGATAAAACTTACTGCCGCCTTTATTAATTTTAAACATATTGAAATAACGGGCATTTTTATCAAGACAAAATTATAAAACTTTTCTTCTGCGATGGTCAGTAATACTGAACCATCTCAAAAGTCGTAGTTAAAATGGAGTTTAGTATCTAACACACAGCGCTTTACATTATTCACAATTATTTCATTTTGGTCTATAATTTCTTAACAACATACTACGATCTACTCATCTAGTTTTTCTTTAATATTAAAATAATTAAATAAAATTAAAATATGTTTTACTCGTAACTCAATAACACGTACTGATTTATAATAAACAGCTTTCCATAATTCCTAATAAAAATTACATATCTATATATATATATATATATATATATATATATACATATTATACATGTACATATATTTTAATAAAAGCTATTATCTTTCATTACAGTAGATGGTGACTTTTCTATTGACTGGTCGTTATCGAAGAAAGATTAGAACAAAAGATTATTTATAATATCATAGGAGAATTATTTCCGAAGCAAAATAAATAATTATTATATTGTAGACAAGACATGAGAAAAGTTTGAATTGACTTTAATATATATATATTAAACTCAATTCAGATTCTTCAAAAATTAAAGAAAAATGCCTATTATATAAATATTATGTCAAAATAGAATAGCTTTATTCTATCGAACGATTAAAATAAGAACTAAAATTGATTTATAATTGACGAATATATTTCATAATAAGCAAAGAAAATACAGGTGAATTGCGAATCTTCTTCTGTTTGTGACAGCAGCAATGTCCTATTATGTCATAATAACATTAAAAACAAAAGGCGTAATGTTCGCAAATATTTTCTTTCATGTTTAGATTTATCTATATTATTTTCTACTAATAATCGGTAAAAATATTATACTCTAACCGAATTATCTCCGAAGTTTACAAGCTTAGGAACTTGAAAAGAACGAAGTCCGGCAGTCTAAGTCAAATATTTTTAAATTTATAGTACATTACTGCAGTGGCCAGCAACTGAGACATTGATGGACAAACGTGCAAATGTGGGCCGAGACGTAGCCGAGGCACACATAAGTGAGTCCATCAATGCCTAGTTGTGGCCAAAGTTTGTATAATACTTTTCTCAAACAATGCGTGAAAATCAAAAACACAATTTTACTTTTTAAGTTCAATGACGAATAACGAACAATAATAATTTTTCAGGCGCCATAATGTTCCTCTGTTTTTTTTTTTCAATAAACAAACTTTCTATTCGCAAGCCAGTTCAAAATTTAAATAAAACCTTTTATTAGTTATCTCCTTGGCAGCCATGTTTCAAAGTAAAAGGTCATTCCATTTTTAAATTACAGGACAGATATAAGTTTACATAGTAATTTATCTGGCCGCAAAACACGACAGGTATGGATTTTCATACAACTCTTGCCGGCCGCTGCCCGCATATATCTGGCCAGTACGGCAATTTTGATTTATCTCGAAGAAGATTGTCAAAATAATGCTCACATTTCCAAGTATGTTTGAGAAAAATATTAAACGAAATCCTTATCTACTATGGCTTTTTTTTTTATTAATTATCTGGCTACTCATTTTAAGAGCCGACAAACTGTCGATATTTTAAAAAGACAATGAATAAGTAAATATGTCACTACATAACCACCATCCAATAGAATAATGTCGCAGGGTTAAGATACGATAATAGCCATTAGAAATAGGTAAAGTGCGAATCTGCAAGCCAAAGCTAGTGATATATTGTATACCTACTTAGATAATACAGGTTTTTTAAATATGCCATGTACAGGTAATTAGGAAAAAAGCTCATTTATTTCAAAATTGCATTAAATATAATTAGCGGCGATAACTACAGATGTGTCCTTAATTAAACCACTACCTTATTAGTGACTTATACGACTATTAGTGACTTGACGATCTGCCTATGTTTGTTGTAAAGTAACAACAATCGCGGTGTTATTCTTACTTACTTACTCATATCTACATAAAAAGTAACGTTATGTCTTCGAGTCTCAATTTTTTTTAAAATATTAATCAAACAAAAAAAAATTAAAACTATAAAAATGGACTGAATCACTCATAAGGCACTCATATACCTTTTTTATGGGTGAAATGAAAAAATAGCGCCGCCTGCATTATCGGTATACACTGGCGGGGCACCTGTGAGGGACGATAAATGAGGATGAAAGCAGGGCAGTTAGCCCATCGTGAAGAAACCAAGAATTAATACTATGGTTTCCAGGGGGAACCGCATGGAGGTCGACCTGATAGCGTATATTGTTAACAATGGAATTGTTTAATGCTAACTAACAATTCTTTTCTCCCCTAGCAGTCATATATCTATGTCTATATTAAATGTATCGTTTTTTATATGTTCCTTGCAACGCTGATGATTTATTCCTATATAAAAATAATATACTACTGAGTTAAGCGTTTCATTATGCTGTATGGTAGAATCACAATAATACTAGTGGTTTCAAAGAACAACCATATGTGTAAGTGTTATTGAAAATCAGATAGAAACGTGACAATTGCAAAAACAATGAAGCATGCATGCTTGGTGGCATAAATATAAACGCTGCTAAATAATCACAGCAACGGCGTGACCTTCAATACTGCGGTCTATCCTTTAAAATACCAGCTGGTGAGTACGTGACCAAAATAAGTCCAACCTTTTTAAACACGGGAATTCATGTTACAATACCATCATAAACTTGACTACAAAACTATCCTTATTATGTGATAGGGTGTTTGTTAATTTGTTACCTCTTAGCATCTTACCGGCATTACTGATCACTATAACATTTGGTAAATACAAAAAAAGGTGCTATACTATAATATTATTGTTCCAATTGAATATGTAGTGATGTAGGTAATATAGAAAATTAGTTTTGGTAAATTTTGGAGCACAGAGAGAATTCCGTAAGATGTATTTCAATTAGTAGTAAATTTTATTAGTAGTATTTATTTATTTAACAGATAAATATTTTTTCTTAACATGAAAAACAATAGTGCCATACTTTATTCTTACACCGTTACTGCTTAGGGAGTAATTTACAAAAAAAAAACATTTTTACCATGATTTTAAGTACAACACATCTAACCAAAATTACATTAGTTAAATAAACATTAAATAAATAACAACGTAAAAAATAATTGTCATCATCGTCATCGTCTCAGCCAATATCTGTCCACTGCTGACCATAGGCCTTTCCCATAGACTGTCATAAGAAACGGTCCTGAGCCACCTGCATCAACTGACTCCCTGTAATGCACTTGAGTTGGTCACTTCATCTAGTGGGAGGTCATCCTACACTGCGTTTGTCACCACTTAAGAACTTTTCTTCCCTTTTGATTATCGATTCTTCGAGCTGTGACCAGCCCATTGCCCCTTCAGCTTGCTCGAAAACAGTATGTAGACGCGATTTAAAAGGGATATATATAGAAAGGATATCGAACAAAACCACCGCACTTCTGCTCCACGCTTCGAGTGTAACACCGTTATGGATAACGAAATTAAATAGCCTCTGAAGGACTACAAGTACCGATTTTCCACCCACTTTCAGAAGCTCTGCTGTAATTCTGTTCTCCCCCGGTGCTTTGTCATTTTTAGGCTGTTAAAGAGACATCTCAATTCCCTACAAACTAACGTTCGGGATATTATCGGTATAGTGTCGGTTGACTGTAACTCTTTGGTCGTTAATCACATTGGTATGCGATGTCAACGACGTTGTGTACATCTGTCCATAGAACTTCTCAATCTCACTCAAAATCTCAGAAATATTGGAAATTATATCAACGGTATTAATCTTTAATTTTGCCAGTTGTCTTTGCCCAATGACCAAATCTTTAGCGCACACTTTGGAATAAAATTTGAAACAAAAATAATTGTAAAAGAAATTAATTAAATTATTTTATATTATTTGTTTATATTTACTAAATTGCTAGATTCGGAAACAAATATCTTAGTCATTAGAAAGAACGTATAAAGAATAAAATGGAATACTAATGATTGGTTTAAATGTTGCATATAATGTTTTTTTCTTTTATTTATAATAACTCACGCAATCTCTACATAGAGCATATATTAAATCCATCAAGTACTACTATAATTCATTTTTTATGCATAAATTACACAAAGCGCAAATTAAAATGAATTATATTTTCAATAAAAAATATTTTAAATCTCTACTGCACCTCCTGGTCATTTAAATAAGGCATATAATTAAATTAAATTTATATAAATATATGCCATGCACATACACAATATATATGTAATGCTTATGTCCAAAATGCCTTTTAGTTCTGTAGAACTCGCGAAACTTATAGAAATCGCGCACTAGCAGAAAGCATGCTTATTTGCATATAATCTGTAACACTGATATTTTCAATACATACTTATCGACATCTACATAACACAATACAAGCCATCGTGTCCATCAACCATAATAAGTCACTCACCCCACACCAAAATTGACCTTGTGAAAATTTCTCGGCAAGCTCGCACTACGAAACCTATGTACCGACCGCAAGAGGAAAAATATATTTATATAAATAAACTGTGATTAAAAAAAGCATGATTATGTGTAAATCCTACTCCTAATACTGTAAAATAATTAACGATAAGTAACAGAGAAAAGTTCCAGGGACGAAACGAATTGTGTCGATGGTAAAAAGTATGAAATAAGTTACGTAATAGATTTTATTACACTTAACTTTATAAGAGAATTAAAAAAGCTGTTGCACAAAGCATTGGATTGGCTAATGGTTCTTCAAATGGGAATTACACGTTCATTAACTTATTTACTATAAAATTACAGAAAATGCAATGAGGCAACAGAATTTGAAATAGGACAATGAACAATAGTTTCAAGAGAAAGACAATAAAACAGCACTTGTGTATATGTAAATACATGTAAAACAAGACTACATTAGTAGTATTAATAACCATATTATATTTAATCATGACATTAGTAAAAATAGCTAAGTTTTTTACATACTTGGATCCAAGAGAACGACATTTTCGATGTGTAGGTATAAACTTGGATTGATTGTAGGATCCTTGGAGCCGTAAAGACCCAGATCCGAGCCGATGAGATGGAGAAAGAGTATAAGGTGTTGACGTGCCCGGTGGTAGGATTTCCTTCACAGATTCTTTTGATCCAGAACAACTACCAATAGGCGACGGCGGCTCAAGTTTTAGTGACAATCTGAAATAATAGAAATTTTATAATCATGCTAATATCTGAAACTTTACTCCCAAAAATTTGCTCTCATTTATATTTTTTATCGAACTAAGAAAAAATGAAACCGACTAGATAGGTAGGTAGGTATACTATATAATCAAATTCTAAAAAAATATATTTTATCAAATTTATAAATATTTATTACCCGATAGCACTAAGTAGATTTTTTTTTAATAAAATCAACAACCCATGTTTTTCCCTGATAATGTAGCTTTCAAGTAAAACATTTTTTTAGGTCTATCCATTATAAACAAACAATCAATTCTTTCCTGTTTATAATATTAGTTTAAATAAAGAGTAAGAATTTAAGTATTTGATTTTTTTAAGAAAATTGTATGCCACAGATATAAACTAGATAATCAATTTCTAAGTAAATGTTATGTATTTTATACTAGGTAAATAAAAACAAAAGAATTTAATTTTTAAATAGCAGCGACTCAACAAATCCAACCATACGGTATTTTAAAGTAAACTTTAATTTGGTCGAATAAGTTCCTATGAGATTGCGACATGGCAAACGTACTATTCAAAATCATATTGAATTTAATTTAATCATCAACATATTAATAAAACTAATTAGCTATTATTTTAAAACTTGTCCTATCTTCCAGTAACATGTTGTTATAATGTGACTATAATGTCCTTACTTGTATTGATCATCTTCGAGAAACTTCTGTAGTTCTTCTATGTATCGAACACTATTTAAATAATTGGCTACTTGTGGTAAAGGTGTGATGTCATACTCAGATGACTGATATCTTTCTAGAGCTTTCAGTACTACAGCCATTTTAGCAACCCGATGAGGAGATCCGACAGGATGTGCAATAGATATATAGACTAGATCAGTCAAAAAAATACCTGAAAATTATAAATTTATTACAAAACTAGTAAGGCTGCATATACAAGGCTGTTGATAAATGTATAAAATTTAAAAATATAACAAAGAACTATCACTAACCTGATGTATGTTTTATCAATAATTTATCCTTCACTTGCAATAAACTCTACCCAATAAAATAATTGCAATTAAATTTAACCACTCAACTCCCTACATTTTTTTATAATGTCGCTCGTGTATTCTATATACACACTTTTTTATTAGTATCACAGACGTGGATATAAATAGAATATTATACATACACAGATATTTAATATCCATACACTATAACTATCAACTCGCAAAGAACATATTGTTGCGAGAACAACTTCTTATTTTTGTGTAGAATAAACGTGAAATGTGGTATCAGAAATCAATATTCTATTCCTACCTTATATCAAATATAAGTAATATCAACAACTTACCAAGATAAGGTATGCAAGGCAATGATATTGATTTTAAATATTCCCTCAATGCCGTCCAATTATCCTTTTCGGCAAATAATTCTGCGAGCTTGTCGAACTGTTGTTTATCCTTTTTAGATAAGCAAGCCCATGTTTTTGTGAGTCTGTTTAAAAAGTATTTAATGTATTATTACAATAAAACAATATGTGATTGTAATTCTTTTTTCGTTGCTGATTATTATTAAAATACAAATAATATAAAACAATCTATTCAAAAATACTTTATATTAGATTATGCTTAACATAATAAAAAAATTATATATATCTATATATATATACCCGAGGGTGGTAAATTCCTGGTAAATTAATCATCATCATCTCTCACCGGTTGTTAGCCAACGCATATCCATAGCGCAGGCATTATTACTAGTAGTTTCAATTAAACTAAGTGATATAGGATTATTTGTCTGCGTTTATACAGCACTTACGCTATTCATGAAAACCAAAACACACAAATAATCTTATAGAGCCCGAACTATATACAAGTGGCCGGCGGTAAGCATACTTACATATCAGCTGTATAAGTCATAGCAAAGCTCTCTCAGTCATATTAAAACTTAGCCAACGAAAATTTGTTTCCACAATAGCAAAAGCAGAAGGTACATAAAATCGTCTTTATGAGATAGGTCATATCACTATCGATGACTAGTACATAATATACACGCACAATCACATAGCATCACTATGTGAGTGTACTTACCCCAAACCGCTTGTGTGAAACTTAAACTTTGTAGAAACCTACTCTGAGATAAAAGCAATATTACAATTCTAGAACCTAGTATTTATATATACTTACCGGTAAATACTAGCACTATTCAAGGCTGAGATAACAGCAAACAGAGAATGCAAATTGTTAAGATCATGTAGCTTTTTTGCTACCTTTATAAAATGTGCTAGTGTTTCTGCCCTCACCTTAGGTGATTGGCCATTTAATATTTCCTGTACAGTCCAAAAACTCACCTAAAACAATTATTAAGTATTTTAAGTAGTTCTGCTCCCAGTGAAAAATTAATGTACTTATATATTCTCTACAGGTTTTTTCAATTTGTAGTTTTTGTGTATTGCCCAATATCTTTAGTTATTACAGTAAATCGATTATATTGATTTTACTTTAGTGTATAGACAAGACTAGATAGAGAAGAATTTAAAAAAAGAATTTCTTGTCAGCTAATTATCAAATTAGCTCGTTTTGTTTTTTCTTTTATTAGTGTAATATGTAGGAACATATTTACTTACATGACGTATCTTAACGTATCTATATTTTATTATTTAATAAATGAGTTTTTGCGCATTAAAAAGTTGCAATAATTATACGACAAAAAATAGAATTAATAAAGGAGTCACTGGTAAAAATCTTAAAATTTAAGCCTAAATACAATTATAATTATTCACATATTTGTAAAATAATTCGCACCATTTTTAGTGTTACAAGTATCTGAAAAAATCCCCACAAAATAATTAAAATTCCTGAAAGAAGTTGATTTTTTTTTCAACATGAATTGAATTATTTTTAATTATTATTTGTATATCTATGATATTTTTTTAAATAATATAAATATACTATTTATGTAGGTACATACATACAGATATTGAGTATTATGCAGACTATTTAATATTATTTAAATAACATTATATTAAATTACACTTATAACACAATTACTTTAATTAATAAAACAGGGACTTTTTTAAGGGACTTTCAAAAAGAAGGAGATTTTAAATTCGACTATATATATTTTATTAAAAAGATCTTTGCTATATGACCGATTACTTTCAAAATGGAAATGTGAAGATCCGTGTACATTTTAAATATGTGACAGCATTATTAAAAATGGCCATCATTTTTGTTTTCTTTATTATTTGGCCCATTGCATTCAAAATCGATATCGAAGGTCCCTACACACTTCAAATATGCATCCGATATCAGAAACAATAAAATTAGCTGCCATTTTTAGTGACTTTATCCGTCTATATTTAAAGTATACATGGCCCCTCAAATACCGATTTTCAAGCTTCACCTCAAAATTATACCTATTTTTAAAAACAATATGAAACATTATATCAGCCTTTAATTGTCCAATACTGAACATAAACCTCTCCCTTTGGCCTAAAAGCCTTTCCCGTTTTAAAAATTGGCAACCGCAATTAGGATTTAAAGAAATTTTAAGAAGGACGCTTTAATATAACAATAATAGAAAGAAACCTATTTTCTCTTAAATCCCGACGCGAATTTTTAGATTTATTATTTATCTTGATGAAGATTCACAATAGTTCAATTATTTGTCCTGATTTTTTATATCAACTCTCTCTACGTGCCCCAACCAAATCATATTTCTTCCATTTGTTTCCATTAACTATCGAAAATATTCATATTTTTGGCGTGCAAACCAGAAATATCTAGAGACGTCGATTTAGATTGATTTCATTCTAAGATAGAATCCTCAAGACGTGTGCTGGGTTAGTGGTTCTTTGATAATTCATCTTTGAACGTGTCAAGTTATTTTGCATAACTGCCTACCTATAATGTTTGTACTACTATAATGTTGTACCTTTAATTTAGTTAATTGTAAGTATAAACGATGTCATGTGCAATTACTTAAATCTTGTTTTTATTTGTGAAAACCTGTAACTGGCTTTTTGTCTTAACTATCTTTTTAGCTATTGGTATTTCTTAAAAAAATAAATAAATAAATTACAACCTTCACCTATCTAGATTATTTTAAAGTAATAATAATAATAATTTCTAATCTGGTAACTATTTTACACACATATGTACATAAAAGTTGACCTATTTTTTCGAAATCTTTGTATGGATCTTTATAATCTAACGATCATGAACTACTTTAACACTTATAACATTTGAGATCATCGATCCATCTAGGGAAGAGATCAACCTACTTTTTCACATTTGGTAACATTTGCGCAGCAGTTGAATGATATATAATAATATATATGTATATATATATATATATATATATATATATATATATATATACAAATTAAAAAAAACCCTGAAATTACGCAGCCAAATAGTGTCTTGTATAAAATACAAAAAACAATAATACAAAAGTCATCTGCATTGATACCTCTATCGTACGGAATTGTGTTTCTACTTGGTTTGAAGTCATTAAGAATAGCAACACATGAGGAATACCATAGGTATCACAGTGTATTCTGTGATGTCCATGGCAGTACCATCATATTTATAAGCCATGGAACTGCTTTAATTAAAAAAAATATCACTTACCCTGTTGAATCTTTTTGTAAATGCTACAACATTGGGTGACTCTATTAGTTTGTTCAGTTTATTCCAGCCACAAGTTGTGAGCTCATCAGGTTGAATAGATTTGAAACACGGTAAATCAAGTAGTGTGAGTTGATTTGCAATGTCTTCAGGAGTCAACCGTAAGGCTGAGCTAACTATCTCATCCCATGATTGATTAATTGAAGAAGCTGCAGGCAAGCTGCTAGTCTTATACTGATATATTGGGTCGAGTTGTCTATTTGCCACACCTTCACCATGACTGTGATAATAAATTCATTATATTATATATTATATGCATTATGACTATATATATATATATATATATATATATATATATATATATATATATATATATATATATATATATATATATATATATATATATGTGTGTGTGTGTGTGTGTGTGTGTGTGTATATGTATTTTGTAAACCAATTTAGAAAATTCATTACAAATTGGTCTCATAAATTTTTTATCAAATTTGGTTTAGTAATTTAGTTTTTAGATCAAAATAACTGGTTTTGTCACAAATGAAGTCATTTTTTGTGGGACATAATCTTTAATTATATTGAAAAATGTACAGTTTTATATGATGTAATACTATGCATATAATTTTTGTTTTGGTAACATCAACAAACATTCAGAGAAGACGCTAAAAATTTCTAATGTGTAAGAAACACACTCAATAGCTGAATTATTGTTATTTTAATACATTGCTGTATTTTATTAGATACATTATCTTGATCTAATTTTGCCACTTATAAAACTGTAATTATTGACAGTGATTTTCCAGAAACAAATCACTCACCCATAATTATAATAACAAGCACAATCATCTTTAGTATAAGGTTGTTGGCTATTTAGAGGAACATTTACAAGTTTTTTATTATTTTGCTTACAAGGTGGCTTATCTTCTAGAGGCCATTTATCTTCGTCTTCATGCTGAAAAGTAATTCAACATTAATAAATAGTAGCATACTCTTTAATACTGTATAAAAAATCACAATAGAAACAAAAAAAAATTGATTAATAATAAATAAAAATAAATACTACAGATGGACAAATTAAGCTTTAACTCTAGTCCAGCTAAATTGTTGGAAATTATATGCAATAAATATTCCTAAAATTGCATCAACATTTCACCATAGTACTTATATACAATTAAAAGCCACTGAGGGATAAAGGAAATTTATTCCTAAAACAAAATTATATTCTATCATAAAAAATATATTAACATTTAAAGATTAAATTAGCCACAATACGATGACAATGAATATCTTCAATACAAACAATATATCAAGTATGCTATAATGTTTTATTGGATTTTAGCTCTGAAAGATGAAATGAGAATAACACAATTTTATACAGTTTGAAAAAATCTGACTTTTATATTAAATATAAAAAATCCGATTTTTTATATATATCCCGGTTACGAAAAAGAAGCTAATTTAATTCTATAAGGGGATTACACGCTTAAAATAAAAATGTGAAAGGAATTTGTAAAATAAAATAAGTATTAAATTATTACTACATTTATTATTTAAAAAACTTTTAACAAGTAACAAAAAAAATAACTTAGTATTTATTTGAAAAACATTTTATTAATGAACAACTAATAAAACAAGTACCTATTACTACAATAATATTATTATTTTTATGAGGTTGCCATGTTGGGATACAATCTAAATTATTCTGAATTGTAGTTTTTTGCTACATGTTGCCAGGGTAAACATTAATCCCCAAAGTTTTTAGCTCAGAAGACAGGAAAAAATCTATTAATATTTATCAAGATAATAATCAATTGATATATATCTTGATATATTATGATATATATCCACTGATATATATCGGCAAACCTTGATTTTATATAATAGATATATATAATTTTATATAATACATAGAGGAATAATAAACAGATAACTCTAAATATTTGTGTATAAAAAGTTCTCAAATAAATTTAAAAAAATTTTGAGAATGCAGTCATGCCAACCTAATTTTAGTATAAAAGTAAGTTTTGATTAACATAAGTTTTAAGTTAAAGGTTTAGCTAGGGCCTTTTGTAACTATTGAAACATAAAAATGCTAATGCTGTGTTACAAATAATAATGCAGATGCTAATGTAATATTTATTCCACAAAAAATGCATACATATATTCAGCATTGCCTAAAGAAACAGTTTCCGACCATTGTTTACACAGGAACATATACTCACTCTTCCCATTATCTATATATTAAAAACAGTAATAATAATGTTAGAAAAAGTTTTATAGATTTATAAAAATTGTATTGTAATTTGTAAACGGTAGTATTATTTTATTGTTACCCTATTTCCTTTGGCCGCAACAGAATATCATTGCTTTGCTCTTTTGAGGGCGAAGCAATAAACTGAGTTGTGGCCATTTTGTATTGTTATGGCACACATACAAACAAAAAATTGTATTTAGCTTTATGTATTTTTTTTTAATCATTTATGTTATCTTGCTTTTTATATATATCAATATATGTTGTAATTTGTGTGCTGTAAGTAATACAAATAAATTATCTATCTATCTAATTTGTTAAAAATAACTGATGCAAAATGAAATTATTTTGTTAACAGCCCAAATAGTCTTTCAAATCACACACACAGTACAGGTATATTAAAATATTTAATAAAATACCATACAAGGCATCCCAAATCAGCTTCATACAATTTTATGTAAACAATGTAAACAAGTACAAAATTCCTGTACTGTGTAATGTAAAGGAACAAGAATACATGGCCGATAAATATATAATATGAATATTAATGATTAATGTAATTGTAGTCTATGAAATTTGACTATAAGGTGTAATTATTGATTGAAACCCTACCACTAATTGCAACGACCAGACTTAGTTTGTTATCTAAATGACATGACATGCAATAAACAAAATATTCAACCTGTATCATGTACAAGTGATCATGAGAGGGGATATGTTACTCTCCTTTGTCACCATAATCTACAATCATTCCTACTACAACACATTACATAGCTAATTATGTTTATTACATACCTCTACAATTCTCAGTACAGCTAGACTATCACTTAATATATCCCTCGGCATTTCGATAAAATGTACCACATACTTCATAAGCCAGAGGGATTGATGTCACCTTTAATAATCATAAAAAAATTACAATATAGTCATTCAAGTATAGACAGTAGATTTAGATAAGTATTACAAGTCATTATCTAATAACATTCAAATTACAGCATAAACAAACAAAATATTAAACATTCTACACCTGAACATTGAGATTAGCATCAACATAACCATCATTTATGAGTCTAAGTTGATAAATATTGCAAAAATAATATCAGGACAATTGTTATCGACGTGGTAGTAATCTAGTAAAATTATTTCAATAATTAAAATATTTAAATAGAAGTAAATTAAATTAACAGTCTTTAAATTAGGAAAGAGTCCCAGCTATTGATTGTTTACATGGAACTATCATATAATACATAGAAGTGAATTACTTACCAATATACTGATTTTTATACTAAAAGTGCATTGAAGTAATTTACATTTAACTATAAGTATCAGAATTTTTCACTAAAAATAAAACATATGAAAAAATGTGACAGCAGTAATAATTCAGTACGTATGTAGTACATAGATAGACAGATAAATAGCTCAGTAAAGGTGACTACCAAAGATAAAGAACTCTAATATAACTATCTATTAATTACTCTAAATAATCTATCTATGTCAATGTACTCATAGATTAAATATTTCATATTCATAAATAAATATTTCTTCTAGTCATTATATTTATAATAGTACATCTATTATTTGTGTTTTATCTATGTTTTAAAATACTATCGTTAAGTTAAACAATAAAATTTTAATTAATGATCACCGTGAGAAATTTAAGGATATAATAAATAAGCACAATAGAAATTTACATTGTGGTATAAAATTTACTCACCTATTTATATTGTTAGATATTTATACAAAAATGTTATTGTGACCAACCAAACCAAATCTACCTACATACCTAACAATGGTGGTAGTACGCATAAACTTCCGTCGAGATTATAATCGTTTTATTTCTTTTATCCTTAGTTAAGTGAAATTAAAGGATTTACGTAATTGATATTTATAAGGAAAATGGAAGGTAAATAAAAGAAGTTGCAATGGACCCTTAAATAAATCATGGCATTATGTAAAAAAATCGTCGTTTTATGAGTGTTACATTTGTATAACTTTTGTAAACTGTTATGGCGTTTGTGTCTGAATACACAACGCATTATCTTTTATCTGTCTCGTGATTAAGAGAAAATTGTATTTAAAATGGTTAAATCGTTATTGTAATATGAGAATAATATGGAAATAAGTTTTTCGTGAAGCTAACCGACCTAACTGTGAAAGTGTACGGTTTTTAGGTTATGTTTCCATCTTTTATAGGTATTTTAGGTGGGTTTCATTGAGACGGGATACCATTTACGACTTTTTCTCGAAGAAGTTAAACTTAAAAGTGATGTCTGAATGAATTTCTCACGGTTTCTAGATATTCAATCATGGTGGGAAGTGCCCAGCATCGCGTACTTTTGTTCCCTATTCAGAACTGCATTCAATCTCCTGGATTTTGACATCGAAGTGAGTTGTGTTGATTAACGATAATTAACTACTCAATTTTGAATAATACATATTTCTTTATAAATAAAGTGGAGTATTAAGAGTTTGTGTACGTTATAGGAATTGGAAGAAGCTCTTTTGACAGATGGAACAGAAGAGTCAGCTAGTTCTCTTCTTACTGAGTTGATTGTGCGTCTCCTGAATGGTTGTTTAGGCAACAATGACATCTCGGCCTTCAATTATCAGGTAGTACAAACAATTAATGGTTTTTCATTCCAAAAATTAATTGTTAAGTTACAAATGAAGATCCTAATTATTTTCTTTGATTGCTACTATTAATTATAGATGTACCTGAGACGCCTCTTTAGAAGAAAATGTCAAGAAACAGGAAGATATAATCCTTTCAACACAGACATTGACTTCCAATTTCTGCCTCTCCGTACAAAAGTAGAGATTTTATATGCTTTATGTGATTTTCGTTTGGAGGCTGATGATGTTTTTGATTTATTTAAAAACCTTGAGGCTGAGAGTTTAAGAGTAGAGCCACTGGGGTATGTATAAATTAATATCAATTGTTATTGTCTTAGTTTTATTATAAATGTTAGTATTCTGAGGTATCTATAACAATGTGATATTAAATATATTTTTTTTATTTCAGTTGGGATGATAATGACTCTGCATACTGGTATTTTTATGGTACAAGGTTATATCGTGAAGACATCATAAAGAAACCTAAAAGCAAAAACAAAAAGAAAAAAAGTAAAGATAGTAAAAAGAGAGGTTGGTTCTACGGTGATGACTGGCTTGATGACGACGAAACAGAGAGAGTTTGGCAAGTGGTGTGCTTTACTGAAGAGGATTGGACCCACTTGACAGAAAAATTTAGTAAGGCTACCAGCAAGGTTGAAAAGGAGTTGTATAGATCCCTCTCACAAAATTTTTTGCCAGAGATACCTAGACTGTTTCTGGAAAAAGAAAGGTTACAAAGAAAAAGGTAACTATTTTTTATACATATGTATAAGTAACATAAGAATATATTTTGGGATTTATATTTCTATTATTATATTAAAATATTTATATAATATTGTTCCCCAAAAATACCATCACATTTATCTGTTTTAATAATATAATATTTCTATAAAAATTCCAAATTAAGCTGAGCTTGTGTTGTTGATAGATACCTAGTAGTTATGTATGTAAAAGACAACTATGACATTTAAATATATATAAATATATTTGTCATCATACAAAAGACCAATATAAAAAATAGATTCATGAATACAAATGTTTTTATTATTGTATGATGATCATATCTCCATGAAAAGGTGAGGCAGTATTTACCCATTGACTGCCATAAGGTAAAATGTTCTCCTACACAATCATCATAAATTAAATAGAAATTAAACAGTATGATTTTTTACATATGCATATATTTATATATATATTAGATGTTCTCAACTTTGTGTCCATGAACCATATTGCTCATGGTAGTGAAAATTTTATAAAGCCCCTTTTTTGTGCACATCTATGTAAAGTATCTCTGTGCGAAATTACTAAATATAGCAGTTTTTGCTGTGCGTCCTTAAATAATTACCAGTAATATTTTTCTTTAAAATAGGTGTTTAAAGTATTGAGACATATATCTGTTCCTCTATATATCATATAACATATATCTGTTCCTCTATATGTTTAATGTACCTAATATACTTTTTATTTTCCCAATTCAAATTGTCAACTTTATTTATTGATAATTCCTTAAGTATATTTTTTACTGCTATTGTAAAAATTGTGTGCACAATGCGAAAGTTCCTATATTACTATTTTTGTGTTTGCTTGCTATATGCTATACATACACACATGTTAAAAAAAATATAAAAGATTAAATCTAAATGCTTATATTTTAAATTAATATTAATAAAGTATATAATATTAAAAAAAAAAAATTAACACTTATTTTAATTACAGTCATGTTAGGTGATGCCTATGTTCAACAATGGACAATTAACAGCTGATATGATGATTATGATACAGTCATGAAAGAACAGAAAGATAGTTTTTCTATTACATATCTTGCATAATACAACTTCTTTTACTGTACTAAATGTTGGAGACATATTTAGGTGGAAAGATCTTGTAGTAACAATAATTGAAATAGGATACTGTATGTGTAATGAATTATTAATGTATTGTGTCTGTGTGAATGTGATGAAATATTAATTGTCAAAGAAATGATACATCGAGCGCAATTCAATTAGGGTGTCGCTAAGGGCCATTCTTGTCAGATGTTGACCAAATCAGTAACATACTGGAAAAAGTCAATTGTATCATTAGATTTATGAATATGGAAGAAAAGAAAATATGTCTGTTTTAAGTAGTTTCCAATTGATGTTCTGTTATTTCTGCCTTCCCCAATAAGAGACAGGGCTGATGTACATGTATTTAAATTTTATTTGAGAAACATTTCTATTCATAAGAATAAACTTGACTTAAAAATAAGATATTTGTCTAAAAATAGCATATCATAAGTATTCCTATATTAATTTTAACATATTTGCGTGTATTTCAAATGATACAACGCTGTGTTGTATTAGATTTAATAATCTACAATCAATTTCATTGCTTTCGAATTTATTTAAATTTTGCTTTTGTATATAATTTATACATCATGTGTGTAATAACATGACATTATGAAAATAAATTGATATTTTAAAGAAAGACCTAAGAATTATGAAATAATGATCGGGTTCCACTTCACACGAGTAGATAGAATTTATAAAAATAATAAATAGCCTTTGTTACTAAGAATATAGCTTTCTATATATGAAAGAATTTTTAAAATCTGTTGAATTCTTTTTGGTTTATTCATTATGAACAAACAAATCTTTCTTCTTTATGTTATTAATATAGATAAAGAAGTACGGATATCATATCCTAATGTCACCGTATGGTCCCGGCATATAGAATAGCCCACATCTTCCTTTCCCGGGGGTGTTATAAAAGGGGAGATTAAAAAAAAACCTAAAGGTCGAGAGATGGGCAATAGCGTCCCTCTTAAAACATCGCCAATCTAACTGCGATTGCTAACCCGCCTGCCAAGCTTGGTAACTACTGACACCCCCAAAGAAATTGGGGGAGGCCTATATTCACCAGTGGATAGATGTCGACTAATAAACGATTTGCTGTATAAACTAGTGCTTATGCATTGCATTTTAAAAGAACAGCGAATTTTAATGTGCATAATAATAAATGTTATTGTGATAATGCTACGTGATTTATAGTACAGCTAGCTTAACGTAACGAGCTTGTAATTGAGCGAAAATTACTCTTAAAATGTAATATTCATATTTGACAGTGATGAAAAATATAGTATGCCATTTTTACCTTATATTAATTTAAATTATTATTTTTTTACTTTAGATACTGTAAATTATGATATTAGGCACATAACATTATCCTACCATATTGCGATTAATAAATTCGATATCTATGTTACTGTAAAATCAGAAAAAGCAAAAAGTAATTAGATTTACAGTAATTCTGGATTTTACAATTACAGACGAAAGTTTTGAGATGTTTAGTGTGTTATGCTCGTTTTCATGGTCAGAATAGTCGGTTGGGTTTACTTTTCGTGAAAGAGAGATTTTTTTTTTATAAAAACCTGGCTTTTCCGACTCATTTTGGTAAATCCCGGGATTTATTAGTTGAACCTAAGATTTACCAATGTATGGGTTTTTACAGTAACTTACATATTAGAATTTATCAGGTACTCATAGATGGCAAAATCTGAAAGCTATATAGCGAAAAATACTTAAAAATATCTGTATCGACTTTTTTTTATTAGGTTAACATACATTACTACTAACATAAACATACAATATTTTTTTCGTTTTTCTATCTACGTACTCCACTTATAAGTTAACCCGTATTCATAGCAAAAAAACTAATCATATAACATGGATCCAATATAATCCATTCACTTATTAAAAAATGAGTAGTATATTTATTGCACTACGACTTTTATACGTTATTAAAATTTGCTTTTACTACTTTAAGTTTTTAAAAACTTTAGCGCGAAACATCTCTAGAGAATTGAAAATATATTAAGGTCCAGTAATAAAGCCACATTCTGACTTTAAGTTACAACAATATGGTAACACAGGCACTTGTAACAAAATTATTACAACGAATCGGAAAGGAAAGTTTGTAGGCGTTCTTAGTCTATTTAACTACAATAAAAATATTATTAAAAAAAATATGATTCATACATTATAAAAGACTTCTCATCGCCAGCTCAATAAAATTTTTAAGTTTTCAAATTTCAACCAAATGATCAATAACAAATATCTATCCATTCTCACAAATTCTGACATTTATAATAATAGTGAGATTAAATAATACGTACAATATATATTGTATTCACAGAACATGTTCTTTTATCTTATACTTATTCGCAGTTAATAAGACTTAAATTAATATTAACTCCACTGTTGCTCTTCTTTCTACTTGCAATATTTAAAATCAGTCGTAATAAACCTAGCCTTCGAACAAGTATGATTTTCGGATTTGCTCATTGAAAAATAAATCAGACAAGTTATTATTTGTAATACATACAATATCTAAGCAAATACATATATACTATTTTCCAAACAACGACCTACTTCAGTCTTGACTATATCGATAAACGATAAAACGTTTCGTAGATGTCCTACAATGATATAGATACCCTGCATTTCAATTATGACTCATTTGCATAGGTAAAATTTATTCGTCACGAGCAGTTTTTGCTCCTCAAAGAACTATCTCATTTTCAATTATTACAAGATTAAAGTTGAACCAAAACAAGAGTAAACCCTATTGACTTCTAAAATAATTTCGATTGTCAGGTCAGTATTGGTGAGTGTAAAATAATCGCAAAAAATCACGCAGAGAAATAAAAATTCTGTCTTTTGGACTTCAATTAATACAAAAATCTTTTCTTAATTTAGCTTTCTGTTAAACACACTGTTATTTTGATAAAAATACGAACCAAGACTAACTAAATGTACCTATCATAGATTTCCATTTTCCGACAAGCATGTAAAAAACAATATTTTGTTACAAAGATTTAAGTAGATTACTTCACAGGATTTGATCTTTATAAGCGATATTATGAGCTTATATATATAATTTAAGTTCATTTTTCCAGTTTTTTAAATCGATTCCTGGCTAGGAAAAGTTATATTTTTAAAAAATCACATGATTTAGTTTTACTTTTTATAAAAATTGGCTCCAAGACTTTAAGAATTTTTCGCTATTTTAAAGTTCCCTAACCGTTACAAATGAAAACTTAAACTAATATCTGACATTTGATTTTATTAATATTTTAAGGTTGTTAGAGCTATTGCCAAGGCGTACATCTAGCCGTGTTCTTCAAAAAATAAAGCAAAAGGAGGAGGAAACGAAAACCACGCATGAAGGCAAAGAAGCAGAAGAGAGGAAAGAAACACCAGATCTTGCTCGGGAAAATAGAGCTAAAAGACGAAATTTATTAAGGTATGTAATATCAAATTGTTTTATTATGTTCCATTGCTAGCAAATAATGATTATAAAATTTAAATTGTAGGATACATGTTTTCTTTAGAATTGTAAATCGAAATGTTAAATTATATACAATAATATTTTGTTCAAGCTATTATTGTATTGTTTTGTTTAACTTCATATATTTCAGTACACAATGTCTACCGACAATAATAACACTACTTATTGTTAAATGAAAGAAACCTTTTAATTACGTCCTAATTTCCACGAGAACGCAACTTGAAATTATATCTTTAGCTGATACTCGATATTCTCAACATAAGGAACTTAATTAAATCTTGATGAAATATCTTAAGTTACGGAAATTTTAGTAGGTAAATTTACTACCTTGTTTTTAACAGACATTAAAAAGGCAAGGTTTGTAAAATAGTGAAACTATTGTAATTATCTCTAGATTAAATTGAGCAATTTTCTGCGAAACATAATATTATATTCCGTTATTTACAAAATTGGAATATCCTAAAAAATAACTTGTTATTAAAAATGTTGTCAAATAATATTCACAACAATCATTTCCATTTAAAAGTTTTGAATAAGTTCATGATATTTACAGCATAGTTTTAACATCTTTGTTAGCTCCTTGAAATGCCACCTCTTCACTAAAATTTTTGACAATGAATTTGTCCGCGTGGCTGAGGTATGTTCACTGACCGGAATAAAAAATAAACTATGTGATTTCATAGTCATTGCTTAAAGCGCTAAATATTAACAACTAAACAAACTCACTTTCACATTTATATTATATATTAATAAGGATGTATTATCATTTTAAACCATATTTTTTTAATTAACGAAAATAGAGTAGTATGCCCACACCTATCGATATACGTTGACGGAGTACCAGTGAGAAATGATAGGCAGATATTTAATATGAATACAGTAATTACTGTGCTAAAATATTTCAAGAAATAAAATAAACTTATAGTAGTCCTAGTATAAATACTTAATGCTCTCCACGAAAGAAATCTTTCGTAAATACCACTAATCGCACCATTACCATTAGTATGTTTTGAACTAAATTTCTATTTAAACTTGTTTTTTGCCTGCTACGTCATATTCGTGGATCTCAAAATTATTGAAATAAATAATCTCCAAATGGCATACCACGATTAAACGGATACAAAGTTTTAAGATAGACCTTCAGAAATACTACTGTAAAAACAGCATTTAATTTACTGCAGTAGTTTTTGCGTGATGCCAGAATAGACATATAAATAGACAAAAATTCTTAAAATATTGTTTTAGCTTCTTATGATCTTATTAAGACTCTTCAGATTTTTTTTCTTAAATATCACCGATGTAACGACATTATCTAGTACAGTTTTATTTTCAGAGGGTACTCAGTGCCTAAGTCAAACCCAGTCGTACCATCCTTTTTTGAAGCAACTCACTGAACTTTGACACCCTGTAACTTCATTGATTTTGCAAGAAGTTTTATTTTTAGTGATCAATAAAACATATTATAACTGGCGATATTGTCAATGTACCTAATAATTATACATTATATTTTACAAACTATCGGTAGTCAAAGTTCTTTATTGATATTGTCACTGACACGCTCACCTTATATATAGCATACTTCTAGCAATATCGCTAACTTCAATTTGTAAATTTTAGTTAGCGTTTAGTCTAAAAGGAAGGAAAAATGAGAAATCCCCAAATTTATTTATTCGTTTTTATTGAACGTAATATAATGAGTAATAAAAGTTACTTTCATATAAATATCAATCAATAACTAGAGCGATGCGTTATTTAAAAAAATAACGCATCGCTCTAGTTATTGATAAAAAAGCTATATTAAACATAGATAAAAAGAAGAATGACTAACAAAAATAATAAAATCCTATCAGAAACAAAAAATTATGAGAATTCGTGTAAAACTAAGTCAACGACTACATATAATCTATCTATAAAATACTATTGTTAGGTGATTTTTTATTATAATAATATCATAAGAAGAGAATAATATTATAAGGAAAATATTAAAAGATAATCGAGCGAGAATCACTCGATTATCTAAGAAATGGAACAATAAGGGAAAATTATTCAGTATTAATCCGGCTGGATCCGCTCGATTTGAAAATGAGGCCGGATTGCAATCCCTAAGTATTACTATATGAGAATACAATCGGGTGAGTTGCAGGGACACAAAAAAAACAAAACACACATGGGTACGTTATTGGCATTGAATGAGTCAAGTTTACAAACCAGCTACAAGCGTGTACTAACAAATTTAAAATTAAATTGAAAGGATACTATATATAGATCAAGTACCCAGAACCCCCAGAAGGTACTTTTTTTTTAAATTATATATATAAATTATTATTGTATATTAACTTGTCTTGACTAAAGCAAATAACCCTATGTGGTGTATAGAGTCTGTTTTATAGCCTGAATGCTATAAAATAACCCAAATGAACTAATGAGGGCATAAGTTTCTGATAATATGTTTATTTGCAGCAATTTGTAAATATAAAAATATCCATTTTTAACAAATTATTTTAAAACTGCTGCGAATTAAAAATATTGAGAGAGAAAATGTAACTTTGTAACTAAAATAAATCTGCGCATTTTGATATATTTTATGAACATTCTAACTAAAAATCTGACCAAATTATGAATATGATAATGCCTACACTTCAACCCTGTTATTTTTTACATTTTGACCTAACCTTTGAAACACTTGTAAATTTATACATTAAAATTAAATTTAGTAATAATCTCGAAAGACCGATAAACAAAAGTTCCAATACAAAACTTTATTATATATACATGCTACTGTGGGCTGAGATATCGGGCGCTCAAATTCTCAAAAACAATCCAAAAACAAAGATATGGCAATAATTTTGAAATTATAATACAAATTTTAATGAGCTCGTTTGAAAGCGAATAATATAATATCTTTGATGCATATTAAATACTAAAACCAAAGACATCTCGAGAAAAAAAATTTAGGGACATCTTTTTACAAAATACTACTAGAATAATCATCATGTCGCTATATAATATATATACACATAAATAACGTATTAAAATTAAAATAAAAGTTGTAAAGGTATTAACAATGGATGCATTAGATAGAGAAACTGATTACGATTAGAACAAACTCAAATCATCATCATGATGATTAACCGTTAACTGTCCGCTGCTGAACATAGCCTTTCTCCTATTAGGAGATTTTGCCAATATTTGTCACGCTTGGCAAGCGGATTGACAACCACAGTTAGGTTTTGGTAATGTATAAAGTGGAACGCGCTGCCCATTTCTCGACCATTACATTTTCTTAGTCGCCTCTTACGACACCCACGGAAAAGGAAGGGGTGGTATTCTTTGCCGGAATCACACAGCCAAACAAACTCAAATAGTTTAATATAAATTCTAATTTCATCTTTAGTAATTGAGACCGAAAGATAACGCTAACTGGAGAAAATTCATATGGTTGTTCCGTCCGCATTTTAAAGAGCCCTATACAAATGTTCTATCTTAAAATTATCATTACTTGTTAAATTTTTCATCTAGGATGTTGAATAAAATACCAAAACGTGCAGCATTACTTCAACAACAATGTCTTCTTTAAACGTTTTTTAATTTGTTAAGTAATTTTTATGTTATTTGCGAAAGACTTATATTTTTATTTTTAACCGCCTATAAATATCGTTTTGACCTCTCCTATCGTGGTGGATTTTTTTACAAAGTTATCTTAACTTTATAATCAACTAAGCCAAAAAAAAAAGTTTGCAGCAGTTTTTCATATGCCTTCGATTTATTTTTCCTATGCCAAAAACTTGTTTTTAAAATGTATCTAAACAAGTTTAACTTATTAGACTTAGTTTTGATTTTTATGTATGATATTCGGGTAACTATTTAAATAGTATTTATGCAGCGTGACCGAAGGATCGAAACGCAATTAAAATTATGGATGTAATCTCGATTATAATAATTAAATATTTTATAAAATATTTTTTAAATCAATTGATTAACGCGACTAGCCGCCAGAGTTTAACAATGGTAATGAAGTCTGCCGGAAATGCCAAAAATAGGTTCTTTCGCGCACGGTACAGTACATGTTTGTAGTGGGTGGAGTTTCCATATACCTATGTACTTTATTCCTTCTACCAACGCGGCGTTTCCCCACTTAGTCCACGTATACTTTAGAAAGATTGGCTGTTAGGGAATACCGTTAACTTTAAGCCCGCCTTTTATACCATATTTTATTGGTCAATAAAGTTTAATAAATAAATAAATATAGTAGCACAATCATGCTATAGATGCATGTGCATGATTATGCACATGCATCATGCAGTCCCTTTACGAACTGCGAGAGCGCACGTCGCCCTACCGCACTTCGTTTGATTTAAAATTTTGGTGTGTTCCATGTGTGTTAATAGTGTCAGACAAATTAGAATTCAGGACTCACAATCTGTCATTAGGGTTTAAGGGGACAGGGGTAGTAAACCTAAATAATAGTCATGCTTATAATTTAAGATAAAAAAAAAACTAGTTCAATTGTTGCAAAACCAGTTATTTGGATTTAAAAATTATTTAATTTTTTTTTTAACTTAAGTAAAATTTTTAAATAATTATTACTGAATCGATTTTGATAAAATTTCTATGGGATCAATTTACAAGTATATACTTTCAGGTAAAAAAAAAATTTTTCCAGTATACGCAGTTATGTAGTAACGAATATAAAAAGGAGTATAACCGAATTGAGAATTTTCTTTTTGAATAGATACGTAATCTTTTATAAATGCTATAAGCCCCCTATATAATTGTCATATATACATGTCTTTTCTAATATTAAGTAGGTGTGTACACCAAAAATGTGTTAGTTTACTATCTACAATTGGTACACAACAACAACGAACCAAATTAGCTAACTTTCATAAAAATATTACTAATTGTAATTGGACGATGTCTATACATGGCAGATTTTAACAAAAAATATGAGGGCAATAGATGCCGAAACAATAATTTTCAGACATTATACCGATTTGTTTGTATGTTGTTTACGGTATCATGTAAAAACTACTGCACCAAATTGGCTACGTTTTTCACAGTTGTGTTCCTGAATGTCTAACTTAAAAAATTGTTTATACCATGTGTATCCATTTTATCGTGACACGTTATTAGGAAGTGGTCTATTTAATTGGTTATCCTGCTTCATAGATTTACACGTGCGAAGTAGCGAGCAAAAAACTTATTTATACTAATATTATAAATAATAAAAGGTCGGTTTGTTTGTAATTAATTAACTCAAAAGTTACTTAACCGATTTTAAAAATTCTTTTATCTGTAAAAAGCTAAGAGTAACATAGACTATATAGCATGTTCGAAACTTCTATCTACCCCTGCAAAGCCTGGCTGGATCGCTATCTAAGGTACGATCTGAGATTTTTAAATGATTTTAGATGTGAGAACTGCACGATTTTCTAATTTCATTTACGTATACTTATCAACAAAATTTTGTAACAAGAAAGATGTTTACAAATTATAAATTATTACCTACCTATTCTAGTTCAAACATCGTATTTATTTTGATTTGAACAAACTGATTTTTGTGTTACAGCTAAAATTTGCAAAATGAAAATATATAAGTTTAATTTTCACATCAGAGTGTTTATTATTTAAAAAGTGTAATTGTGTTCTTTTTTTTTCCAAGTGGCTTTGTTTCTTAAGTAATATCAAGAAAGTATCAAAATCTTGACAAGTTTTGTTACATTTGTGGCGACATACTTTTAAAATTCGCAAAGAAATTTAACGTCATTAGTAACTAAGTTATATAAAAAAGTGTTTTGGCTTTGCCATCGTACAACAAGACAAATCACAATTCGAAAGTTTATAGAGATTTCAGGGTCATCCACATGAGACACAAAAAAATATCTACCTATGATATAATTAATCATTTTCCTTATTAACCCCATCAACCTCTGTATATATATATATATATATATATATTAAATTATTATATATTATTCGTGTAAAACCTGGCCTCCTAGACAATTGACAAGCGATTCTATCGATGGAATCGTTATCGCATATGAGTCTATGAGACATTGGACATTGCAATATATATATATATATATATATATATATATATATATATATATATATATATATATATATATATATATATATATATATATATATATTAAATTATAATATTTAGATATATTAATTTTAGGATACTTTAATATCAATTTTAGCAGTGTTTACACACCTAGTAAACATGTCTAGGCTAATTATTACATTTTATTATTATTGAATTATTATAGCTTAGTAATTTAATACCAATAAAGAAAAATATAAAAATGAAAGAATATACATATGTCACGTCTCTAATAAAATAATGAACGTTAATTTCAGATCAAAATCAGTTTCATCAGAGACATCAGAAAATACAGCAAGCGAGAGTCACGACATCATGCCTCAAAAAGTGACTAAGCAATCCAAAAACCAAGATAAACGGTCAAAAAACTCCTCCGCTACCCAAAAAGGAGAACCTCCACCAGAGCCTCCGATAAAAGCCGGCAGAAAAACAAATAATTCATTAGCATCTGCTACAGGGCAAATTTTAATACCAGATAATGATGAGCCAGTAAATAGCACCAGAAAGAAACTAAAGACATCACAAATGTAAGTGTAAAGTTGCAATTAGTTGATTTTTTCAATTAATTGCTAGGAAATAAGTGTCTGACATGAACAAATGTTTGAATTTTAATTTTACATTAATTAATTATTACTATAATTTATGAGCACATTTATTCTATATCGATATTTCGTACACTTTTCAGTGTTAGAGGTCGTGAGGTGAGATTTGAATAGTTGCAACACAAAAAAATGGCGCGAATTCCTTTAAATGAAATATGAATGTTTATGCTTGAAATTTAAGATTTTTATGATAAGTGATTCCTTTATTAGTTTTATTTTTTGTCTTATAATTTTTGTACGTTTTTAATAGCAAGTACTGATTTTATTTATTAAATAAGTAAATATAAATGCGTCAAAATACAATTAACTGACAAAAAGTTGACTTGTTATTAAAACGCAATGCTCTATCTACATAATCTAAGCCATTCACTATTAGATAGGCTGCATATTTGCCAGTTTCGTGGTGAAAAAAGATATGTCATTATTAATTAATTTATTTAATATTTATGTATACAAAGTTAAAGGATATATAATTCACTGACAAAGAACGCACAGTCTACATCTGATGATTTCTAATAAATACTGCGTGAATTAGTAGTAATCGCAAATGATTGCTAATTGTCACAAAAAATGTATTATGTAACGTGATCACTTCCTAAAAGCTACACCTTTAAACGTCAAACGAGTAATCAACTGGCAAAGGACAGGATTATGAGAAATTTTAGTTTATAAATCGCTTTGCGATATTTACTCATCAATCCCATTTAGCTAATAGAAAACATGTGAAAAAATAATATTTTACGTACTCGTACGTAATAAGATTGGTCGTGTGGTCCCAACATAGAATAGATCATACAGTGGTTGAAGTAAGACGCAACCGAGGGAATTTAATGGTCAAGGAATGGGCAGCAGCCTTACTCTTAAAACATCACCAAAGCCTAACTGTAGTTGTCAACCCGCTTGTCAAGCGTAGCAACTACTGTCAAATCCTCTTTTATAGAAGAGGTCTATATATATAAATAGTTAACGACAGTTGTTGTAACATGATTACTTTCTAATATTCCTAGTCATTTTATTTCATAAAAAAAATATAAAGAAAAAAGTGTAAACAAAAAAGTATTAAAAGATCATATGTGCGTCGATCGTTTTGCGATAAACCATCCAACAGCACGTTTATATTTACTTCAGAGCCGTCATAGCAATCAATAATCAGAGCTGATTATTTTAAGTGAATAATAAAAAAATTTATAAAATCTTTCCAACCTTTACCTTTTCTTGGTCATGGACCACTTTCATATTAATCTTGTTAGCAGGGACTACTATGTAGGTATAATAAAAATAAACTAATAATCAAACTGAAACTTTAATTAAAAATCCCTAAAGGGTATAACGAAACAAAAGGAGGTAACGATTGAATTCATAAATAAGTCTTGATGTTTTCTTGTATATTTGCTTTACTTGCATCATACTTTTTGTCTTCCACGAGTGCTTTTAATGTCGCAAACGCAGAATAATTATTTTCTTTAATTTTACGTAACCACTACTGAAGTTTACAGGGGGGAAAGGGATTGTTAGTAATGGAGACTGAGAATCCCATTGCTAGCAATATAACCCACCAGGTCGACCTCCTCGCGGTTTTCCCTGGAAACTATCATGGTTAATTCTTGATGAATTCATCATGATGGGCTAACTGGCCTGTTTTCATTCTCATCTATCACTCGTCATTGGTGCTCCGCCAGCGAATCCCGTTAGCGCAGGCGGGGTTACCATACCTTTTTCACTCATAAAAAAAACTAAAGTTTACAAATAAAAGCGCAAAGTTTATCTACAAAAATGAATATATTTGCGACGTTTTCTAATTGTTTATTTCCGGAACCTTGCAGTTGCATATTCAATGTATTTGTATGTCAAAATATCCACAAGATAAGCCCAATTCATCTGATATTTGTTAGCCGGATTAGTAAGCTGTTTCAACATCTTTGATTTTTTTGTCATGCAGAAAAATCTCAACCTCTGCTTCTCAGTTCATATAATCTTCCCAACATATTACCTTTCAAAAACTATCAAACTTTTGTATGAAAGAGAAGTGCCTCATGGTCAGAATCCATTTCAGTGTACATTTTCTTTTAAAAAAAAGGCGTTTATTTAAGGCGCTGCTTTTGATAACATTTATAACTTTTATGGCCATTTGCAGTGTATCATTAAGGCATCCAGGAAGTCTTAGAAGCTAACCCCTGGCGAGTGTATGATACAGTGCGTTGTTATTACCTTAGGATTTTTCTGTTTTACTAACGTCGCCAACCCGGAACATTGCCGGAGCACCATCAGTACAGAGAGCAACAAGTTTATCCCACATAAGATTATGTTTCTCAAAATATTCCGATATTGAGTTCATGACGTCGATACCTTTTGATATTGTTTCCAGTTCCCGTGAAATGTATAATTCTTCTTTAATTATGTTATCGTCTATCGTCTAAAAAGCGAACAAATACAAGTAGTTGACAACAATTAGAAATGTCGGTCGATTCATTACACTGCAAAGCGAAAAATGGCAACGTTTTGATTTTTGAGACAAGTTGCTACTCTATATCATTTGACATAAGTTTAATTCGTGCTTTGACCGTATTATTGGATAAAGGTATATCTTGTATTTTTTTCTTGGCCTCTAATCCCAAAACTTCTTCGACGTCTTTAATCAAACACGCTTTCACGAGTATTTCTCCGACTGCGTGAGATTTTTTAGATTATGCTATTAATTTAGAAATCTTAACCGACGTTACTAATGTTTTTTTCCGATGTTGCAAATCTCGTACCACTAGACTCGAGTTTCATTTTTTAAGTTCTCTAATTTTCTTTCAAAGAATTCTAGCGGACGGTCAAACAAATTTGAAGGTACCGTTTCTAAGTGGCGTTTTAATTTCACTGGTTTCAATGCGTTATTTGCGAGAACGGTTGTGCATATAACGCACTGAGATTTTATTTCTCCATTACTTTCTATCGAGGTACATCCAAATTTTATATTACTATTGTCGTATTTTCTCTTAGGCGCCATATTCTGAAAATAAAATACAATAAAATTAACCGAATATATATCAAAAAAATTAAAAGTGTAAGCTAGGTTAAATAAAAATATTTATTTTTGAAATAATATCCAAAGTACTTTTAGTTTACAAACAATATACTACTTTGCCATAGGTACAATCCCGCCAAAAGACATAAACAGAAATAGACTCATTAAAAATGTTCAATTAATGACGGCCCGAAAACGATTGGAAAGGGTTAACAAAACCAAATGTTCACTTACTTATATTATTTACGAACAAATCCAATCCAATCCAATTCAGTTAAGAACAACGGTCAGTAATGAATGATTCACTTTCTAACACAGTTATGTAATACATTTAAATATAGCAAAGCGTAGATAATTCCTTGCACACGATACACGTTCAATTGTGGGCAGACGTTGTTTTTCTACATTGTAGACAATCACTTCGAAAAATTAATTATTATATATTTTTTTCCTATAGCATGTATATGTATTCTGCCATAGTAAAAAATAGTCTGTATTACTCCTCAGTATTAGTTTTCGTTGCGTTTTCGTAATAAAATAATAATAATATAATTTACTTCCAAATCTAGAGGGCGTATCAAAATAAAACATACACCAGTTGTAAGTTAAACCTTCAGGAACACAAATGTAAAAACTGCATCCATTTTGGCGCATTAATTTCTGTGTGATGTCAGAAAAAAACACACTGACAAATAAAATTTAAAATAATATGTATTTGTTTTGACTTCTTATACTTTTCTTAAAAGTAAAGATTAAAAGATAAAAGAAGAAAAAGACAATTTTATTATATTAATGGTGTTTTGTATTTTACGTGTATGCATTTCAAATAATACACAACTCTGGCAATATTCATCACCATCATAATATCAATCTTTTACTGTCCAGTGCTAATAAGCCTCCCCCTTGGGAGGGTTTTGTCAGTAGTTGCCACGATTGGCAGGCAAATTGGCAACCGCAGTTAGGCTTTGGAGATGTTTTAAGAAGGGCGCTGCTGCCCGTCTTTCGCCCTCCCACGAAAGAAAGAAAGGGGTAACCTATTCTATGATGGAACACACAACTTACTATATTATACAGTACAATTCTATCAATATTACACCATTATATTATGGAGAACAAATAAACAAATATAGAAAATATATGTAAAAATGTAATCTTAAATTTTCTTTAACAAAACAATTAAAACTCAATAGTCTCCTTAACATGTTATTCTATATTGCAGATTTAGTCAAATGGATGAAGACATTCAAACTGATATGTATAAGGTTCTAGAACAACTTACTGCTCATGAAGACGCGTGGCCTTTTATGGACCCCGTTGACGAAAAATTTGCTCCTAACTACTATGCCGTTATTAGACGCCCTATGGACCTAAGAAAAATGGAGGAACGTCTTGACAGTGGATATTATACCGACTTCTCTATGTTTAAAGCTGATTTTAAACTAATTGTTAATAACTGTCGTTTATTCAATGGTCAAGATAATGGTAAGACTGATTTATCTATAATTTTGAATTTTTAACTAGAATTTTGATATTTCTAATATCCTTTACAATGAAGCTTATTTGACAAAAAAAAGAGCTAGGCTCTCTTTTTTGTCAAATAAGTTTTAAAGTTACGAAAAATAGAAAATCTAATGTAATAAAATGAATAATTTTAACATTTTCAAATTATCTATGCCCATAGAGTAATTTTTAAAATGTTTAATTATGTTAATATTATGGTGATTTATTATGCAACTTAATTTTTTATTATTACATTATTTCAGAATATACTATGATGGTTGACAACTTACAAGCTGCTTTTGATCGCCTAACAGAAAAATATATACATAGACTCTCATCATCTGATGAAGAAATTGCTGTTGAATACCAATTGCCGACGCCTTCTAGAAAACACAAACTAAAAAGTAGTGAATCTCCTAGTCGTCATAAGAGAAAGAAACGGAAATCTCATTCTGATACTGGTATAAAAATATGATTATATTATTATTAATCATTATTAATAATCAATAACGAGTTCAAATTTCTAAACAAAAATAAATTTGTGGTGTACTTTCTTATCTACATTATTAGGTGAGTAGGAAATTAGAGATAGTGTAACTCACCTAAACAGTTACTACCACCTCATATATTTCTGCTGCGAATGAGTTATGATGTTTAAATTTGAACTTTAGAAAGAGTGGGTTTGAGTATAAGAAAGGATATTTATCTTTAATAAAAATAACATAGCCTGTAAATCGTTGACACTAGAACTTAATAGATCGTGCTAAGTGCCAATACACTTGGGTTGCCATGATGATGTTCTATTATATGTACAACTAAATAATTAACGACTACAATATCTATGGGATAGATTCTATCCGATATCTAACCGCCAACTCCCTTGCGATTTCTAAAGAGATTACTGTGAATAGAAACCATATGAAAATAATAAATGTAAAAATTTTGTTACTTAATCACACCTAAACATCTAGATGAATTTAATAATATCAAATACTTTCGGCCCTAATTCATTTGGAAAAAACTTAATATTACGGGGCTTTATAATATATAATAAAGTCTAATAATTTTGAGGAACAACAGATTAATTAAAACCTAATAGGATAAGGATAGATTATAATAGATAACAAATTTGTTTACTATAAAATAATAACACTGCATTCCTTTAGGGAATTTACCATCATATGTTCATGAAACAGAAAATAACTAAATAGGAAACTATGACCACTATCAGGTGTAATTATTATACAGCATTTACAATATCCTGATATGTAATTATTTTAGAAAATAACAATTATAACTAAAACTATCATAATAATTATGGAACTTTTCTCATCAAAATTAAATAATTGCAGGTGAACCGAAGTCAAGTTCATCAGATCTCTTACTAGAGGAAAATCAAGATGACTCTCTTAAATCAGATGGTAAAAAATCTAAAGAATCTCATAAACATAAAGACGGCAAAGGAAAGAAAAAACGTAAAGGCCACCATCGTCATGGCAAACATTCCAAAAACCATAAAAAAGATTCCCATAAATCTGGTCATAATGAATCTTCGAAAACGAAACATGGTAAGAAGCATAATAAAAGTAAAGACAAGGATGGCAAAAAATCTAAACAAAAGAAGAAAAAGAATAAACACCATGATTTACCAGATTCTAAAGATATTATTAAAAGAACGGCATCTCAAGAATCCTTAGAGAGTTCTAACCGAAGCAGAAGTGCTAGTCCTTTACCATCTATACACACGCCAACTCCTTCACCTACTGAATTAGATCAGCCTGAACAAAATGATCAGTTAGCAGACCCCGATTTCTTCAAAGATAAATATGACAAAATTAAAGAACGAAGACGACATGCAGCTAAGGAAGCCTGGGAATCATTATTTGATTACAAACAAAAAGCAAATGATAAACAAAATTTACATATACCTGAAAAAGACAAAAATCAAAAATTAAGGGAAACTATAGAAAAATTAAAAGCAAAAAGTGAACGTTATAAGGACACCTCAATTTTTAACAGTTTATTTCCTGCTAGTAACAGTAATACAGATAAAGTAACAGATTCAAATAATGAGAAGGAATCATCAAACAAGGAAGCAGAAGAAATCAATTTATCAGATGATGATACTGGTGATAATCACAAAGGAAAATCTAGTACTAAAAAAGCTCTCAAAAAGAATACTGCTAAAAATGAATCTGCTTCTGAAGCTTTAGAGCAAGCTGTTAAAGATATCAGTAAATGGTTAGATGATGCTCCTAAAAGTTCTGCATTGAGCTCTCCCTGTGATAGTCCTGCCCAAACTATATCTACCGAAGAACATGATAACAGTCGTTTAGATGACGAATTTTCTCAGGGTGAAAAAGCTGCTCTAATTAGAAAAGAAACATCACGTAAACGCCCTTCTTCTCGTGAACCAAAAATGGTTAAAAGAAGAGAGATTCAGAGAACCATAGATAGATTGCAACCTGGAAAAGGCAAAGGAAACTTATTGACAAATCTTAGCAATAAAAATGCTGAAAAGTTAGAAGAGGTAACACCACTAGGTCCACTTAATAAAGTCCGTGATGTCAACAAAGGGGATGAATCTAGTCCCAAATTAAGTCTTGGATCAGTTCTACCAACAGTGGAATTTGCTATTGGAAATGATCATAATTTCAGTAACTCTGATGATAATAAGAATGAAGATCAAAAGGATATTTCTAAATTGCCAGAAAATATTCCAAGTGATAAAGATGAAGAAAAGCCATCTGAAACGAAAATAGAAAATAATGTTCAGTCTAATAAAAAGGATGCTGAAGTGGAAACTGAACCCCCAACAACTACAAAACCAAGTCAAGAAAAAGCTACACCAAATTTAAGTGCATGGTTTAAAGCATTTGGTGCACCAAAAAATACAAATTCATCAATTCCAGTAAAAAAGAAATCAGAAGATACTGATATTGAAGAGAAAACAGTTGAAAATACTAATGATAACAAGTCTTCGAGCCCTAAAAATACAACCAAATATGATTCTCCAGCTGATCCAGATACTCCAAACCCTGATGGAGGTGACAGTCCACTTCCCAATGTTACAACAACCCCGAGACAAAGAAGAACAAGTACGGGAAGTTCAGTATCTGAAAGATCATCTTTTAGTCAAGATCTAGATTCACCAAGACATCAGATGTCTCACACATCACCTCTGCTACGATCGCCAGCTTCTCCAAGAACTGACGAATTTCAGAAAATCACATATCCAATTATAAATGGTACTGTACGAGCAGGATTCTATCAAGACACGACATCCATTAAAAGTAGCCCTGAAAAAAGTTGTAGCCCACGCGAGGCTCCCCAGTCACCTTATTCTCCTTATTCACAGCATGTTTATGCATCCAATAGTGTACTAGGGTCTTCAACACCTAATTATTTTGTAGACCATAATAAAAGTCCATTACCAACGTATAGTAATAATCCTCCTTCTTATTATGACACATCTAAGGCACCAATTGTCAGTAAAACTAATCGTAGTAGTAATGATTTTGCTGCTATGGAGCCTGAATCATATCAACAAAATCAATATAGTGGACCATTTTCCCCAGCACATACTTCATATCAACAGCCACAATCATCAAGTTATTCACAGTCTCAAAGTTCACCACAATCAGTTACAAATCCAACTACTTCCATAAACTCTACTCAGTTAGTACCGGAAACTAAAACATCTTTATTTCCTGTTAAAAAACGAACATACAATGAGCTAGAGATGCCTGCTACATCTACCAAAAAATCCTCTGAAACTAAAGATAGTGGTGCACCAACTAAAAATGAATATCAGAAAATATCCCAACCTTTTCATTCAATATCATCTGCCACTTCCGTTGACGATATAGCTTTAGCGTTAACTGAGAAATCTGAAATGGCCAAGTTGAATAGTTTACGTGAAAAAAATACAGGTGATTACATCGAAAGAAGAGATAACCGTGATAATATCACATTTGACAATAATGACATGCAAGAGAGTAAAAAAGAGCCCACTATGGAAACTAATAAACCTATCGCCATTACTAAAAAAGATAATGTTGATATGGTGAATATGGGCTATATGAATCCAGATGGAGAAAGGAGGACCAGTGGAGAAGTGGACTATACTTTGTCTAGAGAAGTTACAAAATCAGCCATAAATTCACAGCAGAAAGGTTTTGAAGTTGAAGCTATCGCCATAAATCTTGGTATAAATAACCAACAGTTGCAAAAACCGATATCGAAAATGAATATAAATGTTAATAATATACCTCCTGCACATCTACAAGATCGGTCACATAATGAAATAATCATGAATCAAAACATTGCCCACTCTCATCATAATCAGTATGACGCTATTTCTACTGGGTCATCAATAAGTAACTTTTCACTGAGTGACATAGAATTAGCTAATAAAAAACTTTATGCATGTAACACCAATTCTTCAACAGCTGCTCTTGATTATGGCAATTGGAAGATGAGTAATCAAATTCGGAAACAAGAACTTTTACCTTCTGATTACTCTACCAACTATAATACTAACAGTGCAGACAAATTGAAAACGGACAGTACAGTAAATCCGAATGTCATTCAGTATAACAAGAACTTGCAACATCAACAATACAACAATTACAATGTACCTAGAACCAGTATTCAGAGGACACAAGAAATGCAACAAAATATTCCAGCAGAATTGAGAATACCTAACCCTAGAAGTCTTCTTAAAAATGAGCACATAAATGTATCTTCCTCTATAAGTGATAATGAATTGATTGCCAAAAATATTGATACTCTTGCCAAATCCCAAAAATCTGAAAAACTTGTACAAAATCATGCATTGGTTAGTTCCATTCCATATAAACCACCATACAGTACTCATTCTTCGCTTCCTTTGGAAAGTCTCCGTAATTTACCCAAAATTCCCCAAATGTTAGAACGGTATAATGAGGAAAGATATTTGTCAACTTTCACTGGCAGTACCTCATCTTTATATCATGAAAAAACTTTTCAAATGGCGCAAATGTTCAATAAAAGTATAACTTCAGAAGTTCATGTTGCAAGCACATCTGGAACTGTTTACTCACAACCATCTACATCAATAAGTAAAGACAACAGTATTTATAAATCTCCAAGTTCCACATTATCTGATTCAAAAGCAAAGAACAAAAGGAAGAGAACATCTGAAACAAAACAAACACAAATAACAGCAAGTCAAACTTATCATAGCTCACCCTGCAACACTGAAGTTTTATCCTCTGTGAAGACAAGCATGATGCCAGGAAGCGCATTCAACTTTTCAACTTCCACAAACATGACTCTTGGTAGTGGACTTTATGCAGACAATAGTGGTTTTTCTATAGAAGATTTTCGAAACTCTAACCTTATGGCAGCTACTAATTATATGGCTGCAGTGGCACATCAACAACGCAATAGTTCTGAAGCTAATACTGAGAAATTGGTCAAACCGGCACATCAAAACACCAGTCACGCAGCTAGTTCTTTTCCTTTCATAAGTCATTCACAAGTACGAGCGGGATATCCTTATGTGGGAGCAGATCCATCGTCACCTCTATATCAACAGTACCTGCAAAGACATCAAGAAGAGCTTCTGAGGCAGACTGGTGCTCAAATCATGAGTTTGTACCAGCCAGGTTATCCCACTAGTATCGGCGTCAGACAACCATATGATACCATCAATCGTCCATCGTGGCTCTAAATGCATCTTTATTAGAATTACATCACTATGTGAAACCTTATTATAATCATAAATGTGACAATTGTTATAGGAAATTGTATTTTACATTGTTTGTAGATTTCAGATAGCATTTTTGTGAAAGTATATCTTATTTACATAGTATTTACAAGAATTGTTTTCAAACATGACAAATTAACTTTATATGACTGCCTTGCTTTTTATTATTTGTTAATGGTCATTAACAATATGAGACTAGATAAGTCTTGAGATAACATCTAAATTAACTTAGTTTGATTGTAAGTTCTTCTCTAATATTATGTTAAGCTATTATGAACAAAAATTAGTCTTATGTTAAAACATCACAATTCATTTTATGTACATAATTTACGTTATATATAGCTTAGTATTACGTCTGTCTCAATTAATAATTTCAGTTGAAGACACAACCCTTGCAATATAATCATAATAAGTAGATAAGTATAAATATTTAATTTACACATCACATAAAATGCAATTGAACTTTTGAATTAATTTACTTTTTTTTTCTTTTTAAGGTCACATATTATCATAAATTGTTATGAAGTAATTTTAAAGTTTTATATAAACTACTTAATTTGTTGTGTAAATATTTCTCCATTTTTATTATCTTCTATATTTTGTTAGCTTTTCAAACATAACTTTATCAAGTAAAATTAATAAGTATTAAGAAGTTCATATAAGAGATAAATAATTCTTCTTGTGTAAAAATGAAAATAAAGATTTTCAAGATAAAAATGTTATTTATTTTTGCAGCTCTATGTATGTGGTTATATTACATTAAAGCAAAATAATTGCAGGCACAAAAATGTCAAAATTATTATTATTATATCTTTTACATTTCTTTGTTTCTAAATTATTTGACATTACGTTTACAACACAACTTAATTCTACTTACATGGGAATTTTTGAAAAGAACAAAGCTAAATTACCTGTTTCTGATCTTATATATGGACCGAATTTTTTATTGAGACAACCTATTATTACAAATTTACCACAATTGTTTCCGGAGAGACCAGTCGAAGATGCGACTGACCTCCCCTGCTAAAAAAGTGACGAAAAACGAAATTAGATTCCGAATTTGGATCTAGAGCACTGAATATTATTAATCTACAAGAGTCAATTGCGAGCCTATTGCGACATTTGTGACGAATTCACCAAGAATTATTGTTTTTCAGTGGGAACCTCGACCTGATATTTATTATTACATACCATAGGGCTACTAGTTGCCAGAAGTAGAATCCCTAACATTTCCTGTTGATCTAATCTATATACTTATCAAAATTTAATAATAATGTCTCCGATCGGACAAAATACAATAATGATATTGGCAATTTAATGATTGCAATTTGCTATATAAAATTTGGATTCAATTAAACCCTAGTGAGGGGGATTTGAATCTGCAACTTCTGTTTCATCCGAGTCTATGCCATGTAATTGAAATTACGAAAATTCCTATTCTTCCATTCCTTTCTTCATCTACAAGGGTGGATTGAAAAATACTCGGCCTAAACAGAAAATCAATTATATATATTTTTTTACCTGTAAAACCATCAAGCTACATTCTACCTACTCTACATTTAAAAATTCTACTGCTGCTTTGACCTCATCATCAGTCGAAAATTTTAAACTTTCCAAGTGCTTTCTTAAGTTAGGTAACAGAGAAATGCCTGATGGTACCAGATCAGGAGAATATGTGGCAGCTGTGATAACAATTCAAAGCCACAGTTGTGAATTTAATTTATTAACTGAACAGCTCTTAAATGATGCATTTTTTATTTATCTTCTCACATAAGTGAAATAGTAAGGTGCAGTAGTAATCGGAGTTTATGGTCTGACTTAAAAATATCTATAAATGACCATTTTCAAGATAATTAATATGCCCAAAATATTCTATGATCATAGCTATTGGCCACAATTTCAAAGAATAGACATGCTTTATCCTGTTCAATGCATGTGGGCATTTTCAGGATCAAATTCCGTTTGATAAAAGCCCAAAAAAATATTTTTTTTTTTAATAAAATCTTTAGATTTACTAATTCATATCAGTAAATCCTAAGATTTACTAATGCATTAGCTCTTACACTAAGAGATATACTGAATTATTTACCTCAGTATTCATACACCTATACATTATTAAAAATTGTGTTTAATGGCAATGTGATTTTACATCACACTACTGTTGAACAGAATTTTTCAGTATTAATGATCAAGTAGATGTCATGATGCAAGCGGTGACAATCACCTTAATATCAGAATATAATTTAAAAAATATTGAAAGAAAAAAAAAACAATTTCCATATGTTATTGTTATTATTATTAATTAATATAAAATTTCATACTATTTTTACATGATCCAGGTCTATATTATAGGCAGAGTAATTTCAAAGGATCATAAAAATTTAGTATTACAAATATTAAGTCACATTTGAGATATACAAATCAGCTAATACATAAAATTATAGATATTTAATACATTTTTATGAACTGTAACAAGTCATAAGTTATTAATTAACACAGTGCATGCTAAATATATAATCATCCTCATGTGGATTTGTCATTAAAGTAATCCTCTATAATTGATCAAATTATTAAAAAGCACATTTGTCATCTTATATAATCTTAGTGTTAATTACTTTACAAGTTTTAAAATTAATTGGTTTTTTCACTCTGTTCTTTTCGTTGCTGCACCATCTCTCTAATATTATCTTCACTTTCTTTTAAGTTCTTTTCTAAATATTGTTTATTCTTCTCCAATTCTGCAGTACGATTTGTTAACTGAGTTTCTCGATTTTTAAGATTAGTTTTAACCTCTTCTAAATCTGTGAGAAGGAACATCCTACCCACTGATTCATAAGTTTTTGTTCCAGGTGCATATTGGCTAATCTCACGCTGTGTAATGTCTACGTGTTGCAAATAGCGCGTCAGTCCTCCTATTTGTGAATCTATTATTTGTATTTTCTTTCTTGTTTCAACCATTTTGGCTTGTAAATCGACAAATGCTTTTTTTAATTCCAAATCTACAGGTTTAGCCATTTTAACAATTATTTTAAATAGATATCGCTCTTTGAGAGATACAACTTGTAATTAAAAGATTTTAGGTTAGGTGTCAAAGTCAAATTGACGTTGACAAAATATACATGACATGTAGGTAGATTTGCGTTATGTCGAGTACTAAGAGCAAGGAATTTTATTATTTTATTTCTGTTCGCGACATTATAGTCTATTTTATGTAATTATAGCGATATTTTATAGTTATTCTAATTACTGATTGTTAGCATAAGTTATTAGTGTTTAATCGTTTAAATTGTTACCTTTATTGTTTATAGAATGTATGTTGCTTATAGTTTGTAAGTGAAATAAAACATTTATTATGTCGAGTCCTTATTACCCACAGTAGAAATAAGGAAAAATTGTATAATATTAGCAATAAGAATGTTTATAACACAAATAAATAGATGCCGAATGGTGCTGCTCAGGAGGGTCGCGCGTCCCTCTCACACTCGCCCCGTCCCGCTCGCACAAACTCACCGATGTGAGTTAGTACTCGTTATCGTGCGACCGGGCGGGGTATAAATATAGGCCGCCTACCGGTGTGCGGCATGCACTCCCAATCCGATAGGAACTAGGAAGAAACTCTTCCGAGCGAAACCAGGAGCTTCAAAAGGAATACAAGTCGTTTCTCTCCAGCCTGATCCAACGCCCCACAGTCCACGCCCTCCATGCGGGTCAAGAGCTGCCCCCGTACAATTTCAATAGGTACACATTACAAAGAATTAACAATGTTACATTAATTTATACAGTACAATAATGTTTTGATCAAACTAACCCTACAAAAATATACGTACATACAAATTACATAGAAGGAATGATAAAATAAAAACTGTTAATCATATAGTTGCCTCATTTCTTTTTATTAAAATATAATAAGTAAAAAGAGGACGAAAGATGCTATTTTTGTCAATTCATAGCAGGCTAGTGTATAGTAGGATTCTAAAATGTACGGATGTTTAACCCTACTAAATTCAGTTATAACCTGCTTGCATACTTTCTACATAAACTGTATTGAATATATAATCTTCTAATGTAAAATTTGTCATTGACCAATAATTGACATATGAAACATTTTAATTAAATTTAAACATTATAATTATAAGGTAACAAACTAGTCTTTTTTTGTATTTTAAGGATATAACATTTGTAGAGGTGATGTGGGCTTGAAGAATTCGCCTGGAAATCTTAAAGGTTATCCATAGGTAAGTTCTGCTGAAGAAGCTTGTAAGTCTTCCATGAAAGAACTTCGTATGCCCAATAGTACCCACGGAAGAGATTCCGTCCAAGTACTATTCGCATGACACATGATGGAAGTCTTAAGCTGCTTGTGGAATCTTTCAACAAGGCCGTTAGATGCTGGATGGTAGGCTGTAGTTTGTTTATGTTCAAACCATGTAATCTGAGATAATTGTTCGAACAGCGCCGATTCAAATTGACGGCCACGGTCCGTAACAATTTGCTCAGGACAGCCAAATCTAGAAATCCAGCCTGAAAGTAAAACCTTGACGACTTCAGTTTAAGCTGAAATATCGGTTATCGGTATTGTATCAGGCCACTTTGCAAAACGGTCGATGGCAGTGAGACAATACCGATATCCCTGAGACAGAGGCATGGGATCGACAAGGTCAATATGCATTACCTTAAATCGTGCTCGAGGTAAGTCGTAAATGCCCAATGGAGCAGACGCGTGACAACTTATTTTAGATTGTACCAATCGTACCAATGTCCCTCGTTCCATCGTAGAGGACAATCGTGAACAGCTTGTGTCTAAAATCGAGAGAACGTTAACTAGAGTCTCCGATTAGGGACGACAAAACTTAGTCTAGTTTAACCCCGCTAAGACACAAGCTTGCGCGTTCACCGCTAAGAAAACCTCATTTGCTGTGGCTCCACAGTTCCAAGGCACGTTTCTTAACATCTCTAAAAGCCTTCGGATCCTTGGTGTCGACATCTCTAGTGATTTACAATTCCGTGGCCACCTTGAAGATAAGGTGAAGCTGGCATCCAAAAAACTCGGTGTGCTCAATAGAGCGAAGCATTACTTTATTTCCATTATTACTTCACGGCGGATCAGCAATTAATGTTGTACTAATCGCAAATCCGGCCCCACATGGAGTATTGCTGTCACTTATGGGCCGGAGCACCTTAATACCAGCTTGAACCTTTCGGCTCGTTGCAACGACGAGCTATGAGAATTATCGAAGATCCCAGGCTCACAAGCGGTATCGAACCCTTAAGTCTTAGGAGAGATTTTGCCTCACTCTGCGTGTTCTATGGATATGTACAATGGATTGTGCTCAGAGGAATTGTTCAATATGATGCCCACAGCCACTTTCTACCATCGTACGGGTCGCCATCGACAGGGAGTTCATCCTCATGTCCTACAGCCTCAATAGTCGCGTACTGCATGGTTTTAGAGATGTTTCCTCCCACGAACACTCAGGTTATGGAATGAGCTCCCTGCCGAGGTTTTCCCAAGATACTACAGCATGGGGTTCTTCAAAAGGGGGTAAAGAGGTTTCTTCAGGGTCAGCAACGCACGCGTAATACCTCTGGTATTGCAGGTGTTCATAGGCTACGGTAACCACATACGATCAGGTGGGCCGTATGCTTGTTTGCCACCTCAGTGGTATAAAAAACATATAATTAGTACAAAAGATACACCATCATTTGTTATTTTTGTCAATTTCTTCTAGGCCTAAGAACAAAGAATTACATAAGAGTAATAAAATTGTCAGTTCATAGTAGGCTAGTGTAAGTATAAGAAATGTTATACGGCCATATAACCCTATCAAATTTAGATACAACCTGCTTGCGTAATTTCTACATAAATACTGGCCTTTTTTTGAGGATATCTTATTTTATTGGTCTTTTTTAATGATTCTAAATTTGAATTTGAAAAAAAATAATAAAAAAAAGACGTGTCCTTGACGTGGCTGTTTAGTCGGAGACTGCCGCGGTAAAGCTATTGTATAGCATTTTTTATCAACTTATGCAATTTTATAATTATTTATTTATTTTTGGTTTAATGGTTTCTATTATATACATAATGAAGAATGAATATATATACACATATTGAGAATCGAAATTGAAAATTTAAACTATATGGGTGTGTGTTTATGTGTATAAAAGAGAGCTACTTTTAAAATCGCTCATTTCAAAATCCAAAATTTAGGTTATGTATTTTTATAGCAGTATTATATATAAATTCAAAAACAAAAACACTGCATTTGTGATAATAAATAAAATGTATTTATATAGAGTACTCACTCATTTTCTTTCACTATTTTTTCATTACTTTCTTCATTAATAAATGCACTTTGTTTATTCATATTTAATATTAAAACACTTTATACACAAATTTTACGCGTACAGCTATTCACTGTTGGACATAGATGATAGATATATATTCTCACAGCAGCTGCTTACGTATTCGTCCAATTCCGGAGCAGCTCGCAAAAAGCATGCTGTCTCACCTAGCATTGTATCTAAAAGAGATAGAATCAGTTATAAGCAGTCAGCGGCTAGTCTACACGCATACGTCTACTCGCACGCACACAAACACCGTGCCGAAGTCTGCCAAACTGAAACGACGTTAGACGATGCACGGCTTCCGTCCTCGCACCGCTCTGCCGCCGTAAGAGTGGGGGGTGTTAGGTTCCATTTCCGTTACGGAATTTTTACATTTGGTCTCCGCGCTCAAGGCCCGCGATAAAAGCTATACAATAGCTTAAAAACAATTGATTTGCGCGTCATTACTAAGGTGAAATTCAAATGTTTTAATTTACCTGTCATAGTTTTTGGATTTTTTTTTGTCAAATTAATGTTATGAAGCAAGTTAGTGACTGATTCAGATTTTATGCGACTGTTTTCATCATACAGCGACGCCATTTAACAAGAGAGGAAATGTTACGGACAGTAGGCTTGCTCCAAACGGGGGCTATTCAACGGACGGTTGCTGAAGCGATAGGAACAAAACAAAATGTGATATCAAGATTACGGTTACGTTGTCGTGCTACTGGTGAAGTGGCTAAAAGACAACCTGGCAGGAGGCGCATTAAAACTCACCGGAAAGACCGATTTTTGTAAGTTGCCGCGAGAATGCAACTAAATGTTACGGCCATGCAGTTAGTTCAAAGGCTCTAGTAAGAGCACCAGTTGCTTGTGAGTGACCACCACCACCAGTGAGAAGAAGATTGCACGAAGTTAACCTGCATGCTCGCAGACTACTTCGTATTCCAGCGCTGCGTCGAGGAAATCATGGCCAAAGGTTACAATGGGCCCGTGAACATTTGCTCTGAGAGGATATCCAGTGGTCTGTGGTACTGTTTACCGATGAGTCCCGATTTGGTTTCCATCCTAATTCACGAAGAGTACGTATATAGCGAATTTCTTTATGGTTTGGGCGGGAATTCATGTAGTGGCAGAACAGACCTCGTTTGAATCAGAAATACTATGATCGCTGAAAAATACTGTAACCAGGTGCTAATACCAATTGTCCATCCCTATCGACTACAAATGAATTCAGACTCATACAAGATAACGCTCGCCCGCACACAGAGCTAGTCGTGACCAACTGGTTACAGAAGTACGATGTATCGGTCTTAAGCTGGCCAGCGCAATCACCAGACCTAAACCCCATAAAGCACGCGTGGAACATGTTGTAAAGAAGGGCTTTAAAGAATTTTCCTCCAAACATTGCAACGGAAGAGCAACATTTTTTGCATCTAAGCAGGACTTGGGACAATATTCCACAGCAAGACTGATCACTTGATTCAAAGCATGTAAAAATTCTGCAGAACCGTTGTTAATGTCATGGGTGGTTTTACTGACTTCTAATTTTTGTATCATTATAAAAAAACTTAAATCTTAGCTTTAATTTTGTTTTTTTCTTAAAAAAACATTCATCTTTAATTTTACCATTTTTCCATTTTTTTGTCTTTACTTAAATAAAACTTAAATTATGTAAAAAATAATATTTTATTTTATTTCGAAGTGTAGTCTGTTAAATGGGCTTTTTAGAATCATATACATGTTGCATGTTATTTATATTTTTATTGTAGTAAATTGATAAAATTTAAAATATCCTTAGACGATGTTGATGTGTGTATAATCTGGTATTGTATAATTTCATATATTGTTATTGATTAATAATTGACATATAAACATACATACATTAAACATTTTTATACACAGACCTGCTATGAATTGAGAAAAGTAGCAACTAATTTTTTTTCAAATTATATTTGCATAAGAAAAAAGGAGGCAACCATATGATTTACAGTTTTTATTTTGTCATTCCTTCTATGTAATTCTCTGTCTACTCTAGGCTTTATCTGTATAATTTAAGATAGTAACATTTTATTATGTTAGACGAGTAGTTTTGATAATCAGTGTTAAGTTTTATTTACTCCGTTTTACAGACATTTCGATTTCCGGTAATTCGCTTATAACCTTAGATGGAGTACGTTATATTAAGTCTATGGCAATAATAAATTTATATTACTAAATCATTTATTCAATTTTGTTAAATCGAAAAGTATGCGAACAGGTTCTTTCTGAACTTGGTAGGATTATATGGCAAGTAAATGTAACCTTTGATGTAATTATATCTACTATTCAAAACACAGATATAATTTTATATCTTTCTCTTTCTAAGACATTTGTAACTTCGTGAACATAATAGTAACACGCTAGCTGTGCTCGTATATTTTGTTCCAAAATGTTTTCTGTAGACGTTCATTGCGTCATAGACAACACAAGTACATTTTTTACAGTAAGTTGTTGTCGCTCATTTATGTTTCGAGTCATTCGGTCATTCGTCGATATATGTTTTCTCTCTTTCACATCTCTATTTACTGACTCTTTCTCGAGTGTCTTGAATGTGACATGGCGTCCGCCAAGATATATCACGGCCTCCTTTAAAACTGTTTTAATGACAGTGGTTTCATTTTGCATTTTATTACTGAGGCCGTAATAAATCGTATATTTGCATTGATGGTAATGCATGCAAGGAAACCTCAGCGAATAAGCGATGGGTATGATATGGTTTCAGATGCTTCGGCTTTACAATCTGTAGATGGCGGTCGCCGATTGAGTTTTGTTGTAATTTAGGTGAAGTTATTAAATGGTTCCGTTTGTTTTCAGGTACTTTGAGAAGCACCAGGCCCATCCGTATCAGGTAATGATGAGTTGAACCCTTTGTTGTATTCAAATAATTTGTTTCTCTATTTTTTGGTAAATGGCTTCTGTAGCTTTGATTTAGGTACTTCTGTATGTAATAAACCAGGTACGACAACCCTTTTCCTCTTTATATCGTTTAGAAGCAGACTGTGTTTTAAATTTCTATAGATTTGTTAATTTTAAATGCTTCCAGTCCAGATGCAAATGTTAATCTAATTAAACGCAAGGTAATATTTAATTGTAATCTCAGGTTTAAGTTAAATTTCGATTTTATTATAATTTAAGATAGATAAAAATATAGAAACAAATTACCTACACAGTTACTGAGCATTGAATGTTTATGTATACATATTTATACTATAACCTGCTTTTATCAAAGTTACTAATTCTAAATTATCATATTTAATACTACTTTTGTTTACTAATAATACTCAAAAAATGGTGTTTAATTATTCAACAATATACTAATAGTATTAGTAAATTGTTGAATAATAGTATGATTGGTTACTGATGTTTGTAAACAAAGAAAAATTTTGTTTTGTAAATTGTTCTATATATGTACATATATAATTTACATATATTGCATATATATATATATATATATATATATATATGCAGTAACTGTTATATTTTTGTTCCTTTCATTTTAGTATGTTTCTAATTCTTTATCTGATAATAATTTGTGTTATAATTTCTTGTTCAGAAGTACAATTCAAAAAGAGCCACTAGTGAGTATGTCTCTTCTGATAACCGGTATACACCACTACGATCTCCAAATGGCAATGTGTCGTCGCATGGTCACAGCACACACACAAGCCACTCTGGACATGGCCATCACCACTATGGACATGTGGTTGATGAAAGAGGATACACAACATCCAGAAGTTACTTGCCGAAAGGTTCTGAAAAGGAGAGAGATAGAGACTATAAATCCTCTAGGAATAAGTACACAGGTAAGAATTATATTTTCTGAATATTTACACACTATTTACAACCAAATATATGTAACAATTATGATGAATTAATTTGTATGTAGAATATTTGCTGCATTTTGTATTCATATCTAGAATGCTCGCTATATTCTAAATATGAGTACCAGTGTTCTGAAGTTATATTTTTTGTAAAATGTTTACAAATTGTAAAATGGGACACTGTTTTGTCATAGTGGATTGTATTAATGTTTCCTTTGTCTTGTTATCTAAAAAATTCTTGTAATTCTGCTTGTAACATCTGCTTACATTGTATTCATTTTATAATATACATTTTACAATGTTAATTTAAGAACACTATCAAATTGATATTTGCTTTGTATAATAATATCATCATAATAAACAAACCTGTATTTATCATCATCATATCAACCATTAACTGTTCATTGCTGAACATAGGCCTCTTGTAAAGATTACCATAAAGAATGGCTTGAGCAACTTGCATACACTGCCTCCCTACAAAGCATTTGTGGTTTTTGTACCATTTAGTGCAGGATCATTACTCAAAAATCTTTCTTTCCCATTGGTTATAAATAATATTCCAAAGAATTAGTCACTAATTCATAATTTAATGACTGCATAAATAATAGTTGATTTATTACATATTTATATATATAAAAGTAAATTACATTATTTTTGTAGATCAATTTGTTAACTCTGTCTGGTTCTAGTATTGTAAAATGTTTATGCTTATGCGTAAATTATTTAATTATAGATATATTGTATTTACACATGATATTGTATTATGTATTGATTTAATGTATATACTACTACTTCTTTCATGTTTATTATTCTTTAGAATAATATTTTTGATTAGCTTATGATAACAATTTGTATTGGAAATAAAGCATTTGCCGCAGAAGCGAACAATGGATATATATCTAAAAGCGAATGTATAACACTGAAGTGATAAGTACTGACATATACATTCCTCAAAACTGCATGTTAATTATATTTTTAAACAATTTCAGATAGTGTCAGGTCACCGAAGGAAAAACGTAACAATAGTGAAAGAGAGAGAAGTAACCATGAACGAAGTGATTCAGAGAAAAAGAGTAGGACTAGTGGCATGAACATTAGTGTTAGTAGGAGTAGTAAATATGACAAGAGAAGTGCACCTTCTGCAAGCGTGCCTTCTGGCAGTGAATGGTCAGAACACATTAGTTCATCAGGAAAAAGGTATTATTATAACTGTATCAGTGAAGTGTCACAGTGGGAAAAACCTAGGGAATGGGATTTACGACGGACATCATCCAAAGATTCAACATATTCATCTAGAAGCAGTGAGTATTTCTTTATAATTTTGTATTCATATTAGCTATTTCATTAATTTATTTTCTTAATTCATCTACTTAAACAAAAAAGCATTTAAGATATTTTAAAAGCCATTAAGCCTTTTGTGTAGTCTGTGTTGTTTAAATAAATTAATAGTATTAAGAGGTTTCTATGTTAATACAATAGAATTTTGAACTAGGTTTGCTATATGTGACTTTTGTTTTTTATGTAAAGATCAAATGTTTCTCCAATGCAATTTTCAAGTGTATTACTTAATTACAAAGTTGTATCTTGTTTTACTATGTTTACTCTGTGCTATTTGGTGCCTGACAAAAAAAAGAAAAGCCAATACTTTTATTTCCACTTTTAGCTTTTACTACTCTCTCCTTCTCTTATCTCTTTTTTTTGTTTTGTTACCTTCATTCCTATTTTACTGTATTTATATATTCTGTATAGTTTGTACCAAAATTGTCACACTTCTGTGAAAACAAAATTATTATCCAAAATTCCAAAAAAATTACCCAGTCTGGCAACATTATCTAGAATCTAAATAAAAAAAAAATGTCTTTTAGTGTCAAAGAAAATAAATTTATTATATATTTATATCAATACAAATATCAATATTATTATTTCTTTAGGTTTGTTTTTTATAAAGTAACTAGATTTTTGCCTGCTACTTCATATGCATAAATTTCAGAAGTAGGAAAATAGGCTAATTTTAGATGGTTTATCAATATAAAACATACACCAGTTTTTTGAGTTAGACCTTTAGGAACATAATAGTGAAAACTGTATTCAATTTGGTATTGTAGTTTTTGTATAATGTTACAATAAATATACAGACTAATACAAAATTTCTAAGAATGATTTCTTTGGCATTTGGTGTTATTAACACCTTAAGATTGCTATAAAGATTTTTTTTAATATTTCCTATATACAATCGTCATGTAGTTACAATTTTATTGTATTAGTAAGAATTAAGATAGTATAAAGGTCTAAGTACTATCTTACTGCAGTGATTCCTAAAGTGGATTCCATAGAATTTTCAATAGAAAAGTCATCAGGGTTCTTTGAAATTATTTATTTTTAGCTGTTAAATAATATAACAGTTAAATACAAATATTATTTTGAAATAGTGCAAAAAATGTGATGTGAAGAACTCATTACTTACATTAAAATATTTCAATAAAGGATTTTGTTCTTATTTACATTACATCTTCGACTTGTAATCATTTGGTATGCAGTTACACAAGAGGTATTTGATGGGTGTTCTGTTATTTTAGAAACCCCTGACATGCTGAATTCACCTAACTTGTAAATATAATTGTTTTATGCAACTAGTGGCATATTAAGATGCTATCTTATTTAAATATTCAAACAGGAATAAACCCATTTTGATTTTCATACCTAATAAATAAAACATTAAACAAATATTACATGTTATTTGAGGTAATATTTGTATTATAACAATGTTATTTAAAACATATAACCTTGCTTTTTATTTTGAATCACAAAAAGAAATTAGATTAAATATCACAAAATTAAGATTCTATAAAGGTTTTAAGTATTTAAGTTATATTTTTATTGACAATAGCAGTACCCGCGACTTCGTCCGCATAAAATGTAAAGAAAAATGTTAATTAGTTTATTTAGTTTTTTTTTTATTTATGCATTTTTGTTTCTATAATAAAAGATTTTTTTTTTAAATAAATGGAGCGTAAGTTACTCCTTATTACATCAGCTACCTGTCAGTAAAAGTTCCGTCAAATCGGTCCATCCATTTTAGAGATTAGCTAGAACAAACAGACAGACTGACAATAATTGTAATAAATGTTATTTTGGCGTCTGTACCATATATATATTCATATATATTGAAAGGTCGATGGACCGCTTTTTAGGTCGAAGGGTCCGAATTTGTCATCAAAATGTATTTAAATTAAAAGGCAAATTTGTCTTAAAAATTATGTTCGTCTTCTTTACGGTCTTTTTTCCAACTCCTTTTGTTTTGTCCCAAGCTGTCAGTTTTTAATTGTAGAATGTCCAGCGAGAAAATCGGTCAAAGAGGCCGCAACATATATGTAGTAAAAAATGGTTATTTCAATATTACAAATAGACATTTTAATTTTATTTATATGTATAGATAATTTTTACTCATGATTTTTTAAAAATAGTAAATTTCATGATTATTTGAACTGTTCTGGCACAAACAGCAGTGTTTTCAACCTTTTTCACGAAACAACCCTCCCAGTATGAAAAAATATTTTGCGACCCCTGACTTATTTTTTTGTTAATTTGTATTAACATAATATTTTAATTATTATTATTCATAAAAAATCCATCTTTATAACTTCGTTTTATTTTTACTGAGGTAATTTTCGTGACCATGTTGGTCATGTCAACATATGGATTGCAACCCCCTGGGAGTTTTAAAACTTTAAAAGACTGATTTAAAATATTTGTAATTAATTGTAATCCAATTCACATTCCTTTTCTTAATGTTTATTGTACTCAATACTTTGATGTCTTATGCTCATTTTAGAATAATTGAATTCTTGTTCTCCTTTTAAGGCATCCAGTTTATCAAGCTGTCTTTTATGGTTTGGTCATGTTTATGAGGATACCATTATTTTTAATATAATTGAGAATATTATTTCTGTTCCAAATATATTTTTTTGTAAGATGGCCCATATTACAAAAAATATTATTTAGCAAATCTTGAACTAGATATTGTTTATTTTTTGTACAGTATTTGGATATTTCTTCTTCACAGATGAGATATTAAGATATTTTTTACATCAGTGTCATGAGTGGTGATTTTTTCGAATTACTACAATTCTGGGCCACTATATTATAAATCTAAATGACTGTTATGCCAATTTTATATCAGCCCAGTCAGTGTAGTTTTGTAACCTATTGTAGATTTGTTAAATCTTTATTTTAATGTGAGTAGTCTATGCCAGTCTTTCGCTCATATTGAAAATTAGATTTTCAACAATGGCTTACTTAATGGTTCTTTATAATTCATGGTAATTATGATAATAACAGAAGTGCAGTTCATATTAATCTTTAATGGCTTAGTAATACAGAAGTTAAAATGTAAATTGTATAGATGTTATCCTGTCTCTGTGACAGGATAACATCATCTCCACAGCAACGTTGGGCAAGTTACAATCTTTGTCAATGCTTTATCATTGGATAGGTAAACTGTACTATCTATATATCTTAGAACTTCTTCTAATACTGGTTTCTGTCTGATATCAATTATAATTTTTGTTACTTTTCTTGGTATTACCAGCATTAACATTGGTGATAGTTATAGTATGTGAATCAAATCTCTCTTTTTTAATATTTTATCTTTGGTCGGTGGTATAAACCTGGTATAACTATATATAAATATATCTATACAGGTATAAGATAAATAAACAGTAGGGAAAAACATTTTATCATTTACAGGTGTGTATTGTATAGTATATATTTAGATTTATGGCAATTATCCGATAAGAGGATTGATATTTAATTTCTGCTTATTTTTTTTGAGAAATATGTAATTTAAAACAAAAATGCAATACATGAATGGTACCATGGGTATCATAGTGTTTTCTGTTGTCTATGGTGCTTTTCATGTTTATAGACAATGATTACCACTTTTCATCAAATGGACTGTCAGCTTGTTTGTAATCTTATATAAAAAATCCAAGGTTTTTTTATTTAACTCAATGTTTTGCATCACACTTCAGAAATTTTGCTCAATGAAGGAATTCATTATCGTTATATTTTGAATCTCTTTTTTATTTGTGACAAATTTAATGTGTATAATATATTTTATTTTTAACAAGTTAATAAATATATAAAAATACTAGCTGACTCGGCAAACGTTTTATCATATACATTATTTCGAGAACTATACATGAAAATTTATTCTACTACAATTATTATATTCGATTGCCATCTTGCAACCCTATTGCGGAATATAAAAATAGCGATTAACAAACAGGCGTTGATCGTAAAACGGTGAAAATTTGAGATTGTATATATTTTTCAATGCTAAATGATAATAAAATAAAAATGGAAAAATTTGTCAAAAAAATAAAAAAAAAATTTATGGAGAGTCACCCTTATCATTGAGGGGTATAAAAAATAGATGTTGGCCGATTCTCAGATCTACCCAATATGCACACAAAATTTCATAAAAATCGGTAAAGCCGTTTCGGAGGAGTTTGGTAACACCGTGACACGAGAATTTTATATATAAGATTTTAATAATCTTGATGAAAATAGTATACAGCAGTATTAATTTATGTGCACTATATACCCATAAATATTTGGTACCTCTCTTCTCTTTCCTCCATTTCCAATTTTAATATTCTCATACAATATTCAGTTACAAACTTTTGTTTAAACTACATGTTTAATTATAACTGTGTAATCATATAAAAATCTTTATTTGGTCTGAAAGTGGCATTGCTGGTTCTCGGCATGTAAAATTTGGCTTTTACAAAAATCTGAATGATTTTATTATTAAAATAATATAGAAAATAATTGAGTTATTATTAGTTTAATTATGACATTAGCATTATATAGGGATATTAAAATATTTAGTAATCAGTTGGTAGGTTGTAGTACACGACTCCATGCTACAAAATAACATTAATATTATATATTTACAATGTTAAAAATATCTTTAAAATATTGGAATAATATAAGCATTGTCAAGGTATTGGTGGAGGTAAGAACGTACAAGAGAAGGTGATTCAATTACTATCATTATGATTAGGAGTGGTAAAGGCGCTTGGAATATTGGTGATGTTGCTTGTCCTAGGTTTATTCTTTTTTCATCACTATATACTAGCTTTTACCTATGATTTCGTTGGTGTTACTGGGATAAGTTCATTAACCGAGATAAAATACCAAGTTTCATAGTAATTAGTTAAGCTGTTAAGGTGCAAAGAGGTGACAAACAAAAAACTTACATTTATATAGTACTAGCAATTCGCTCCGGCTTCTCACG